TGACCCCCCCCCCAAGAAAAAAAACTGGATCCGCTCCTGCTCCGAGTGCTCCTCAAGCAGTGCACTCTTGTGACTGGCAGGTTTTCAGGATCAGTGTTGAAACAATGCAAAGACCTAGCAGCTTATGCGCAGCGATATTCAACTGGTTCCTGCCGCAAATCTATTCCGAGGCAGGCCGTCACTCGGCGTGACTCCCTGTAGGGAATCGTATACGGCTTTCCTTATTTGAATAATTCCTCTGCTCCGCGTAAGATAACTATCCTTGTGATTCTTCGGGTAGATAGCTCGATTGAGGCAAAACGGGACGAGCCGTGCTCGAATTCCCTTCATCAACAGTCGCGCTTATTCCTCGGATCAGGTCAGACATAAAAACTTATCTCTATGCGCGCCCGCCGCAGTCCGAGCATTCAGAAGTCGGAGACGAGACCAAAAACGGGAAATCGAACTGTTCATTGTTTATCGAACCACTCGTCGTTCAAGTTGAATGCAGTCTTCAGGGTGGGCGTCAATTCACGATCGATGAATTCGTTAACATAGGTATTAACGAAGAATAAGAAAAGGAGCTCCGCATCGCGCCGCAGACCCGACGATATATGGTATAAGTCGCACTCGACTTCATTTTGGAACGAACTCTGTAAGTTATATTGGAGGTTTAAGATGACGGAATCCCGCAGAGTCAACCGAGATGCAGAGAAAATTTCGATTTCGTTCACTGACGTAGGCTTTTACGAAAACTGCTTTTTCTCGCCTGGTCGCAGGAACCTTCAACATCACTAACGTGCCATGCCCCAAGGTCCGGCACTCTATTGGCTCCGACCAGAAGGTATAATGGGTCATTAGGCTCACGAGCATCAATTTCTGGAAACTGATCCGGACAAAGGCTCTTGGAGGATCACCTTTAGTGTGAGGTGAAAGTTAAGCGCTGTTTGGGATCTTCAGCAAAGTGATCACCTCAAACTTCGGAGAACGAGAATGACTCGTACTTCCATGGTCGATGTTCACGTCTCCAGATCTTTCCATTGTGTGAAATCTTTCTAGAGCCATACTGTATACACCGAGTCGTTTCCTGGCGCCATCCTGGATACCCGGAATTTTATACTTGAAATCGCGGAAGTGTTCCTTAGTCAGATTAACAACTTCATCCAGATACTTGTTCATGAACTCCACCGTGACCGGTCGGGCTGGAATAAAATAGAGGGGTTTCGATTAATAATCCGTGTTCGACGGTGCCTTCTTGGACTGGTCAGAAGTGGGCCAACGAATCGCATCGCGCAAACTCTGTCCCACCATGATCTAGAAGAAAACCGGATGCGGCTTCGTTTCAAACTCACCGGCGGTCGTTCGTCCCTCGGTGCTCTGCGAGGCTTCTGCAACTTCAGGGTAATTTTCGGAGAGACGATTGAATGGGCTCACTCAAGCTTTCACCCAGCAGGAAGCCAAGTTTTGCTTCCTCGTCACGACAAATATCGGGGGATCGATGAGCTGATTAACGATTCATGGAGGGGAATGAGATTGGATGTCCTAATCCTCAACAGTCTGAGAAGACCCCATAACTCATACCTGTACTCCTTCCCAATAGCCCGGATCGGAATTTGCCCAGGATCGAGTAAGCGAGGCAGCAGAATACGAGTGTTGTAAGTGCTGACGCCGGAATAGAGATCCTATATCCTCCCGTCGCTCCCGCTTTCAAGGATTTCTCCGGATGAGACGCCGATAAAAGGAGGGAATCTTCTTTTTTGCTGGATAGGCTTGGCCGAGCTAGGAGATTCGACCTCGGTCCCTGCGTCCCGGGATGTGTCGGAGGGACGCTCTGGATATTCTCATCAATGATCACCGGATTTCTTGAGTCTAGATTGATATTGGAAAAACTTCCCATGAGAATCATGTGCGGCATGTGCGGTATGGCGCGATGAGGAACCGAATGCATGAAGAGACTACCCCTCAAAACCGGGTCCACGTCGCTCCGGCATCCTCGGCCGTCTCGTGTCGCGTCTTGGCCCGTATTTTCCATCTGTGGAGAAAGAGACCACTTGACGTGATGCGCCGAAACCACTGCTTCGTTATTCTCAATGCTCGTGACGCTCCGTCACGATCTATGCCAGGACGGAGGATACAACTGGCAGGGATAGTAGAGATCCCCCTTCTCACAGAGCGTCCTCGCATTTTACGTACGTGCCACGATCGAGCATCAAGGCGGCATGGCGGGTCGAAAGCATTCACAGCCCTGAGAACTATCCAAGGATTCGTTGTCATTCATCTGAGCGCCGTCGGGAGCGTCCAACCTTGCGCAATCGGGAGCGCCTGAGGACTATTTGTATTTGGTGCTTTGTCGGGTGAAGAGTCTTCCATAAGAGATGCACGAGAAACGTATCTAAATAAACCCGAATAGGGATTCGAGGACGCGCTAGGCTTCGGGTTTTCGAAAATGTTTATTGCTCCAAATTATGCTTTCTCCTTCCAAACGCTGATGCCTCACAGTGGCGAACAATCCTTAGCCTCGATACCGAATATTTTCGTATAAATAATGCAGGTTCGATACTCGGCGTAAATATAGATGCTTGTTGCGCAGGAACTAAGTTTTGGCTCAATTCGACAATGTTTCAAACGTCTCCCCGAAGTGATCAAGGATGATACCCATCGGTGTGCTTATCAAGCCGAGGGATTCGCCGCGATTCCAGATCTGCAAAGAGTAATGTTCAAATGAAGGACGGCATAGCAAATATCCCAGAACCGGAAATCTCCTGAGGCTCCCCTTGAATATTCTCCCAATATGAGCGGGACGGATCGTATCGTTGCGACCGAATAGCGGTCGCGTGTTCGATTAATCAGCTTGATGACTCACTTCCGCGTGATTCCGAATGCGAAATCGATCGCGGATCGAGCACATCTCATCTTTCTATCATGCTTCCGGGATTTTAATCATGAACCGTGGTTGGACCATGAAATCTCCTAGATTGCTAGATCGTGTTCCATCGAGAGGCGGTACACTGATTGGGGACGTAGGCGAATTTCGGAGGCGGACTTTCCTCGAGACTCACATCGCCTCCGTTTTAGGCACACGATACAGTGGTGCCCGAAGCGTCTCACCTTGCTTTTGAGATTCCGGAGTCGGAGAGATGCATGAATGAATATCAGCAGAATTGGCAGAGCGATCCCGAATAGGAAGATCATCACAGAGCCGATCATCGACATGATTAGATATCTGCGGATGAATCAAGATTCAATCCGATTCGGAGTGCGAAAAAGAGGACCGCGGAGTACCAAATCCATGAGGGAACCTCGTCCTTGACTGACTGACTTACCCGCCGACGAGCATGATGGTCATGCAAATGCCTGGATGACGTCGACGAAGTCCGGCGAACGCCGCCTGATGTCGACTAAGGTAATTGAGCAGCTCTAGGGTTGACACCGTCGCAGCCATGCCCACGAGGATCTGAAAATTTTTCGGAGGATATCAGATCACCGTATCGATGAGAACTCCCGGGAACATGGCGGACTCGATTATAATGTGACACGCACCTGGGTCGGGTTCACCATGCCGACGAGGATGAATACCAGGGCGAACACGATGAAGTAGTTTGTCTGGTAGTATAGAAGATTGTTGAGGACTCGATTGGACCATCTGTCGAGGTTGGCAATATTCGGGATCTCGAATCGAGATTCTGCTCCGATGAAATCATCGATACTCCTCAGGGGCGCCCGTCCTTCCACCGGCATAGCTGATCCCTGCAATTGAAGCCGAAAATAATTCCTTATGATCCCCTTCGCGTTCTCGAGGGTTGAAGCGGATCAACTACCAAATTTGGAACACAGTGTACATTTCTGATACCGCACATTCGGATTTTACGACCTCCGCTACAAGAAGCGCGTCCATGTCTACAGTTTCGACATCAATCCCGTTAAAAAGCACTCCATTAGATTACACGATGAGTTTTTTCACCAGCGTAACGTTCTCCCCGAATCGGATCACAAGACTCATAATTTTCAGCAGGCGGCTTTAGTTTCCTGGGGTCTGGAGAATGAGAAGGTTCAAGATCCGACTTTCTCGCAGGACCTGAGGCGCGGATTCGAGCTCATTTCCGGAGCTACGGACTTAGTTCCAAAGTCCCTTTTCGTCCTAGTCTAGACGTAATCATATGTCTGCAGGAAAGCAGCTGCGTTCCACTCGGTCTGGCCCTCGTCTCGGTCGGAATCGATCCGACCGATTGTGAGAAACTTTTCCAAGAACAAATAGCGCCACATTCCTTAGAAGGAGACAAGAAACTCCCACAACTTCTACTATCTTTCCTCGAAACCTTGGCCAACCATGATCCGGACCCCTTTTACGGATGGGTGATGAAGTTTTGGATGGATCGCATTGAAGATGGCTCTATCTTATGTGGGCTTCGACAACAACAACATAGTTGCGCGCCTCCTGCGAGTGTCTTCAGAGTTTCGAGGAGGGAACGGAGCTACGGATCAGCTATCAGTGATAGCCTATCACTGATTACCCGAGCAGCCGGAAGATCCCCGAATTCCGGGTCTCCATACCTGCGATCGCCGTCTTGAGCCAGAAAGATTCATTGCCTCCATCCCGACCAACAAGGATAAAAGTGGAATTCCGCGCCCGCTCGAGAGCGACTCATTGTTGAAGATTTCTGATCAGCTTGTGGAACAATGCTCGTGATCTGAAATCAACTCGATGAACGGCGGCAGGGTCCACAGCTCGTTTTGGCGCAGCCCGATTCTGGCGAATAAGATCCCATTGGTGATCCGATGATCTCCCTGGTGGGAATGAGGACTCTTGATCCACGCGTACCATGACCGGTATATTCGAATAGCTTCAAGCAGAGCTGGGCTATCGGAAATTCTGATGAGCCAAGACTCACAAAACGAGTGGCACTCCCTACTCAGAGCAACTCTTCATCGAGAGACGTTGGAATATCTCATCCTACGGCGGAAAACACAGCCAAATATTCCGAAGCAAATATCGCTCTTAGATCTATCAGAAGACGGAGAGCATGTATCCGACCGAATTAGGACTCTCTTGATCTACTCACCTGTGAAATTGCAACTCGACTAGATTGCAAAGCTTCGAACCGCTGCCAAAGACTGTTTTGCTCTGATTCGCCTTCTCCGATCTTAACGAACAGAGCTTAGACGACGGATGGAAAACAAAGCGGTCCCGAAGTCTCTGATTCACCGAATGTCGAAGAACTTCAAGAACACTGAGTGCGCAGTTTCGAGAGGGATGAGGGTCCGTTGTATTGTGGCTGTAGGTGTTGCAGTTCTCGACCAGCGCGGTGATTCCCCACACTCGGCCACCGCGCCGAAATTCAAAAGCTCAGGGCTCAAGCATTCCGTATGGGCGAATTAGGGCCGCCTTTACATGCTCAACTTCGGGCTTTTTCTTGCGTTGGCGAATCCTGTCACCGCTCTGGCCCCGAATGATGGTTCATCATCTCATCATGCAAACTCGTTCGGCGATCAATGCTCATCGAGGGACGCTGCCCAGTCTTTGCCAAAGCTTCGAAACTCAGGCTTCTGCTCAGTCTTAAGCCGCGATGATCCCCTTGATAAAGGACTGACGTTCGTCACACCGGTCAAAGAGTCAGCGGAATCCCGCAATACTCTGGGGCGATCCTCCAAATGGAGTCGACAGCAGCCAGTGGACGCTCGGGATCCCCATGCGAGAGTCGCGGCGAAAACCCGCGAGCTCACGATTGCTCATCGAAGCTTGAGGCTGGTTCCCGGACCTCATCGTAGCCTCAGCTCTAAACGGCCAAGTCGGGGCCTTTACCGTCCCAGAGGTCAGCGGGGGACTTTCCTCAGCACCATTTTTAGGATGAGCCCTTCGGGAGCCGTACCCGATGACTCAGAGAGCGGCGGTTGATCATTGGTTTGAGCTGCTTCCTATCATGAAATGTGAATGCTCACCAGTGAATCGCGTCGCCTCATGTAGCACCATATTCTTGACCATATTCCCGTTCCTCGAGTCGCCCTGGGATGTTTTCATCTACATAGAGACGCAAATTCAGAAAATAATACGCGAATGGTCTCAATTTCAACACGTTTTATTGTCTCGTCTCGGAGCAGCAAGTCTCCGTACGTGATGACAGAGCCCGCTCAAGAGAATAATTCACAATATCGCTTTAGATGAAAAACTTAATGGCGAATTGACAGTCGCTGGACGAGGTCTATCCTAACGGTCATTGATGAAACGTCGGTGTTTCTAAGCGGGGGCCTCGAACACATACCGAGAAGACAGGGATCGATGGCTATGAACTAGGAGGCTCTTGAAAATGATTGGGTTCGGGCAGTCATGCGCCCAGAAGGCGGCTCGCTGAATTTATTAGTGTCCATGCATGCGTCAATTACTCTCCTTACTCGGATATGCAGGGAATCCCCTCTTTGGGTCAGTGAAGTGTTCTCGGATAATTTCTCAGTGCACTAGGCGATTCTCGAAGGCAGCGAGGGTTGAATATCAGTTCCCCGGGCTGTACAAAACGGTCGCCCTCACAACCCTCCAGAAGCAACAATAATCTTAGGTCTTTGTTACAAGCCGTAGAATACACATGTGGGTCACGACGCTATCCCTTAATTACAGGTATGAACAACTGACTCGACTCATACCACTGAGTCGAATTTTGGGAACTGAGATACGAGGATTACTCGTCCATGTCCGCAACTGGTGTGTATGTTCAGCGTCTGGTACTCAGCCGGCCGGACTGTATAGACAACGTCGTTTTCGCAACCGGTGATCCGGCACTGCTAGCTCACGGACTTCGCCCCCGAATCCATGGTCGCTCCCTCGCTTCCCTCTGAGATCGGAGCCACAGACGGAGCGTGCTTAGGCGAGAGCACAGCGTCGGGGTCCATGGTAGCATCCGACTCCTCGATAATGGTGTCCTCGGGTGACGAATAGTCGCTGTTTTCGGAGCACTCGGAGCTTGTGTAAACTTCTGGAAGATCGAATTGACACGTCAATTGAAGCCATGTTGAGAGTTGATGCCACCGAGGGAATACAACTCTTGGACAATCCTCTTCCCATTCGGGGAGCTCACCTTCTTGAGATCCAAAGTTATCCGGAGAATCAGCTGATGTCATTATGTCCTCAAGAACTTCGGGGAGCTGCGGGCGACGACGTTATATGAGTTATTTTTTTTTCTGCCATAAGCTTAGCTCGGACACGATCACAGATTTGACGAGCCAGATTCGAGCACACGTGATTGACGGTTTCGTTATCTTCACGAGCGAATCATCGAATGCTCTATAGGATGCGATCGATATTCTCTATCTAATCAGACTCACCCCAAGTTCTCGATTCGCTCTTGCGCAAGCAGCCTTCACATGCACTTTGACTTTGCTCCTGTTGAATTCGTGACGGCCGAGAGGATTCGAGCAGCCCTCAACCGTGCAACCGCAGGGGTAGAAGCCATGATCGACCTTGAGACAGAGAGCCGTTCATTGAGACCGGGACACGATCAGAGAAGTCGAACGAATCGAGCTTATCCAACTCAGCCTACCTGACACTCGATCCCCAGCTCCAGACACATGCAGGAACCGGGAAGACATTGGCCGATGCAGCTGCAACCGCACTGTTGCCGCGACACTCTTATCATCTGCAATTCCTCCTGCAATGGATCGCACGAAGCTCAGTGCTGAGCTGGTAGCCGCGCGCCTTCTCCGAGTCGGAGGCTTTATGAAACCATGAACTCACTTTCTCCAGGGCATCGATGTTCCGTACGCCAGATTGCCTCAAAAGTTCTCTTCGACGTCTCGTGGGCAGCGGTTGAACTATGAGTCCTTCCACGTCTTGGCCTTGCGAAAGAGTAGCCCCCAGGGTGTTTGACATTTGCGCTCTTCGTATCTCAGCGTACTCTTCGATCGAATACTCTTGGAGTTCTAGATGCTGGGCACCCATACCTGCAATCCGAAGAATCGGACCGGATCAACGAAACTGTCGAGCGGGATTTCGCGATCAACGGCGGGCAGAAATCAGCATCACTGAGACTCACCGAGAGTTGATCCGCCTTCCGAGGGAACACTGGTGAAACCTTGTTCCCTCTCGAAAAGGTACAGACTGACCTTACTGAATTGGACCTTCTTGTTGAGGAATGATTTGGCATGCAACGATAAGGTAGACTCTTCATTTTCGCTGGGTGAAGAACTCCCGAACGAATTAATAGCTATCACAGATTTGCAAGCGGAGGAGTTGTCACCCGTAGCGGTCGTGCCCTCTTCGATGCGTCGGCTCATACTTCGCGTCATCGGAGAGCCGGGACTATCGATTGAATCTCTCATCACTGGACTGAGAACCGGAATTTCGAGTTCTTTCCTTCGAGCCATCAGAGCGGGTTGTTTCTTCGGAGTGCTCTCGATGAAATCGTCGTCCGACAGTCTTTTCAGATTCCGGATCGCACTCGGAGTGGTTTCGGGCTCATGGGATATTTGGATGTCAAGTTCGTTCGGGTCGTCGGGGCGATCTTCGTCACCGCCAGCGGCTGATCTCGTCTTACCCGCAGCCGGCGACGAAGTTAATTTGTGGGCTTCGCACTTCGCTTCGATAGCCTTACTGAGATTCATGCAGTCATTGACATACACTATTGGCATTCTAAGGAGGCTGCCCTGAGCGGGCTTGCCTCCATTCTGAGAAGACTTGGGATTCGGGGAATCGAGGATCTGGGACACCGCTTGCTTGGCGGGTGTCTCTGGGAGATTCGGAGACGCTGTATCGGGATCCGGAGTCGATTCACATATCACAGTTGAAGACGCCGTCAAAAGGCAACTGGCGGCGGGAGCCGACGACCTGCTCGAGATGCCATTGGATGAACTTGTTCCCCCCACATCTTGCGGGAGAACGACCGGAGAATCAGCAGACGCTGGCGAGGCTGTCCTGGCGTCCTGGAGCTGTCTCCGTAGCGTCGACGCGGAAACCGCGGCGTCCCTCGGACGGAACTTCGAGGAGACCGGTGTCGTGACGATCGATGTCGTCGTCGAGCTTTTCTTTTCGGATACTTTCCCCGGATTGGCGGATACCGTTTCCGAATCCACGACCGCTGCTGCCGCCGCAACGACAGACTCGACGCGACTGACGGTGGCCGCGAGCAACGCCTCGACAGACGGCGAGCATGGTCCCGCCGAGAGCGATGATGCCGATGCCTCGATTCGTCGTTTGGGGTTGACAGACGGCATCGATTGGGATGCGGAATTAGATTGTTGAGAGAACTCGAATCTTATTTTCAATTGACATAGCTGAGCGGCTGCGCGCTCCGGTCGGGACGGCTCTTGGCCCACTAGATTGGATATTTCACGTGATGATTCGTCCTTCGCTGCCATGAGTGGGGATTTCGGGCAACGTTCCGTCATGCCGCAGTCGTTGAGACGGACAGAGCAGCAGAAGAGTCCTTTGTCGGAGGTAAATGCACGTTTCGTCAGAGGTGTTGCCAATGAAGACGAACTTCATGCTGGAAAGAAACGTAGCCGTGTCAGAGGAGCTGGAAATCATTTCCGTGAGTTTTCCTTAACTATGTCCCCTCGCACTTCATCTGATCAGCGACCGACAATGAGAGAATATGACACAGCGACGGGCAAGGCCGTCAGACATACGGGGCCGTTTGACGGGGACGCCTGATATTGAATGCGGCCCTTCGCCCCTGCCGCGCAAGGTCTCGCTCATACGAATACTATGATGTTTTTCAGCAACAAGGCGCTCCGGGCAGAGTGAACGCTCCCGCTTCAGCGACATCTGTTCCGTCCCGCCACGAGCTCGATCCCGACCGGATTCGGGTAAAATTTGAGTAAGATCTCCGAAGAAATTCCATTGCAAGATCTAAGAGCCCTTCTTCGCTTCTATCGTATCCATGGAGACGATGGTTGCCCTGAGTGGGTGAGAAAGTCGCTTTGTTCGTGACAGTCCAGCAGCCGAAGCTGATACGACGCGACGGCGCTGGTTTTCGTCAGAGCATTAACAGAGCATTGCGGTATTGTACGTGCAGTGGGATACGCGGGTTGACCCGGGCATGCGGGGATTCGACCGGATCTTCTTTTCGGGGCGATCCCATTATGATTCCTTCCTGACCGAAGGTGATTCGGGCAACGACCGCCTCGTCATTCTCCAAGAGAATGGATAATTCCTCCAAACAGTACATTGGGGACTTTCCCTGGTACCGAGACATGATCCTCGGATGTCTCGCAAACGGTGTCGCCTTTGGAAACTGTCTATCTACGCTCCTTGAGCGAAATATAGAGAGATCCATGTACCCCAGCCCAAGAGTTGGCAGCGTCTAGCGAATTTCCCCCCGAGCGATCGTCAGCATCTCTTGGAGACTCAGTCCGAGCAACGACAGCCATATCGTCGGATATAGGCGAAAGTATTCCTCTCTAGTCGAGTTCGAAAATTTCGAGGATCACTTGACGGAGCCTAAATCCTATAATTGTTGAGGACAAGAAACAGGTATTACCGCCTCACCGAGAACGGGAAGCGATTTTCGAGGGTCTGGAACAAGATTTGCTCGGAAAACTCGAGGAAACACGATACGACGATCGAAGGAGTCGGGATCCAAGACCTATCTTTCCGTGAGGCCTAGAGTCACCCCCTCTAACGGCTCTGCTCACGAGGCACGAATCTCCAAAACCGACTAAGGAGCGGAGGTTCCCATTCGTTGAAGCCTCCAGGAACCAGGCGGCGCAAAGCCAAGACATCACCACCCGACATTTCTCCCTCCGACGATATACGGCCGGTCAAGTAGTGGCAAATCGAAAAGGTTCAGGGAAACTTCGTTAAGATCGCGGGAATCGAAGAGAAGTCCACCAGACTGGTGGGGGATACAGCGGAAACCCGGACTGAATGAAACGTATTAATCGAAGACTTCCTCGATCGCGAAATTTGGGCGCGCTCGTCGATAGACGAAGCCCCCGATGAAATGAGCGGAAATCAATCGAGGACAATGCACACGGACGACTTCGGACAGTGTCGAGCGAGAGGGGATGCTGTGAATCCGCCAAAACCGTTGTCCCCGCCTCGAGTTGTCAGAGAAAAATCACCCAAATGATGGCGTTTGGCGCCCTTTACGAATTCAACCTCGCATCGCTCTCGTTCTCCAGGGAAAATGAGGGGGGTGCCACTCAGAGCTCTGCCGATGAAGTCTCATTGAATCCTGCGCTTACTAGCTCTGGAACGCCCAGGAGCCACGCTCATAGTCTCGCGCTGCTCATGATCGAATGGGCGCTTCAAAGGGTTGATACTCACATCAAGCAAGACAGTCGTTGCTTCGAGCGCTGGGATTTTGCGGACGAACGATAAAACGCATCACTTCTTTCCCGATTGAGAGGGTTCCTGAGTCCTCAAGTCTTTCGACGGCTTCTTTGAGAGGATCAATTGGTGAGATGATGTAGTCTACGACGGCGTTGGCCAAGACAGCCCACAATCGGACCATCCACCAGGGGAATCGACGTCAAGCTTTCGTCAGGGAACAGAAACTCGGATTTAGAACACTGAGAACACAGTGAATTCGATGGAGTGTCGTTTGTTGTTGGATATAGCTTTGTTGCACCTCTCACTCTCGCTCACGATCACTTTGCTGCTGCAGCAGCAAGCAGAGGAGAATGCTGTCTCTCTTTGTTTACATTATATGAACACAGAGCAGACGACGCATCCGATGATGCAGAGGAGAGAGAAACCAAAAACCCTCGAAGAGTGATGAGATGATTCTGCTTGATGAGATGACGCATTTAGGGAGGTTGAAGTCGATCGGGGGATCGAGATTCGAGGTGTCCCGAGGAGCTCAATGCCCGACGAAGCCGAAATAACACCGATGCTCCCTGCTGTGGGAGCTGCCCCCTTTACGAGAGAAAGAATGACGTGACCCGAAGAAGAATTTCTCATCAACTTCGGGGCATGAATTCGATGAATCCATAGCGCAGGTCATCCGAGACATTCGGTATTCTTCCGGGCTCAAATCCAGGATGAATAGAAAGCGATGAATATTAGCAGCTCTCTCTCCGCGTTCGGAATCGAGCCCTACTCAGGGAGAATACTCCTACATTGACTTCTGACTTCTAAGCCGGCTGCCGCAGGTAAAGACTTCCCCGTGACTGATTCCATACGACCAGATACATATTGAAATTCGCGGAGCTCCGGAGCCGAAGTGGGGTGGTCCACGGCAGATAAGGTGCTCAGCTGCTCCGACCAATGCCATTATTCGAGAACAGCTGAAATCTTGCTCGTTTCCCGAGAGGCACACCGTAATCATGGTAGCGAAGCAGTCTCTGGAAAAGGGTTCTCTAGTCTTCGCAAAAGTGAAAGGCTACCCCCATTGGCCAGCCCGTGTGGAAGAAGTGAAACCAGGAGACAAGTGAGTTACTTCTCGGAGGCTCAGAGCGGCATAAGGAATGATGGTGTACACCCGTCTTCGGAGAGAAGTCGGCCCTTCCTCTGATTCGCTCTAATCCCATCATACCACATTCCACTTCATGGGTTCCTCCGGAGCTGTCAGAAAAAATTTCTCGTATCCGCTCGAACCCCTCATCTGCTCATCGAGGGTGGAGAAACCCCATGTATGAATGCATCGATCAGGAGCTGTAGAGGGAGAAAGTCACTTTACCGCGACGACTCGTTTTCAAGACTACCCGGTGTAGACGACGGTCACCAAGAAACCTCCGGGTCCGTGCCCGTTTCCTCCATGATCTCGAAAACCTTTCGATTTTTCAGATACGTTGTGCTTTTCTTCGGGACCTACGAGATCGGAACACTAGACGTGAAGAACCTTTTTCTATATGGCGAGAATAAGGATCGCTTCGCCAAGCCCAACAAAAAGAGGTTTTTTGTTGAGGCTCTGGAAGAAATTGAGAAACGACCGCATATGTCACCGCCGGTCACCCACGTCATGGGCCGCTTTGGCAGGGAGAAGAAACCGCAAACTGAAGCAGCGGTTCCGGCGCCGAAGTCAGTCGAATCTGAAGAGGCTAAATCAGTTCCGAACGGAGTGAGGAAAAAGAAAATTAACGACGAGATCGCTGAACTTCCGGAGAGGAATAGGTTCGTCAAACCTCGAGGAGAATTATCTTCACGAGATGAGATTGAAATCGATAATATCGATCCTGTGAGAAGTACCGAACCGAAAATTTCCAGCCGTGCAAAACCCGGGGAGAAATCAGAGGTGGGTGGCGAGAAGTCAACTGCAGCGAATTCGAAGAAAAAGAGATTGACCGAAGAGAAAGAGAAAGCCGAACTCGACGATGCAGAGATTCCGAAAAATCCGCCCAAGCGCGCCTGTCTGAGTGCGAACAAAGTAGGTTGCCTGACTCCGGATTCCACTTAAGCGACTCCTCATTCATCCTTTTCTCTCTCCCTGTTTTTTGTGCATTTAGAGATGGTGGCCTGGGAACATCGGGGAAACAATTTCCATCAATTATTCCGTTTTTTCGTTCATTAAAAACCCAGAGTAATCGCGCCGATAATAATACCATCCAAGGAGAGACTTTATTGCCCCGGAGCTCGAACGACGCTTATATCGGAGGATATTTCCGTGATTCCAGGAGAAAGGTGGCACAAAATCCGAGCAAGCTGCGTCGGTCTTGAAGAAAGGTCTAAATGTCAACGTTCATCAGAGCCGCTCCGGTCGTACAATCAAAGTGAGTTATCGTGGGTTATATTGCCCGAGCTTTCCGGATATGAAGCATTAATTATCAACGACAAGAGTGCTTGGTGAACATGTGCCGATGAATCGGAGGTTGTATGATTCTGTACTGATGAGTGCTTGCAGTGATGCCCCTTTAAAATGCGGCTAGCATTCGTGAAGCAATATGCGGGGAAAACGATTTGTAAGTTGAGTATTAGCTGAAGCTCCGCTGATTCGAGACCGACCCTTCGAACGTTTGATGGCGGAATAGTATCTCTCTCGATCCCTGCGCGGGAGATTGCCAATGTATGTTGTCGATCATACACGGGGAAGGAGGGACCTGTTCTCGTTCATGAGACCGCACGGAACCCCCTGTTTCTACGCCCTGTTCCGTGATTCACCCTCGATTTTCTATTTCGTTTGAAAGACTAGCGCAATCAGTCATCAACGTGATTTGTGAATGCCTGTGAGCGGGATTCTCCTCGCCGATTTCCGTCTTCACTTTCATTGGAATGGATAAGCAGTTTTGTTCTGAAATTTTGATTTCCACAGCCAAAGGAAGTTGGCACGGTCGAAGCTGAACGGCATTCATCGTCACCCGAAATCACGACAACCAGTGCTCCTGCATGCGGCTCGCCAGATGTGAAACGAGGACGCCGAGGGAGAACTTCGGTTGTTGAACCTAGATTAGAGATTAAACAGACAAAGCACAGTCAGAGGACGAGCTCGAAAGCTGGAACAGTAATTTTTTTTCTGTTTTGTGAATTTTCTCTGATTTCTTTCTTCCTCGCTAGTTGTCGCAAAATCCTCATTCGATCGGGACCTTCCAGGAGACTCTATTTGAAGAGCCGGGCTCCCCGAAGAAGACATGTTTATCGGCAGCTTCCGCTAGCACGAGTCAAACAGGTCATCGACCAGCAGCATCACCGATGTCTGGTTGTCCGATACCGACAAAAGCAGCTGTCAAACAACAAGTTCCCAGCGTGAGTGCAGATGAGGGGCCTATACTCGATCGCGTTTTTTCCTCCCACGAAGCCTCTCAGAATCCCTTTCAAGCCATTTTTGCCACACCGAGCAGGAGTCGGAAGCGCTGTCGGAGAGACGCGATGATCAGAAGAGTTCTGAGGACAGCTCTAGGAAATCCACGAAGAAATCCACATCCCTGCCTGAAACTCTTGGCAAGGTAGGAGATCGGAATCACTCTCGGAGACCTAATCAGTCGATTCCCGACCTTGTCTAGGTTTTCTTTCTTCCATAGACCGAAGAGCTAAACAAAGCCCAGGGGAGCGCGGCGGCGAATCTAACAGGGAAACTCAACGCCGAGGAGTTCCGCAAACAAGTAGCCTTCCTAGAAATGACCGACGCGAGCATCAGAGCTAATATGGGCGTCGAACGTGAGTAGCCTCGACATTGGTTTTATCGAGGGAACGGACTCTCCGATTGAGTTTTTCGGGATTGAACCATGATATTACCCAAGTCGCCTGAATCATCGTCGAGGATCAAGAGAAATAATTGCGGCTTGTCCGCAGGCATGGACCCGGGGAAAGCTTTCGAAGCGATCGTCGCTCTGGAGAACAAATTTATCACGGCGCCCGCCATCAAACGATTTCCGAAACTGCTGAGTACCTTGCGACTAGTCCGTAGATACCCGAAAGACGAGCGGCTCGCCAAGAAAGCCGACTACATGTACAACAAAATCAAGCATTTCATGATGACAGTCTTCATCAATGAGGAGGAGAAAAGTTGAAGATTGCTCATCCCATGCATTCAACCAAACTCCAAAGGTTGCCTCAACGAGAATCGCCGATCCACGACGAGGTTACCGGTGCGGAAATGCAAGAACAAGTTCTCCATGATCTACAGTCATCAAGTCTCATCACGATGTGTCGTGATTTACCTCACTGCCACTGATGTTCTCCTTCTACATGACGAATACCTGACGTTGGGCTTTCCTTCGTGCACATTCAGAAGCTTCATAATTCTGATTTAGGCTCATTTGACGCGAATAAAATCCTTGTCCGCAAACATGCGCGATACGCCTCGTTCTGGAACTTGAACCTTTTTGATCCGTTTTTCGGCTCATTCTTCCCACCAATTTCGGCGCACAGGTGATCCGGCGGTTGCCGGATGATCCCCCGGTGTGCAAGTTCATGTTTTTTTTCTCTCCTTCTACCCTTGCTCCCAGTGATTGTCGAAACTCACCTCAAAACTCACGTGGTACTATGTGGTTCTAAGGCAAGCTGTACTTCGATTGTGGTCCGAAAGGCGCGGATTTAATTCTGTAGGGCGGATATCGTTCTCTTTACTGGAGTCCGGTGATCGCGGCCTTCGGTCGCGTTCGACGGCCGGTACCTACATGAACCGTGAATATTCTGGCTGGAGAGCATGTTCTTCGAGCCCCTTAAGCCTGCCCTAAGGACTGCTCGGATGTTCGAGGCTGCCTTTTCACGCATACCAACATTCCCTAGGATAAGAATCGAGCAAGTTTTTTCTGAGTTCTCCCACCACGGAATGAGTCTTACTATTAAGAAGGCCATTTAGTGGAGGCTACCCGTGTGCTCGGAACTGCCCCTAATTTCTTTGAAGACCTCCAAGCCGGCTTCACTATCAAAAAATGCTCTTCATCCAGAATAGCACGATATTCGGAAGATGTCCTCTTACCTTGAAGTACCCCTCAGAACTTGACCGACTGCTACACTAGATGCTGCAAGTTCTTATAGAGGGCTCTAGGGACCTTCTTAGGGCCCCTCGATCTCTGTAGAGCACCACAGGTCAATATCGAATACATTTGGTATGCGAGGAGGAGGGGAATTCTACCACGATAATGCCTGACTGAAGTCTCATCGCCTCCTTTTTTTGAATTCCCGTCCGCACTACTTCTCGTGCATCATCATGAAAATGGCAATATGCATCATCAAGATTTGGTATTGCTGCCAAGGTGGACTCTTCAGAAACATCAAATGCCCACATTGGTATGGGTCGCCGTCAGTCCAGCGTATGCAGCGGGGCACTCCTCGTTCCCAGAAAACCTTTGAAGTCCTCGGCGGAACACGGGCTGCCCGTAAGTCATGGCTAACCTGGAGCTCACTCCTAGTTCGGGGGCGCTCTGCTCCACAGCTCCAATCACTATCAATTCGCGGCTCACGTGAGCTGTCACGTCGCATATTTCGAGCGATTCGGTCAGAAGTTTCCGAGCCTGGCCGGCCGAGCACTTTTCGTCTTTTTCAACGGACCGTCTATCGTCTTTGTCATGTAGAATGATCAGCCAACTCCGTGACCTTTGACGGTTCCGCCAGTGGAGCGTGGAACCTACAGAAACCTTCACCGCCCGACGCATTTCTGAGAATTGATGTTACGTCCCGCCAGTGATGGTGACCAAGTTAATCCCGAGCCTCGTTCAAACAGAATTGGCTCCCAGAGTAAAAGGATGAAGGGCGATCCATATACGAGCCGCCGGTTTTCGATGCGAACAGAGTGAAACACCGTTCGTGGAATAAAATATCCCGGGAACTTTGCGCCGAACGATGAACGTATGGGAGGTGAGACTTTTCCCGTCAGAGTTGATCTATGCGATAAGTAGTTTTCCAGGAACGCTCGATGCTTCTGCTCCTTAAGAAAGTGGTCGGGGATTCCTCCCGAAGCTACGAATCTCGTATAGCGAGCGCCTGGCTCCTAGAGACCGTGCGACAGCGGGAGTTGTTGGAAAGTAAGTAAGAGTTTCACTGTCCGGCGCCCGATCAGCATATTCGCTCTCTCCGAGGCGACGCAGTGTCAGTTTCAAGCATAAATGTTCCCGCTGTGGGAGTGCATGCCCCGAGGATAGAGACTCTCACAACGCGACAGTCGTCTTTTCGAGCATCCCGTAACTCATCACTCATCATTCTAATGGGCGATCTTTACCGCGACTCCGTCGGGTATGGATCCGAACTTTGGCATTTACGAGGGTCTCTCGCTGCCGGGAATCTCGGTTTCGATGGAGCTATGCGAAGTGTGAGGAATGATGGATCTCGACAATTTCAGGCGACCGACGAATACGTGGAGCGTCGTCGCGGCTGCCGAACGAGACTTTCCGACCTCAGATATGGCTCCCTCGCTCCCAGCCTGCGCTTCGTTCTAGTGTTTCTTTTTCATAAAGCGATACCGATTTGACGATCCCGCGCTTGAGGCACCTCGCAAAACAAACACAACAAACGTTCTCCGTAAGGGAGCTCGCGCCCAGAAAGATAGCAGCAAGGTTCATGGGTGTATTCCAAAAAGCGACCCACGAGCGAGGTCTGTCTTTCGAGCACATGTTGAGAATCATTCTATTTAGCGACGAAGGCGAGGTGTGACGTTCATACCTCCATGGCCTTTTCTCGCGATAATCATCCATCTCAATAAGCAATCTTCCTCCGACTCCTCCGGAACGCTGTACCTCAAAAGGAATGACAGCTCCCATTACCAGCCGCACACTATCCCAAAAATGCCCACCTCCCCATCTCGATAAAAACGGGTGTCCCCAGATCTATCCTAATAAGTATTCCGCTCATTTTGAGGACCACGCGATCGTTCGCGAAGTCCGAAAGCTATCACCCTGAGGCTCGATTTTTGGCAGAGTTGACTGGCGCCGGAAACTTTGGACAAAACACCGTTAGTTGATCGAAGGACGCTGAATTCATGACACGCTAAGCGTCTGATATCAGGAGCCGTTGTCGGCCTCCCTGATTCAAGCTCCGAGACGGGGTAGCTTTCTCAATTTGTTTTTCACGGAGCAGTCCCATGTTTCCGAATGGGAGTGGAGATGCGCATACGAATCGACGTATCCATTAGCTGCTCTTGAAATTGGGCGTTCGGATTCAAGCGGGGCATACAGCAATCTTTCCAGCCTGGTAGAACGCGCTTCAGCGGGCTGAGCATGAGAACATTATGGCTTATTTTTGATCAAGGGGTAATTCGCCATTTGAATCGCAATGAGCAGATGACTTGGGTGGGTCTATTATGCAACAAGTAATAAGGTTTCAATGTTCCTTCGAAAGCTATGATAATTGCAAGCGAATGTTCGGAGCTTATCTAATCAATTCAATGGGGCGACATATGACTTAATGATCTTGATCTCAGAACGAGTCGTTGAAAGTTCAGCTTGTGATTAGCGGAGTTGTTCTAATACCTCCAGGCAATACTGTGTGAAATCAGAAAGGGGTCGCTGCCGATATAAGAACCGCAGTTCATCGATTTGATATCGTCAAAACTTTCCCGAAAACTGACGACTCAAACTCTCTGGGGAGTTTACTCTCACATGTATCGACCGAGTCAATATACATCATTCGGGAATCCCACACGCCGAGTACCGTTATTTCGGAATCCGCGGGAGCTCGTGTGGTGAAGGGGGTATCAGGCATGGCAAAAAATAGGACGCGCTTCGTAGCTGCGATTCCATGCGGCTCCCCATAGACGTCAAATGTTGAGCTGGAAGCGCGCCTTAAATAAAATCTGATGGACACTACTCGTCGGTGAAATGAAGATCATATCCTCAGACATCTCGGTAGAATGCTGCTCCCAAGCGAGGCAGAGAGAGTTCCGGTAGGTTGAAATGTTCACATATTCCGGGGAGGTGCTCCGCGAAGCATTTCTGACAACTTGATCAGGGCGTCGACAGGAAATGTTCGGGGATACGAGCACCGCCCACCGTGGAGCGGGCTTTTTCTACATCTCGAGAAAAATGATATAATGCGGGTGGGTTTTCGCAAATATCGATTTGGAGCGAGAAAACAGCTTCCCGTCGAACACTTTCGCGGCGCTTCCAGTCGCGGTTGTGTATCTGCTGAAGAGACAAGCTTCCATAATCCCGAAATTCGGCATTCGCGCGGCGCGCTGGAAATATCAATTTCCCGAAGTTGCTTCTGCTTGTCTTGATATTTGAAGGAGGATCAATAGCCCTCTGAGCTTATGCGTTCAGAACCCGGGGCGAGGAGGGTAATTCACGCAGTGTTCGTGAAGGCAAACGAATAACCGTAACACGTTTGCTTTCGATGGCTGCCTTCAGATCGTGGGTAAGGTGTCAGCGATCGCTTCGTATCTAATATTCTGTAATTTCCTCGCTTACGTAAGAACGTTGAGGTCCGTCGAGACTCGAGACCAAGGACAGGAGTGATCTCTATCAGGAGGTCGCTTCCGCAAGGCGACGAACGCGACGTGATGATGCACTGGATTTGACTCCTCTCTTTTTCCATTCTGAGAAGGAGCTAGACATGGATGGCACATCCTGCGAAATCAGGAAACGAGGAGTAGCCCGAAATTCGCGAACAACTACACTTCACCAGATCTCCTTCGTATGGTGTTTTCAGAAGCGTGATTCAGATGTCTGGAAGTGTCAAAATTTCTTAGAATGACGGCTATTTCAGCTGTCGTTTGGCGTCATATCCTGAAAAGGGAACTCCCATGCGTTGGAATTCTAATCTCTCCTCTTATATCTTCGTCATTGTTTTTTCCATCATTCCCAGCGATTCGGATATCTCTCGGGACGGATTGTTTCCAACAGCATTGTCCGATGATAGCAACGATATGGAGCGAGAATTCATCTAGTTTGAAGTGTATGCCTGTTTCAAGCCCCGGGGCTGGTCGCCAAAGCCGCCGCTGCTGGTCAGTTTTCCATCGTCGCCGTTGGTTGCTATAGCGACAAGCATGTCTTCAAGACACCAGCTTCTTTTCTATTCCTCCTCCTCTTTCTCTTTCATTTCGCTTCCGGCTTAGTTCACTTTCGGCAGTTCGGTCTTCTACCGTCGCGCCGGTCGCCGCAAATTTGTCTCCACCGGGCAGCAGGGTCCCTGGCATACACAGACACAAATAGGAAACAGGACGCCTGTGTATTTTATCTGTCGTTGATGTTCTTCCATTTCTCGGACAAACTATTCGCGAATATTGACCAGAAGCATCATCGATGCGTCTAGACTAGGAACGCTGTGTATGCGGTAACAGTTACGCGAGAGGACGCTCCGATGGGACATCGGATTATTTTTCAGCGGCCTTGTCCGAAGTCCAACTTGGCGTATCTCCTCGAAACGATGATTGGATACTTCATCTGATCGACTTCCCTGTCTTGGCTCGATTGGTTTAGGAAGCTTCTAAGATGTGAGCACTATGTATGTTGGGATGAAACTCCGGGCGTCTGATGGTCAACAGGAGCGACTCTCACAGCATGAAGACGCTCCGAGGGAGCGCGCAACTCAATCGCGGGAAACGTGGAAAAACATTGGGCAACATTTTTATACCGTGTTCATTCTTCCGAATTCCCCATTGTGTGCTTCATTTATCAGCATAAAGCATCGTTTTGGAAAGCCTCCCATCTGAGCGGTGAGCGGCCGCAAGACGAGCTCGGAAACATGTCCATAAATGATGATTGTGATATAATTCATAATCACTCGTGTGATCTGATGGTAGTGTTCGCTCAAATGGGACCTGTGTAACGGAGTCGCGGGATCTGCTCGGAAGGGAGTGCATTCAGCCATTGGAATAGATTAATGTTCTGATTTACAGCTGCACTTGGACGTCTTTCGTCTGACCAACATATGCGCGACCATGAGGAAGGCATATTCTCACGCTCGCATATGAATCGGCAAACATAGCGAGCCGAGACGTTTTTCTCACTGAATCCTTCGATCAATAAGAAGAAGAGCCGGCGATGGAGTGACGCTCGATGAATTCGAACCGTGCGTTGTTGTTATTTGTACTTCTGCGCTCTGACTTGCGAAGGTATCATGCGGCTACCAAAAACGCGCAGTCGACTGAAGCATTCAAATGGTTAAACTGAACACTTCACTGCATCCACCGCGGAGGATTTCGCAATGCGCGCTAGAAGCAATTTTTCGAAAGAAGGTTAAAAGATGAGTCTGTATCCGCTGGGGCGATCTGAAGTCACGGAGCGGAATATCAAAAACTGCGATGATGTGAAGGGTGAATGGAGATGAGTTATGCCAAAAACACAGACTTCGATTCGAACAAACGTTCTCCGGGATCAAGTCAGCCCTGAACAGCTGTGATTCCCATACGAAAGCCTGTGATTCCCCGAATGAGGATCTTGGCTCGTCTCGGATGGCGTTTCCTCTCGGGGACTAGCGGTGATGTGTCAAATGAAGAGGAGCATCGACCTTTTCAGATTTGATCATGCGTCTCGCTTGGACAACTCTTAGGGGATCATCTCGTTTGTGCGGTTTGCATGCGAGGATTCAGCTCGGTGATCGAGTCCTTGTGGATCTCATCACTCTATAGTTAGTGCCTGGAACGACTTTCTTCTATTTCCGACTCGAGCAGCCTTGTCGTGTTTTCTCGGTCTGCTTCACTTGCCATTTACGCAACCTTGGATTATTAACACTTTCCCTTCTTCTTTTTTTTGCGTATACGCAAGAATTTCCTGAAAGTGGCTAATAGCGATGAGCGCTATTTTTGCAGCGAATTGTTGCCGTACGCTCACGGTGGCGATGCACGAGCTTCGGAAGACACCTCACGGATCGCATGTGGTCGAACAGCGCGCGACAGGAGAAATATCCATATCCTTCCCGAAACGCGCGTCAATGATCGCACCGTGATTATGGCTCGCGGGAGAACCTTCCCGCGGACGAATTCAGAGTGAATAATTCTCGCTTGACTAGTGATGCATTCTCTATATTTCTCATATGGCTCGAAGACTTTTCCGAGGCGCGAGATCCCTCCAAGTACTCGGCTTTGCCGTACGACGTCGAAGTCGGTCCGACATCGAACGGAGCCCTCGTATAGCAGCGCCTTGGCTGGAATCACGAATCGGCTCCGCTCAAATAATCCGATGCCGTCGTAACCGAACGTGATCTTCAAAAAACCACTGAATGATTCACCAGTAACACCGGAAAAAGGAAACGAACGTTTCTCGTTTAGGTACTGCCGGACGTCAATTGTCAATTGATATCAGGACATGCGTCAAATTCCGAAAACAAGAAGCACTAATTCACTTGATCAGCGGCTTGGTCCCGGGAAAGCAACGAATTCTGGTGAAGTCCGCAGTCTTCAACGCCTGCAGTTAGTCAGCAACAATCGCAATAGAGAACCTCGTGGAGTGGAATTGAGCTAATAAAACTCTTCCTATTCTCAAGAATCGTCCCCCCAAATCAGGAGAACTCGCTTGTCGGTTTCGGATCTTTCCGGACAAGTATTCGCATTCTAGGAATCAGGGTCAATCGACGGAATCAGTGGGGTGAAAACTCGTTTCGGTCAGCGACGTATCTGAAAAACATTGAACGAACAAATAAGCAGAAGTCGCTTCCCCGACCCTAAATAGATGTTCTTATTCACAAAAAGCGAGTCGGGCCGAGCTGAGGAGGCATCTAAGCGATTATAAACATCGGACTTATCCATCCAGAAAGAGGAAGGCCATGATTGAGAATCTCGTCAACGATTTATTCATCTCAACAAACACATCTAGCTTGGTTCCTAGTTTCCTATGTATATATTTATATCTCTATCTACAATCCGAGGGCGAATATTCGCGTATTCGATAATCTGGCATCAAGGTACGGACAAGCATCATCAAACACTCCGTCTGAATACATTCTTTCGTCCCCCATCATTCCCGCGGTAGAATCCTTCAACGTACGCTCTCTCGCGTGTTCCCACTCGTGCAGCACATATCCTCTACCTTCTTACAGCTCCGATGGCGACAGGCGACTATGCAGACATTCTCGGGGATCGCCCTTATAGGGATGAACCTAAGTAAAAGGCTACATGAAGGTCCTATAGGGGGGCAATGGCCATGACGCGCGTAGAGCCTCGACACGACAAAAAAGTCCCGCCGCATTCTTCGCACGTCCAAGAGTTCGCGGAGGCATTCATTTCTCAAGTCAAATTGCCGGCTTGATACAAACAACAATCTGATAGTGGTCAGGCTTATAGGCCGCCCGCCAGAGTTGACACTCACTAACAAAAAACAACTTTTCATGACAAAAGTCTTCGATGGTATGAGTTGAAGAAAAACACCTGCAACTGACTATCACAGCAAAGTGGAAATTCAAACGGTCGAATGGTATGATGGCTATGAGTCACTTGACATCTTGTATCCTGAGTGTTTCACGTGACTTCTGTGAGAGAAAATATTCTAATGAAGGCGGCGGAAGGCTCTGAGAAAGCCCGACGTCTCAACGCGGATCGATGAATCGAAGTTTGCTGAGGGCAGCGCAGACCATTTGCCGTCGGCCAGTTTCGACTCAAACTCTCCGCCAATCCAATGTTGAGGCACTGTGCGTTGCTGATAAGGCTGCCTTTGATTGTGTTCCACTTCGTATGATGAGGCCTTACGATCAGATTCGGAGTCAGATCCAGATTTTTTTTGCATCGCCACGATCGAACCTTCCGACTGCGTGGATTCACGCTTGCACCTACATATTCCAGCCCCGTGCTCACAATCCAGATTCCGATGCCGGGTTCCGTTCGATCAGTCGAAGATGGCAATCTTGCTTATCTAATTTGCGATATATTACTCTCGATCAGCCGGGTCTGTCCGGAACGACGACAATTTCACACGCCATGACACCAGCTGCTCGGGCCTGAAGACAATGCCGGTCAGCGACAGTGATATATGTATGTATGATCCCTTGGGAAAAAAACGTCGGTATTCCAAACAGCTGGAATTCTGTCATCGCTGTTGTTGTTGTTGTTGTTGCCGTCGCGGGGAAGTTAATGAAGGACTGAGTTGGTATCTTTCAGGGACAATTATGAGCAAAACATTCACAGGTCAAAGAGCACTCAGCACGGCAAGGCAAGAGCCTGTACGCGCGAAACAATAGTCCGCTTGGGAGCCTGCGGGGCAGGAGAGAAGTTCCTATCGTTTCCAAGTTCTCCTTCACCGTGCTTTCTGTCGCGAATTGTGTAGCTCCCGACTCGTCTTTGGCTGCTGGCATAATAATCATCATCATCGTCGTGGTTGTCGTCAATTTCCCTTGTCGTTCCTCGACGAAGTTTGCCCCTCCGTCTCGTTTGCTCTTCAGCTCATTTGTCTCTCTCGGTTTTCTTCTGCATGTGACTAGCATGTCGCAACAACACAGGCAACACTACAGCCCCACGGAAACCAACATCAGAGCTCAAGGTGATGCCTCTTTGAAAAATCGTACGACAACGATTTCTGTTTTCTGGCGAATTATAATATCTCGGATGGAAGCTGTGCGGCCGCTTCCTCTGAAATAAGTCATGCCCTCGTTCGGGATGTCACTGCCGAACGTTCAGGTTCCTAGAGGTTCGCGAGTATCCAATCCACCGACACTGAGACTTGGTGATATATTCCGGGCTGATGAGACTGCGCACATCCGAAACCGGCCGAGGTTATTCCCACGATAGTCCATCGACCGTTCAGGAATAAAGTCATCGGGCCTCCTGAATCGCCTACGCATGCATCGCGTTTCCCCTCCTTGTAGCCGGCGCACATCATTTCTGGGAAGATCTTGATGTGGATGCCGCGGAGCTGATGCCACTTCTCACATTCCTGTCGCGTAATGATGGGCACTTGCACTTTTTGAAGAACTCGCGTTCCGTAACGGTTGTTCAGCGACGCATCGGTTTTCCCCCACCCGGTGACAGTCGCTCGCCAACCTTCGAATGTCCATCCGCGCGGCGGCAAACAAACGGGCAAAATGTTCTCTTGATACTGAACATGCTGATCCAATCGGAGCAGCGCGACATCGAAGCGGTCCGGTTGCGAGGCAGAAAACGCGAAATTCGGATGGATCTTCTTCTCGACGATCCGGTACGTTCGGGCGGACGAGCTCCGCGCGTACCGAGTCGACTGGATGTCGAACGCACCGAGCACGACGGTGATTCGACGCAGCGGGTTGAGATGAACGCAATGCGCCGCCGTGAGTACGTAATTATGACTGACCAATGCCCCTCCGCATTGCTGGCGTCCGATCTTTATGTGAGCTTGCCAAGGAAATTCGCCAAAGTTCGCGTCGTCCCCGCCAATAATTCTTCTTTGTAGTTTTTTGTGATTGCTTGTCTGGCCGCAAACAGCGTTATCGTCGAAGCCGCTTTCAATGGCTTTTTCAGTTTCAATACCGGGAGCTCCGAAACTAACTGGTAGCGCATTAGCCGAGCCGAGCACGGAGCCAAGGTCGAAATTGGGTGAACTGCGAGTCATTACCGGCTTGTAGCAGCACGCGTAGAATATCGAACCGCCGCAACGACGGGTAGTCTGTCCTCCCGAAATATAGCAATGCAGTACAGACATGCATTCCCCATCTGTGCGTGCGCAGGCAGCCGCCGAAGATCTTCCGACATCTTCCCCACCGTACTGTCGGCGTTGCAGCACGGATCTGGCCCGCCGAAACGTCGGATTTTCGTAGCTGAGATTTCCGGCTATCGAATGCGACGGCGACGTTAACAGCGACGACGGTGCGTAGATGTTACCCGTTAGCATTTCGAACGGTGCATGAGCAACGGCACCTGCTGCGAGTTTCGAGCCCCCGACCGCTGCGGGTCCGAGATGACTGTTGGCAAAGAAGAAGAGGATGACTAGGACGCGGGTGTCGGGAATTAGCCAACAGCGACTGGAACTTTTCATCGCGTATCGTTGTAGGAGTAACAGTATTTTCCCACGAACGCACGCACTTGTTATCACATCAGGCTGGAATTCGCCACAGCTGTCTCATCGAACTCGATTTTCAGCAGTTCCAGCACCGGCTGACGCGGTGGCGGCGGCGGCGGCGATTATTACGAAAGAAGAGGTGAAAACGGAAGTTGTAGGACAGCACCAACAAGCAAAACTACCACTATTCTCACTCGTATGACCACAACCGTAAGAAGCGCTCGAAGAATCAGCTGCCGAAGGAGCACAGTGACGGTGATCGAGGCGGCGGCGGCGGAGACGACAACGACGACACGCACGGCGACAACATAAACGCTCGATCGCTCGATGGGGAAAATCCGCCAGTTTGTCGAACACGGTAAATTTTCAACGACGATTCAAAAACGATCACACACGCACAGAACACGCCTATGGTCCACCCCGTCAACGTCTGACCGAGTCGGGATCGCGCACCGAATTCACATGGGAAAGTATCTCGAATACTCCCGTAGACCCGCTCGGCAATCCATGCCTTATCAAGTGCACAACGACGTTTGCAGCCTTCGCTCGTCGCCCTCAACAAGCGGGGTTCTTATACTGCCGTAAGTGACGGTGGTGGTGGTGTGAGTCCCGTCGTCCGATCCCACCAACTGGTGGCTGTGAGCTTTGCCGCCCAGCAGCGCGTCTCACCGCGAGGGGTGAGGGCTTGCAGATAGCGCGAAACCGCTTCTTCGTCAGCTTCTTTCTCGCTTGTTTGATTTTCCTGACGCCCTGCTAGATCCACTGTCTGTCTAGAAGACTACCAGGACCTAGTTGGGCCCTAGTCGCTTCTTCATCAGGCTGCCTGTCTGCTCGCCTGTCAGTCCGTTTGTCCATCGATCCTTTCCTCAAGCCTCTTTCCGATCGTCGCCTGACGAGTGTTCAGCTGCATCGACAGACTTCATCGTTCAGACGCTAGTTACGAAATTAAGAGAAAAGAGAAACAGCCGAGTCATGATGCAGGCGCCGCTCTGTCACCTTCGACCAGCTCGCCACCGCCGAACGCTCAAGAACGAATCCGTCGATTGAAATGAATAAAAATAATATTGAATAAAAACTGCGGCGAGCCCACCGACTATCTGGCCGCCAATTGAGCAGAAACAGTGATTGGCGAGAGACTGCACGCCGTAGTTTTGGCTACTACCACAGCGAATCAGTACGGACGGAACGATACTCGATCGGTCTCACGACGAATTCGGTTTATTTGGACATTGAAGTGGCTGGCTGCAACTGCGGATCGGAATCAATCTGCGCGGTCGCATTCGATGGAAAGCGATCGCACCAGAATAAACACTGCCGACCTCCTGTTTCTGTGAGTCGGAAGCGAATCCATGGTCGGTCGAGGTTCCCCCTCACAAGAAATCTTTATCGTCACACTGTGAAGAGCAGAGGAAATATATTCCGACACGAGAAGCTCTAGAAGTCACAAGTCAGAAATCATCCAGAATGCGGGTGGAGGTCGCGCGCGAGAGCGACGCGTGGCTGACTGGGTCGCACTCGGTGAAAGAGCGAGCCGCAGCCACCGCAAATCAAACATTAGCTCTCCGGATCGACATGAAAGTGAGCTTCCGACAAGTTCATTCAGCCCGTCGGATCATCTGGGAGGTTCCGGCTCTCATTCGTCCGGAACTGCTCGATTCCGTGCGGCCTACGGTCGTGCTCAGATGCTGCTCTCCCGTCCGGTGGACTCATCTGATTCCAATTCCTGTCGACTAGGCTTGCGTCAACGCGCACGGATCGGGAATATCCCGTTACTTCCCCGAATCGATTCTGCTTCTTTCGAGAAGAGGGTTGTATCCGCTTGTCCTTGAGAGGCGCCGCGCTGTTTCATGACGACTCCGGAATGCTGGGAAAGTCCATCCCATTTGATAGGGCAGGCTCCGAACCAATTCTACGGGAGATTCGATCCACCTAAAACGCTCTTTGGGAGTGCGGGCATTGTCATGCAGATGTGACTCATTCTCAGTCTGGCGTGATTTCGAGCGGTACTCATGGGCGGTCGGTTCCGGCTACGGGTGAGGTCTCATTTTTTCCACGTACACATCTTCACTAATCGACTCACAAACAAAAGTCTCTGCACTGCGTCAATATGAGTTTCCCCCAGCGTCCTCGAGTTCGCCAGGAGTACCTCAATGCAACGCGATCGGGAGAAACGAAGGAGTAGCAATTTTCTGCGACCCGTTCTGTAGGAGCTCCCAGAGGTGCGTAGGGGACGGGCTGACCGAGAGTTCGAATAAACCATTAGTTGTACAGGTGATCGTGATCCCAACGCCGAATCGACATCGAGGCTCCGTGAAGACAGCCGAGATTTGAAAATCCGTGACTCCTCGTGACTTCACGGGAGGCTCCGTCCACGGACGGTACAGCGTCCTTCCGAACCGATTTGGGAATATTCTGCAAGTTCAGTCCCCTCGGATGCAAACACGAAGTGAATAACCTCGGGGGCTCCCTTTAAGCAACTCGAACGAGATCCTCCCGTATCCTTAAGACCACCCCGTTTAATTGTCGGAACCGCAAACGATCAATCAGCTCCGGAAAGCCCGTCGCGAGCCAGCCGCTTCCGGGATAATCGTCCGCGGAGCGACTTCTCAACAAACGCGAGAACTCAATGAGCGGCGAGAGGGTTTGGAGTCTACTGATCGGAGCCATATCCATCGCGCGTCGCTCATATGAGTGAGCGGTGAGCGCACCGAGGTGAGAGTCAAGGCGCAGTAGATCAGGACGACGCTGTCTTCCGCGCCCTCCGAGTCCTCACCGGCCGAATCATCGGGTTTCATAATGACAAACACACTCGGGAGATCCTTACGGTGAATGAAATAAGTGGTCAACTGGGCTTTCCGGGTTTCATTGTTCCCGAGGAGAATCAAGAAATTTCCCATGATATCCATTGTGGCGTCGCTTCGTACATACGCGGGCGTTCGCAGGTGAACATCCCGGGCGGGGCAAACTGCGAAGCGCGCTTCGCCAGACGATGTTTGAAGAGCGGCAATTCCACATCGGTTCCGTTGGTCGGGCCGGGAGTTGTCGGAACGAGGCAGGGGGAAGTGACTGCCATTGTTTCAATCAATGGATCGACCAGCCGCTTCCGATTGGTATCCCACAGTACGAGTTTTTGCACGGTCAATGTGGAAGTGCCTCCCCAGTTCCCCCGTAACAGCCAAACGACTCGTGAGAATTACTCGCTGTCGTTCGGTCCACGTTCTAGAAAGATTTGCAAACCGTTAAGCGATTTCTAATTCGAAAATAGAAGCAGTGTATTTCGAAAGCCGCGTCCAATTTATTTGACGGCTATTTAGGATTCGGACAAAAACATTTCCAGTGCATTCCTAACTTTAGCTTACTTAGTTCTCATGTCAGGGCTGCTAATGAAGTGATCGCCGAACACTCGACTTCCTTGAAAACTGCTGCTCCCACTCGATCGGTTCGTTGTTCCTATGACCAGTTCCGCTCTGTTTCTAAATTAATGTCCGCTTCGAAAGCTTCGTCCGGCTGCATCCGATTTTCTGTTCCTCTTTTGGAGTCGATGGTGACTTGCGGGAACATTCTGACGTAGCCGATGAAATTTCTATCACTTCTATGCATTGTTAGACAAGACGTGATGCTGTTCTGTCCTCTGTGATCCGAAAGCGGCAAGATGTGTGGCCGTCGCCGTAATCGCCTAAACAACAGCAAGGCGCATTCGAACAAGGGACTCTTTCGATTTATTCGACCGGTATCGACACCGTGGTGTGGGAGTAAGCTCGTACTCGCTCGGAAATAGTGGCTCGTGGCGAAAATGGGAAACTGCGGACAGGGCTTCAGCCGCATGCAGGAATGTTGTCCAATCGACAGCAGAGCTCGGTAATTTTTCATGAATCGAAGACTGAATCGTACAAGAAATTCCGGAAATGTGTCACGTTTTTCTCGCCCCAAAAATGCTACCTCTATCTGTTCGATCTCGCTGTCCCCTCGTCCGCCCGCTTTCTTATCCATGCGCCCCGGGACCTATCGTCCGCGTCCTCATCCATTTGCTGCGGAATCGATTCTGGGAAAATGAAGGTTTGCATAGAAATTCTGTTTATTCAACGATCCATACCGTGATAGGGCAAAGCATATGACGCTCAATATAAACCTTTCGACACTGAGGTCAGTGGAGCCTTATCTATAGTCCACCGATTCCCATTGTGCTCCACCTTCCATTAGATCTGCTTGTGTAAAAAGGCTTCAATAATGAAGTTGCTTCTTGACTGAACAGCGAACGGCCGCTCTGCCCCGTTTGAGATGTGGGAGCGTCATCGATACGGGGTTATACCCTCAAGTCCCATACTCTGAAGGAAGGACATACTCTGTAGAAATTCGAAAATGATGCAGCCATATCATAACGTGATACGTGGATTGGTACAAAATTGTAAAAAAGCTTCATGAGCAGACTGGGCAGCATAAGAGCAGAGCTGGCTGTACGACACCTTGCTTCTCATACACATCGGCACTAATGTCACTCGTTCGCCGCGAGTTCCGAGCCTATCGTGTCATATTCCAAGGGTTACCCGATGAGCCTAACAGATCTAAATCTTCAGTTAGGATCGTGTATGACCGTCCTAATGGTTTCGAGCCATCGCTGGAAAGTGTACTCGCTCTCGGCTCGGAAGAAATACGTGTGCGACTTGAACTGTAGCTTAATTACAAAGGACTTGTCAATGTTATCTGCCGCATCCGGAAAACCAACACTATAACCAAGCAGTGGCAAGCAAGCGAGCGGCGTCGTGTCCTGGTATGACTTATAGAAGAACAAGCTGAAGTCGCTGAAAACTATCCACAATTTCTGCCAGCCGGTCGAATGCTTGAATTTACGCAGAAGGTATCCGGACATGCACTGGGTGAGACCGGCCTTCTCGTAATCGTCCCGGGCGGCGCTCACTTGACGAAGCCAGCAAACATGAAGGGTTGTGTTACAACGAGGGTATTGGTTGCTCTTGTTAAGATGGAGATATTGATTATTATTATTGTTCTTGTTGTTGATACTGTTGTTGTTGTTGACGGTGCTGCCGTTGACCACGATGTTCTGATCGCTCATTATGTTACGCTCATTGTTCCGGAGCTCAGCGTCAACGTCATTGTCTTCGTGGCGGCCACCAGCGCCGTTGGTTTTACCGTTGTTAATGTGGTTGTTATTAGCCGTGTCAAGAGATGCATCCGACGAAGAACAGGAACGAAGCGTGCTGTACACGTGAATTTCTTCATCAGGGAAAGAGCACGCGTCCACGGCTCGCTGGATAGCAGTCAGCCAGCGGCGTCGTTGATCTTCCGAAGGTGCGGCCAACGTCAGTGCGCGCTGAGGGGCGTAAAGTGTGAAGCAGTATTCGTTTCCCATTCGCGCTTCACTGGCCTCCACCACAACGCCTCTCAGCTGTACTTGGCCGCGAGCTTTGAACTTTAAACCTGGACTGTCGGGACATCGGTCAGCGAACACGAGGCAATCGTCGAACAGGAAGAACATCCGCTGCTGGAACCCCTTTTTCGAGAGCTTCAGTAGGCAGCCTTCGAGCAGGAACTGCTTCTTGCGAATTCCGTCCACGTCCTTGAGATCGCGCTCGAGCTCCATGAGCTTCACCCGGTTCTTCGTTTTCTGAGCTTCGCTGTTCATCGGCGTGATGACCGGTTTCAGTTTTTGGATGACATTCCGACAGTGTATGCTGTCCGGATGGTTGGCGTGGTAACACTTGGCCAATTTCGAGCAAGTGCGCGCGTAGTGAGACAGTCTGTGGAGCGGTCTGGTGAAGAGTAGCGTGAGGGGCACGTAACACGATTTATGCATCTCGAAACTCTCGATGCTACAACGGAAGCTGGCGCTTGAGTTGAACGCTTCCTCGTACGCTTCCAGTAAGCTGAGCAGTTTGCTCGCGTACTCTTGATAAATCGGAACGAGAAGGTCGCAGTATTCCCAGAGAAGACTCCCGACATCCTCCAGGCTCACCGGGTTGACTCCGGTCACTGGTCGCCCCTCCATGGCAGCTATCCGATGTTCTAAGTCCCTCAAGAGATGACAGTGATGTTTGAACATCGGTTCTAAATTGGCGAAAAGCTGTTGAATGAAAGCTACGTCCGCGACCGAGTTCTCGTCCTCCGATTGCTGACACCCGATTGTCTTGTCGAAATGATTACGGAACCAAAAAGTTATGATCTCCAGGTCGCGTTTATACGTGCGTTCGGTCATGAGCAATTCTTTAGACACGTAGTAGCTAGTCTCCTCGACTTGCAATGAATTCGGTCTGCTGTTGTTCGACGGGGTTTGCGTTGGCGACGAGTGCAGTTCCAGGAACAGGTTCCTGGCCGGGCCGTCGTCGGCCAAGAAGTTCCCGACTCGGTTCGTCTCTGCGATTAGCCGCAAGCTCTGTGGACGGGAATTCCCGTGGTCACTCCTCGAGGTCAGCGATCTCCGGTGTTGATCTTCTCGAGCTAATCGTTTTTCTTCCACGATCGGTGACGACGTAGACGCGGGGGGTGGGGTCGCGGTGATGTAGGCGCTACCCCGACTCGGAGCGTCTACGGAGTGCTTCCCGATCGATGGCCAGCCTTGGCGGAGGGTCAGAGTCCTACGGAACGCTGCGCCCCGCGACGGCTCGCATGCGTCGCGTGCGAACTCGAGCACTTGCTGTTGGGTGCGACCCGAGTAGCGGAACGAGGAACCTTTGGAGAAGATTTTCGTTGTGTTTCGTCTGACGGGAGCCTTCGGCAGTTCGCTCAATCTGAAGAAACAGTAGTTTTCAACGCAGCGCTTCCAGAAGCTCTTTGCTGCGTTCCTCGAATCGAACGTGAACTCCTCGACTTTCTTGTAGTAGCCGTAACCTTCGGTGGGATGGAACTTGATGAGGAACCTCTTGCGTTTGAAGCTCAATTTCCGTATCGTCGACCATGAGAACGTGTTGATTCGCGTCGAACTCTGCAGAACGAGAATGCCCATGTGCGCCACGGCAAGGTTGAGAACGACCTGTCCGTTGTCTCGTGCGCTCACTATCTTGACGCCGTAGAGCTCACATTTTCGGACGTGGTCCAAAAGGTTCAAGTCGGCATCGAACGGTGACTGGCCGACGTGCTTTTTGTGATAGCTCATCACGAGCTCTTCGAAACGCCGCGTTTGTTTGGGTGTGAATTTCGTTTTCGACAGATATTCGCCGTCACCGCATTCGCTGTGAACGTAATCACCGAATGTAGCTTGAACAACGTACGAACAGAGGAGAGCGATGACGTTTTCAGATTCCGCGACGAGATCTCCCAGAGCGAGATCCTTTTTGATTTGTAGAGCGAACAGGTACCGGGTGTACTCCTCTTCGAGTTGAGTGGGATCGGGCACGTAGAACTTCACTTCGAACTCCATCAGGGGCTGATTCCTATTGGCTAGTCCGAGCTGATCGCCCATTCGTTTACCGTAGTCGAGCCAGTAGCGGACTCCTTGCGTGTCCTGGTAGCCGAGGCCGAAATAGTCTTTTTCGGCCAAATTGAGGTAGTGGCAGACTTGGTCGAATAGGATCTGACCCTCTTCCTTGAGCGACAATTGGAACGTTTTCACGGAATCGTCCAAGAATTTCACGTCAACAGCGAAATCATTCTTGCCGTCTGGTTTGCCTGCTTCCGATTCTGGCTCCGGCGGTACCGTGAGCTCCATTGTTGCGGGCAAGATTTAAGCTAAAGATTTGACAAGAGATTCCGACAAACTGATGTCACTTGTTGCTTCCTGTGTTTGCAGATTGTCGGCGCTGCCGCACGCTGTCACCGGCTTCCGTCAGAACGTTGCCGAACTCCACCATTTGAGTTCATGGGGATGATTCGCTTGCGCACAATCAGCTGGAGCACATTTGGAACTATGTCGTTTCGCTGAATTCCCGAAACATTGGCCATCCTTTGGGGAACGCCATCTTCGTTTGGCTCTTGCAGAAACCCACACACAACCCGACGGCTCTACGAGCGGCGTTCCACCGCTCACTAACACACACCACCACCGACAGGAGCAGTACTACCGCGGCAGCAGCAGCGATGGTTGCTCGTCGTGCTCCGCTAGTTCGGGAGGAACGACCGCATAGAATCTTGGTACTTTACGAGAGCGCCGCATGATGCGCGATTCGACTTCGGGGGGTGATCGGAACCCCCAGATGGCTAATCGGCGATCATGAAGATCTGGCGTCGGAGCCTTAGTTCACCTAGTCGAACCCTGAAAAGTAGCTGCTGCGAGCTGCGAAGACTCGATATCACGAAAGTGATCTCGACGACACTCGGGCTTCTATGTAGACGAGCTCTGCGGAGATACTGACCCGACAATGAACAGATAAGAACGCACATACGCGCTCCGATCTCCATTCCATGGGCGCCTCCGCATCCCCCATGGATTTTCGAAGTTTTCAGGGAAGGGAAAGAGTGGAGACTGAACTCTGGAACCTAGCCTATATCATGGGGAGGAGGCAATCAATTGAGAAGGTCGCTTGCAGACCGCGAAATGCATACCAGAAGGATCATTCTTTGCTGGAAGAATATTTCTAGCGTAAACGGATAGCTTCAGCTAACCAGTGTCTTCAAGCTTCAGAATTCGATGCTCTTCCAACACACGGCGACAATCAGAATCGGAGTCCGGGGCGCTACTTCTCTATGCCATGTTCTTACATGTTATGTTCGAAAATCCTTCCGATTTTAAGATTCGATCCGAGCTCGCCTTTCTTGTTCGTGTTGCGGAAGAGGGAGGGCGTGCTAAGGACACGCCTAACCTCGAAACCGCCCCAGTCGCTCGTCTAGTCGTCTCGGAGTCCGCTTCACTCGAGCCATTCCAAAGACCGAAGCAGTTGAGAAGTATCACCACGGTCAGCATTGAGTCCGGCAAGCCCCGAGCGGATCTTCTGCCAAACTTGTCCTGACTGCCATAGAGAGGACCGATGCTAAGGCGACAGCAGTAGAGAGCTTCGGAAAATCAAAATTATTGACTCAGGGAGTCTCGAATCCAACGATATCGACGTCCCGGGAATCAGCTATGTGTGACGGGGATGAAGGGATGAGGGGAATCATATGTGCGCATGAGGGGTCGAAACGAATCCAATCTAAACGCCTTCTGCCACCTTGAACCTCACCACTGATGATGTGCTCCTCTAGCCATCATTTTGCGAATTCACCTGTAAGTCGCCTCGGATAAAACCGTAGAATAACATTCAATGATTGAATCCTACAGCAGTATCACTTCGTGAAGACTTCCTGCTTTCAAAGGCTCTCAGCCGCGTCCAGCCGACTCCATTCACATGCAGAGGACTGTCGGGCATCGGATGTCTCTCTCCGCTCTCCGCTGATATACCGCCGAGTTTTCTGATGAGGCACCGAGATGTGTCCTTGTGCAGCGTGTGCAATCGATAGGAAGATACGAACTGACGGGCGAACTGACCGACATGAGAAAGTGGAGACAGACATAGCTCCGAGCCGAATGACGTACCGCTATGCAAGGGTCCTTCCCTCGGGACCCCATAGTGACGTTTTGAATTCCCGCGAGGAAAGGGGAATGCTCCTTCGAGGGGGGAAAAATCAAGAAGAAACTTCCTCTGGGGGGTTCAGTGCCAAAGCCCCTGGAATATGTTTACGGGCTCCTCGGAGATCAAACCGGCAGCCGCCAGAGAGGGCGAGTTCGCTGTAAGAACCATCTAGGGACACACGATGGCCCCTTTCCGGCATATTCCGAGGTTATACTGAAGAGTCCAGCTGGACAGCTCCTAGTCCATTGAAAATTTGAAAATCGGCGAAGTCGAACCCCGAATGGATAAGAGAGCAGCCCCTCTCGATAGAACTGGCTCGATGCATAAATCGAGTGACAGCGCATCCTTCTGTTTCGTCCCTCGAAGGTCAGGAATTCCGGAGCTTCGCGGAAAGCTTCGAGGAATGACTCGATGGCGACTTACTACTCCGAACTTTGCCGACAGCACCTTCAACACATCCCTCCCAGTCCAATCAACACAGCCACGGCATACGATGTGATGATCTGTGATGTTCTCGGCTTCCAAACCCCGGAACGGTTTCGCTTCGATCGAGCAGCATCTCTCTTTCTCGAAGATTGCATGACGCAAATTGGCGGAGATGTGTCGGGTATCGACAACCAGAACGAGTCCCCGGAATTTAATACACATATGTGTGCGGGGCCACAGTATTATGCCTATTCTTTCTGCTTCGTTCAGTTAGAGAGATCTGTCTCCAGCAGATTCGGGAAGCTTCGTGAGCTCCGGCAAATCATCAAAAGAGCGCGTAGGCGAGCAGAAATCGTTTTTGATTGAATCTGATTGTTAACAGCTAATACGTTTTATTCCAATGTTCGACAGGGATCATCCACTTTACAATCAAAGTTCTCGAGGTCAGTCGTATAAATATCAATGTATACGTTGGTGAGATCTGACCTGCGCTAGTGTTCCTGTTTAGTGCGAAAAAAAGGTCTTGATGGACGTGATACTGAAAGATATAGTAAAAGACATACGAGAAATCTTGATACAAATGTAATTTCGAGCTCCTTGTTTTGCTTGGCGGAACTCCGCGGTCCTAATATTAAACTCGTCGAAATCTTTATCAACCTTGTGCATCGATAAAAGAACTCGGGTGCTTCGGGGGAAGGGCTGATCAGTTCGCCCTCGCTGGATACAACCTCGTCTAAGTTTGACACATGATCATAGTTGAGATTCAAATCAGATAGACGACAGGTTGTCCGTGCTTCTCGAAGGCTCGGAATCGGTAACTGCGTGTTTTCTGTTCCACCATCATACAGCGCCGGGGAAATTTCCCCATGGGATCGAGAGATCTCGCGAGCTTCGAGCGGCACGGATTTAATATCCTGCGGGTTCGGATGCGATGTGAACAATGAAAGAGGAAGGATACGAATTGAGAAATCATCTGTCTTGAACTCTATCACATCTTGGGAATCGGAAACGGGCCTCGCTCATCTTGAAGAATAAGTTTCAATACATCGATATATTATCATTATCATCAATATTATTATCATTATTATTATTATTGTTGTTGTTGTCAGGATCATTATCATTGTTGAATTATCATGGGTCGTCATATACCCTTCTTTTAAGAGTACGTTTGCAGTTGCCCAGTTAGTGTATGTATACCAGTTACGCAATCGTTTCGAAAGAAGAGAACTTGGTGCACGAGTGAATGGCTTGGAGCAAACTTCTGGTCGGACAACGGTAGGAACGGCGCACACTGGTACGGGACTAGTATCGTTAATGAAACTACGACCATTATAAGTTGAACGAACACTAGCAGCATAGGGTTTACATGTTTACAAACGGCACCGTTCCGCGCTCCAGCCCCGTCACCAACGTATCGTCCGCGGTCATTACGGTTTGAGCACCCTGATGACATTCTTGGAGATTACCAAAACCTATATTCCTCCCCGAGCCTTCCAGGGAGCGAGAACTGGCTCCGCCCTGCCCGAGCGCGGCGACTGGACTTGAGAGCTGCGGTTTCGCTCCGGCTCTGAATGTTTCATATTTCGACCCAAGCGGATCCGGAATTTCGGAGAGCTTCAAAAGTTTACAGCTCTCAATGAGGTAGATCATGGATATTCAATCTACAACACTTCAGAACGAATGGGTTACTGGAGCGTTTTCCTCCGACAGGGGGGGATACGGAGCTTCGAACCTAGAATGTGGTGGGCTCTGCAAGACTTTTGGCACCGCAAATCAGTTGAAATGACGACGGCTCCTCCGACGCTGAGGGAAGAATCGCGATTGCCCCCGCCTGATCCCCGCAATCAGAGTCGTCTTCCCGCCGGAGCAGTGTACGACAACTCTTTTCCCAACACGAAAGCAGCCTCTTTCAGAGTTGTTGTACCCTGAACCCTCTAATGAGCGTATGGAATTCATTCCCTCCTCCTCACAATTAGATTGTTTTTGGCTTGGCGAATTTGGCACGTCGGACTCGTATCCTAGCGTCCCCACATGATGAGAAGTTCCCCTCGGAGAGTAATTCAAACGATTCGCCTTGCCATAAGTCTTTCACGGTACCGGCGTGTTATCGCAGAGAAAATGTCTGCACTCCCGCGGTATAAGGAGCTCGAATACACGCGTTCCATCGTATCGATTGTGCTGTTCATGAAACGAAGCCGCGTCTCGTATCAACATCAATGGTTGCACAATAATGGCAAGTTGAAAATTCAACAACTTCTGAGATCTTCTTGAAACAATGGTTCCTACGCCGGGAGAGAGGCATTTCGCCTCCCACAGGCTGAGCTACGCCACCGAATAATGGATCGAACACTGGGATCTCAACGATTTGTCAAAGACAACAGGGAAGTGTTTACGATAAAGACAAACGGCATGTCTACGAAAACCACCAGGTTATGTAATGGGACAAGTTTCTGACTATCAGAAAGTTGTGCCCAAGCGCTGGAGCTGAACTTCAAAACGTGAACGAAAATCCTGATTCTGAGTCGTATTGATTCAAAGTATGGCGAACTGGAGAGCTATGTCGCTTCATGTGTGCGTTGCGGCTCTTGATCTTCTCGAAAACTCTGCAAAAAAAGTTCCCTAATTAGGCCTCCGTTCACAAGGAGTTTTGAGCCACCCGGGTCGCGGCGTGGAGAGGGAATAAGCCGGGGGCCGATATCCGGAAAGATTAGGCGAAGCAGGGTCTCCTTGAAGTATCCTCCGGGCGATAATTACCTGCCGCAAACTTTGCACGGGAAATACTGTTCGGACGAACAAGAACCCTCTTTGAAGTTGCTGAGTGAGCGGCCGGGTATCTCTCGCACGGCGCAACAATCCTGGCAAATGGAGCATCCGACTCCTTTGCACGGGCATCGAGCACATGCATTGCAATCAGCGGTGACTTCGTACGTGGTGGGAATACTTTTGCGCTTTCGGGACTGACGTAAACGACGGTACTCGTCAACACAAAACTGCAAAGAAATTCGGTCTCCGTCATGCGGGCTCGACGCAGAGCAGTCGCTCTCCCGATCTATTGCTCTATGGCGAATGCCGATCCATGAATTCTCGGATACCTTCTTCCAGAAGTAATACATTTCAACACAAGCTTTGATATCCTTTCCGCGAACCCTCGCAGCTATTGCACTGAAATCCGAAGGGAAAGATGGGATTTTTAGTCGCGAATTTCCTCGGTAATCATACACCGGATAGGGTGACATGCGTTCCTGATCCGGACAAAGGGCTTCCGAAAATCTCGTACCTGAAATCCTTGTCGTGAGAGATGAGTGCGTGATGAAATGCATCGATCTGTTTCTGACTCCAGATCTCACTTTCTTGATAGTTGTATGATAGCAGATGGTGGTCGGGAGGCAAGGCAAAGCCCCGTGTGCTCTGCACGAATGCCCGAACCGCAGCGTCTAGATCTCCTCGGCAGAGAGCTAAGACATGGAAAGCCAATTCAATGTTGCGACCCCCACCGTGCTGGATCAAACCGCTCGAGGCGATCCGCAGATACAGTTGCACTAGAATCGGAAACACGTACGCATTACAATTATTTCTTCGAGGATCGCGATATTCACCGACGGAAAACTAGACAGCAACCGCGCCATCGACGATCAAGGCCCAGGAGGAACTTACGCTGTGCGTCGGTGACGTTTAGCGCGTACTCTGGTTTCCAGACAAGATCCGCCATTTCATCTCTATCTGCATAGTCTTCTGTTGGTTTTGCGATCGAAGTGCTAGGTATCTCTACAGCACCGCTTTGAGCAGAAGGAATCGCGGCTTGGAATTGGGGCCCGATGTTGACATGCGGAACCACATCCGAAGCGATCGACTCCGCGACCGGTACGAACGACCATGCGGGTGCTGCGAAAATAGACGGACAAATCGATGAAAACATATCCGCACGCTGGTCTCCGTCTAGTCCGTCTACACTGGGAGGTGGTTGTTTCTCCCGGGCATTGCCAAGTTCCGAATTCGGTGTACCTTTAGAGGTCGACGCCACCGACATCGAGTGCTCGAGGTTCGAGAAGAGACCCGTTGCTTTCCTGCAGGGAGATAGCATCGGGGGTGGGGTGTACGGAGGCGGAGAGTACGGCGTGGTGTTCAGAAGAGGTGATCGGAGCAACGACTGATATGGAGTCGGTGAGTTGATTGCCGGAGCTGCCACCAAAGACGACTGTGTTATGCACAGCGGTGAAGGTTTTGGTTTGAGCTTCTTTCTCGGTGGAGCGTCCTCGGCACAGGAGTTACGCCGAGATCCGTGCTCCTCGTCGTCTTCCTCTTCGTCTTCTTCGTTAGCCCCTGGAGCGCACGTCGATCGCTCGTCTTCCCCATCTCGCTCCACCTTCACTTCTTCCTCGAGTGGCTCGTTCCGATCACCCTGGATCGGCTTGAAGTTGACCGCCCGGCAGAGAAGATCCTGCGGCGATTCGAGCATCGTGCTCCCGCACTCTGCGTTCTTGAGAGACATTACGTGGGCCGCCAGATCCAGATCGTTCTTCGATGGCTTCTGCTCGTCTCCGTCGCCGTCGTCGCAGTCCTCGCCATCCTCGTCGACGAAGTCCAGATCATCGGAATTGATTTTCGGATCGAAAACAAACGAATTCCCGGGGTCCTGGCCCGAGTGGTCAACGCCTTCTGATGTCGATGGAACATCCTCGAAGGGGTCCTCCGCGAAGTCGACGAAAAACTCTGGATTATCAACGAAAAGTTCACCGAAGTCTTCGTCATCCTCGCGGTGAGCCGCCAGGCTCCCCAGGTCGGCAAAGAGAGGCTCGAGGTTGAATCTGGAAGGGGAAGCAAATTAGAGTGGTTCGAGGGGAGAGCCTTACGGAAATTCCTCCATGAGGGACCAAGAGTCCCGGACTGAACGAGGATCTAGTCATTTCGACCTACCCCGGGTCTGAAGCGATGCGGCACTCGCGGTTTTTCTTCGTTGGCATGGAATCGCTCTCGGAATGCCTTCGGAAATTGTTTAGGGGCGAACGTGAATTCGCCCCGGCGGGAGACAGTAGGAATGGAGAGTTCGCACGCGCCGCAGATCCCAGCGTGGAGACGTTGACGTTGGGAGGGTTCTCGCTTTCTGCAAGGGCGGACTCGCTCCGGAGCATGGAATCGCCGGCGTTGTCCGGCTCGTCGGGCACGACCGTGATGTTCGGTGATGGAACCGAATCGATGAAGCCTGGTGGCGGGCTTCGGATCTCGATGGTGGGCGGCAATTCGACGTTATCGTTCTGGCTCGCAAATACATCACTGTCATTCTTCAACGAGAACTGTCCAATCTGTTTTGAGCGACTCCTCTGAGAGATGACTTCACCGAGCAGTGCACGAATCACTTGGCCGTTGGACATTTGCTCCGGAGTTGTTGGAGGCATCAGAGCTTGTGTGTCGGCTGGTTTCACGATTGCACAACGTAACCGTTGCGTACGAGCTCCTTTAGTGGCAGCAGCAAACGACGCGTCATCGCTTTTCTTCAAGTATCCACCATGCAATCGCATGTGTCCGTTCAGAGCGGCAACGTTTTTGAACGATCGATCGCACAGAGTGCATTCTACGCGATCCTCACTGCGAATCAGAACAATTGAAATCAGCCGAATCCATAGATGAGCCGAACAGACTCGATACATCCTCGGGCGAGAGAACACGTTTCACGACTCAGTTTGAATTTTGAACTCACTTTTTGTCCTTCTGAGTTTTAGATTGAAGTAAATCTAGTAGAACACTGTTTCCGTTGCTGCATGGTTTCGGGGATTTCTTCGAAGCGTTGTCCTTGAGGACCTGCTGAGATTTTCAGATCGCATCCATTAGTATCGACTCGTAAATAATATTGAGAATAAAAATCCTGACCACAAATAATGACCCCGAGCAGAAAATCCCGCAAAATCGGACGCGGAAGAAATGAAGACCGATGGCTCGGCTCCAGCCGAGCCCAAGGGGCTCCCCGTACCACAGTCTCGGATTAAGCGGGGCCGATGACGGACTTAGGATGTACCTAAGTCATTGATCCCAAGCTGATCGAAGCAGTCATAATGGGTCTTCGAATACATTCCGCCCCCGAGCCCATGTTCTGACGTAACGGACCTCGGATACGACCCTTTCGGCAGGTCCCTCGATGTCTATAACGACGTTCTACTGTGCGTATTCAGGAGCTGTCTCCACCTTTGGGGTACGCTCTTGAGGGCGTCACAGCAGCATCGGAGCCCGATTGGAAAGGCGCGGCATCTCGCTCGTGGGACGGCGATCACTAACGAAGTCCTGCCAAGGAACCGACGGATGGCGGAGTGGTCAGAGCGGTCTGGACGTCAAACGTAGATTCGCCGTGACCGCTCTCATTCCGTGAATCTATGCTGTGTAACGCGGGAGGTTGATCGGTTGGAACCCGGCAGCCGACTCGCTCGAGGTGAGTGACTTCATCGGGTTTCCATTGGAAAATTTTCCGTTGGAAAATGGCTTTTCTGTCGGATTTCCATAGGAACTGACATCTCCTATCGGGTGATGTCGGGATAGATTTCTGATGCCACGCCGGATCCCGGTCTCTCGTCCTTGCGCCGCGGGACAGTAGGCAAGCAGAGAGGAAACAAAGAGCACAAGGGAATGCGGCTGGTAAGCGTGCAATTGAAGGCTTGAACTTCTCGGTATAAACTAGAGTCTCTGGCTCTATCCGAGCAATATCTTCGGAAGAATTCTTTTGTTCGGATACGTTCGTCTGGATGGAGTGGTATCTTTGATGCTCTCTTTCTCTCTTCAAATCCGTCGCGAGTCCCCACGACGAGCCTGGTGGGGCAGCCAAGGGTTTCGCTCTAATCCGCGCTGTTTGCTGGCGATCATAACGAGGAGAAGGGGAGGAATAGAATCTCTAGGCTCGCTCCGAAGATTATAATCCCCTTAGTGACTTGTCGCAGTGGAGGAAAATACTTATTTGCTCTCCGTCTTTCCGCCTCGATTGGCCAGCTACCGAAAGAGGAAGGGTTCTTCCGCGGAAAACTTCACCGTGATGAGGAGGAAATAATGGTAAGGTCGAGCCTACGGAAACCTTACTTTGGAGCTGTCATTGAACGAGTTCGCCTGGCTCGTCGATACAGTCAAAGGGTTGTGGTGGTGATCCTTGTGACGACGAAGTGAGCGTGCATCGCAATACGACTTGTCGCAACCATCCGTATCACAGGCGAATGGCTTCTTCTCTCTATGAGTCAACAAATGTCCATTTCTGAAAGATTCAAACCCTGACTAAGAAACTCATCGAATGAGCATGATACTCCCGGGGCGAAAACGAATAAAAAACCGACTGTACTCACAAGTGATCTTGTCGCTTAAACGCCTTTGAGCAGAGCTGACATACGAACTTTCTTTCGTTTGAGTGCGTGAGTTTGTGCTTCGTCAAAGCCGACGTTGTTGAAAACTGCTTGTTGCACACCGCACAGCGTAACGCGTCCGGGGAACGAGTCGCTCTGCTGTCGATTGGATTGTGAATCGGTCTATGGAGTAGCAACTGTCTGGCCGCCTTCAGGATGGCTTCCGTTGGTAAATCTTTACTGTCACCGTTGTTGTTGTTGTTATTGTTGCTATTGCCGCCGCCGCCGCCGCAGCTGCTACTGCAGCTTCCGCTGTTGTTCCCGATGTTGTCGTCAGTGACGGCGGCTTTTTCCTTGAGGTCACTTTCAGCGATCTCCGATGATTTGGGAGTTGCTGTAGAAGTCGCCGTCGCGTGAGCGGCCGCTGAATCCTCGGAGACGGACCCGAACGTCAAACAGCTGGTCACGTCGACGAGCCCAGCTTCGGGTTTGATGATCGTAGGCGTCAAATCGAGACGTTGGGCTGAGTTTGCGACTTTCACCGAAAATGTTGCGTCTGGTCGGAGCTGCAAATTGAATCCCGGCCGGAGAGCATCGATTCCGCGAACAACGTCGCCGCTGTGCTGATCGGGCTTATTCACGATACAGACCGGTCGTATGCTGCTTATAGTCTGGGAACCCACACCGGCTTCAGAAGGCTCGGCGTCCAGGAGAACCGAGGCGTTCTGGAAAGTACGGACTCGGGCTGGTTTGGTTTGGATGATTTTCGCGGGAATCATACCGTCGGCGGCGCGCAAGATCTTCGCGTTGCCGCCGAGAGCGTCGACGTCGAGAATTCCTTCGAAATACACCGTGTTCTGCGACTCGATCTGGTCTGTCGACGACGTTGGGCTCTCCATGGGGAGCTGCTCCTGGTGCGGTTGTTTCTGCTGCTGTTGTTGTTGTTGCTGCTGCTGCGGCTCGGGACTTGACATCAGAAGTTGATCGAACGCGCTTGGCAGAATAGTCACTTTTGCGACTATGTTCTGCTGCTTATCGTGTCCATTTCCATTCGTGGTACAGATGGCCGTGCTGCCGTCGCTCCCGGCGAGAGCTAGTCCGATATTGTTGATGCTTGTGCTGCTGCCGCTGCTGTTACTGCCGCTGCAGCCATCGGCCAAAGTGCTGGAGCAGCTGCTGATGCTATGATTATTGTTGTTGTTGCTGTTGTTTGCGGCCTGGTTGTTGATGACATCCTGATTTTCCGAATTTATCACTTTTCCGACGTAGTGTACCTGTTGAATCCTTATCACTTGGGATGTTTCCGCCAGCTCGCCAGTCCTCACAGAGATTTTACCCCCCGTCATCACTGTTTTGCCATTGGATTTCTTCAAGCAGTATTCGAGCTGTGACTGTTGTGATTTATCGACGAGGTTCGAATCCTTGCTAAAGGTGCCGCTATGATCGGCTTCACCAGCTCGCGTATCTCGTGTCACATGTTGCTGATGAGTGAGTGGATCAAGGTCGTCAGTTGAGATGAAAATGTCGCCGCCAGTCTGATTAGACTGTTGCGACGGCTGTTTTTGTGTGCAGATGTTCTCTACAACACTCAATTGATCATGAATGTTCTCCATTCAAGCTATCGATGACGTTGCGTCCAACTGCATGTGGAGTTGTTATGGAAATGGCCGGAAGTTCCCTGGGAAAGAGCGAATTCCGGTAAGTTCCGAGTTTCCGCGGACGCTCATCGAGGAAATCGTGCTCATTGCTTTCGCGTCGACTGTCGGGGCAGGGGTCTCCATCCTGTCCTCTTCCGCGATCGAAACGTGCAGGACAGGGGTTTCCGAGCTTCAAGAATTTGCTGTGAGTATCCGAAGGGAATAAGAATATATATATAGAGACTTGCCCGGATGACTCCAGCACCTCTGGGAATAGTGGAAATGAGTTACGGCCAGTTCTTCGCTTGCGTAGCATGTGGAAGGAGCAGTAATTGAAGAGGGAGCCAGATTTCCAGCCAAGTGGCGATTCCCAGAGCAAGAGTTGACAAGGACTATCCGATCGCAATTGGTCAACGAAGTTTTCTAGGACTCTAGGTCATTCTCGGAAAGCTCTTCTTCCTCCACTTTGTCGATCGAGTCAGCTATCAGACGAGCTCCCGCGAACACAAGTCGCTGCTCTCTATCGCGGATACTCATAGGAATCGAGACACGGAGCTCGTATCGATCCGACCCAGCGAGATACATCGTGTTGTTCGCATACTCTCCCAATCGGGGCTTCTGTGGATTTGGAATATTCCCTAAGTTGTTGCCCTTGATATGCCAAAGAGCTCTAACGGTCACTATCGCCTGAGCCTTAGAGGGGAAGAGTCCCACTTTAGGCATAGTTGTAAGATCTTCCCAGGCGCATGAAATCTCGGAATTCTCATACTCGCTTCCAGCGAGAAAACTGGCAGGCTCGCGGAGCGAATCTCCTCGTTGCGTGATGGGAAACTATCGTGATCTGACGGAAAGTTTCCCACCTGCAGATCTTCATCCACGGTGAGACGATGTGGAGATCCGGTGGGATCACGTAATGGTCTGGGAAAAACTCCACGGCTCCGCAATCCTTCAGCCTTCGGGTATATACCCTCCCGAGAGCAGGAGCAGAAATAAAACTCTCGACGATTGCTATCTGCTTTGCTGATGGCGAGTTCTGTCCTTATCCGAGCGGAATTCGAAAGCAACGCCGGAAGCCGGCGAATTCACAAGCGAGTCGCGACAGCGAATGAAAAGGGAGTGCCGGAGCACTCCTTCCTGAATTGCCTCGCATCTCGAGCAACATGCTCATGGAAACTCGTCCGTTCTGTGTTTCGTCGACTGCCATCCCGAGTCTCAGGGGTAATCTTCCTGAAAGTCGGCCAATGCTCTGGACTCGCCACATTGGCCTCAGTGAGGAAACGTATCCGTACGGAACGGACCGAATTTCCCTCTAGGCGATTCGATGAGTGAGTTTGTCGAGCTCAGCTCCGACCTCGCCTCCACGACGAGACTCACGATTTAGCCCTAGCTCAGGTAGAGGCGGAGCAAAGGCATCGGGGTACCGGCTTGACGGACTTATCCACCGGCAAAAATCACTCTTCCCCGAGCTGATATTGCAATGCTGGGTAATCCCGAAGGATCACTCTTACGCACCCGGGAGCAAGGTCAGCAAAAACGGGGTTACGCTGGTATTCCCAGAGGGCTGAATCTGAATGCAATCCAGCCGGCTTCCCCGATGAACTTGCAGAAGAGAAAACCGGAGTTTGATTTCATCGATAACAACCTTTTGGTCGCGAGCTTTCGAATAGGCGTTCTAGCGTGGGAAGTCTTCTACGCCAAACGAATCTCAATTCGGGAGGAAGGAAGGATTCTGGAGTTTGCTCTTCCAATCGGAGACAAATCGGCGCCCCTGAAGACAGTCGTTCCTAGACCTCCCGAGGAATTCGGGCTCGAGCATCCGTTTGCCAGTCGGAAAGAAGACGGAGGAGACGGGTCTATAAGACAACAGAGCGAGGATAAGGAACTGGTGGAACAAAGAATATATATGGGTGGAGTTTGCAATTACCCGCGGATCGGAATCAATGCGGACCTCGGGAGAATAATTCGAAAAAAGACGCGTTTCCATCGATTCTAGCTCCTCTGAGCAATAGGACGATTCCATCCCGAGGAGAGCGTAGCCATTCCGTCCGGAAGAGCTTTTCTCGACTCAAGCAGAAAAGATTCAGGAAATTTTCTCGCAGACGGGAAATTCCATGTCGAAATCCGATCTGGGTCTCTGAAGAGCCAATCGAGAAGGAAAGCGTCTTCAGTGGAACTTTTCAGATCGAGGAAGTCTCGTTTTTCTCCAAGAGTTTTTCTCCAACACCAACCGCGGACCGAATCGCTACGCCGATTTCGTTGTAAAGACTTAGCGCTCCTGATTAACAATAGACGTGAAACTGAGCTCAGTACGTAGATCTGAGATGGAAGTTCGGGTGCCAGGTGTCTCTCCCCATTAGAATATAGTCTCCCGTCGTGTAATGAAGAACGTAACTTCGAGGAACAGGTCGTTTGAGAATACAGCTGATTGAAGACAGAGGGCCCGCCATTTTGAGAGTGTGAGAAGGGCCCCGACTCACTGGTTCAAAACCCGAGCTCCTAGCTGGAAGTGCGCCGGAACTTACCCAGACGGCAAACCCTGCATTTGGTTTCTACAGTTGATGCCGCACGGTGCCAACTATGCAACATGCTGACGAATGAACAATGATTGCACCCAGTCTATGAGGACCCTCAGTTCCACAGGGCACAACAAACCGTTAGGCTCGTAGAGCGGATGGACGGGCGGTCGGTTGGGTAGGAAGGCAGGCAAACAGGCAGGCTGTCGGGCAAGCGAGCGGGCGGGCGGGTTCAATGGTGAGCTGCTACCAGGGCACACATACATACACACCGACACACACACACAGAGACTCACACACTCATAGACCGAAAGAGAGACACTTGCGCCTCCGAGAGTACGCCTCCCACACACCGGGCAGACAGCCAGCCGTCTCCCTCTACGCTCGGAGGGGGGCGGGGAACTGCCCGCCGCTGCCCCCGAACATATGCTGAGCCCGCCGGATAGCCCGTCGATCTGTCCGTCTGAGTGCCCGCCAGCCAGCCAGCCTGCGTTTCCGTTTGTCTGCCTGCAGAATTAGTGTGTGAAGCGAAAGAGCTATTCTTCTCTCTCTGACACGGTCCGACGTCATCCTTTCCCTCAGAGACGTGGTGTTCTGACAAGAGAACTGGAGCCAGCAGACTTTCCCAGAGAGGAAGGAAGAAGAGGTCTCGATTTCCCAACGTTAGACTCAAGGTGCTGAAATCTCCCGGAGCCGGCTCCGTGAAGGTCGAACGTTAGACTGATATTTTTCGGCGTCCACTTCCCCCCAGCCCCAGCCCCCTTGTCTCTCTCCGAGTTGCAAGAGACATCGACTTTCTGGACTCAATCGCGATTCAACTGATCTCGCCCTGGAAGATAGTCCCATATCGTGTTTTGGTCGAGAACAAGTCTCAGAATCCTCTCGCGAGCACTCTTTCCTGAAAGATACGTCAACCCCTCAGTTGTTGTGTAATGATGAAAAGCCCTCGAGACGAAACTTTTATATAGAATTGGGCGGACACGTGACGGAGCCAAAATTGTCCAGCATGGTGCCGAAGTCAAGCTCCGTAGGAGCCGGGAAAGGCTCCGGAGATGGAATCGGATACGTTTCCGAGATTATTTGCGGTGCGTGCCTTGACGACGTGACCGATATGATCGCATCGACGTCAAAATCTCGGCACTGTTCTGGAGAGGTACCGAATTCTCCCCTTTAATTTAATTCTCTCGGAGAGATCTTCGCGAGTCTCCGCTCGGATATCAGAACTGATTCGATTGCCGGCATGGTGCCGAATCTGGAAGAATCATACGAGCAGGACGGGATGGCTCTTGGACGCTGGGGCTCGAGTTCCAATGCGGACGATCGGGCTCCGGAGGATCGTGCCGAGGCTTCGGGCTCGTCAATTGACGACGCTGACGAGAGCGGCCGCAAATCTGCTCCCGATCCTCGTCGTCACCCGGCAGATCTCATTCGGCCTAGTTCGGGAGTCAGGATTCGAGAAGGGCGTACGCCTCTCCGAGAATCAGTTGAGGAACGACAGCCCGATAGGAAGTATCTACAGCACAGGAAGAGTTGAGACTCTCTCGGCCGCATTTTCCGGATAAAGAGGGTTTTACGTCAATCCGGCGGCGGTGCCCCGAGATTGGCCGGCAGAAGGCGAGGGTCTCTCAGAATTTTCTCTCGGAGCACTAATTCATCACCAAATCGAGACCCCAATCAAACCCGTCAGAAAATGACTCCTTGAATGAAATTCAGCGGGATTACGAGCGGGGAGGCTCTGATTGTAGGCGGGACTGACGATAAGGATTGTGAAATTGGCGGATAGAAAATGACGCGAGTCAGATAGAGAAGGCAAGAACTGCTAATCATTTCGCGCGAACCGTGTCACGTTATCCGGAAGATCTCGTATTTATTCGAAATATTCGGTTCAACTGGAATCAGGGTCCTAAGTTCAGAGTCGCGGCGCCCTCACCCGCAGAAATATATTTTTTTTGCACAGCTATCAGTCGCAGTTTCAAATCGCGCGCCCTTCCTCGCCACCAACGCTCGTCCCTCCTCAAAGGAGCTCCGACAGTCCGACAGCCGCCCGACAAGCCGGCCATTAGGTCGGTTTCAAGATGGCGGGTCACCACGCTAACTAAACCAGCTGAGTCTTGGAGAGAGCGCGCGCTCGGAGTGCCGCCATCTTGAATTCTACCTTGTGGCCCGAATTCCGGCTGAGTGTGGTGAAGCCGGCGATTCAAGAGCATAGCCCGAACTTTCGTTTGATCCGAAACTCCAGTGAACGGTTCTCGTCAAATAGCTCTACAAGAGGTGCCGATTCGGGGTCGAATAGGCTCCAACTGATAGCTTCCTCGTCGGCACGGAACAAGCGGCAGGAACTTTCAGACTCAGCTGACATGACGGGTGAAAAACGAAATCATCGAGACGACGGGGAGAAAAGCTCGGGTGAGGACGAGAATTATCAGCCCTACGTTCCTCTCAAACACCGACGTCTAGAGAAGCTTGCACGGTTGGGTGTCAAGAAGGATCAGACGGCTGCGAGGAAGGAAAGCGAGGAAGATGAAGTCTCGGTAAGTCCTGGTGATCCGAGACATTTCTGAGAGGAGGTGCATCGGAGGAAGTTCTCCTCCCATATTCAGGAGTCTGATTGACAAGCTCTGCAGGGAGGCCCGGAGTCCGATTAATTGGCAAGGACGATAATTGTTGGAGTCCGAGGGTGCGCTTGAATCGATTTCACTTTGTTTCACGCCTTTTCAGAACGAGCTCGGACCTATACCCCACCGGCCGAACGTGAGTTTGCTGGATCAGGCGCAGGAGCTGAAGAAAAAAGCAGAGCTCCGGAAAGAGAGCGCAATGGAGAGGCAGCTGAAAGAAGAGGAGAACATCCTTGACGCTGTCGCGGAGAAGCGCGCGCTTATGGGTGTTGCTGAGTTGGCAAAGGGAGTTCAGTACACGGAATCCATACGAACATCCTGGAAACCGCCTTCTTACATCTGCGATTGGGACGAGAAGAAATGCGATAAGATCCGAGAAAAGTATCGAATCCTTGTCGAGGGTAAGTTCCACCCTTGCGACAAGAACGCTGTCGGCGTCCGATGCTGTCCGAGCTTTTCGGAGCTGACGAGTCATCGAAGTCGTCGAACAAGGATCCTTATTCCAAGAATCTTTCATCCTTCTTCCAGGCGAAGACATACCGCCTCCGATCCGCACTTTCAAGGAAATGAAGTTCCCGCGAATTATCCGTTCAGCTTTGAAGAAACGAGACATCGTCAAGCCGTCTCCCATTCAAATACAGGTTTGTATTTTGAGATTCCCCCGAGCTAGAGCTACCCTCGCAGACTTTCTATTCGGCGCCCGATGATCCGCCGCCCTTTTTGCCTCTGGTCCCGCTTATGTACTAACAATTTTTCTTCCGGTACCCCAGGGCTTGCCTGCAGTTCTCTCTGGACGTGATATTATCGGCATCGCTTTCACCGGATCTGGGAAGACGCTCGTATTCGTCCTGCCGCTCATCATGTTCTGTGTCGAGCAGGAGAGGAAAATTCCATTCGGTACAAAAGAGGGCCCCTACGGCCTGATCGTATGCCCGTCGCGCGAGCTCGCTAAGCAGACCCACGATATCGTGGAGCATTTCATCAACCAATTGGGCCGCGAGCCTAATCGCTTCCCGAAATTACGCTCATGCTTGTGCATCGGAGGTACGGCTCTGAAGGATCAGCTGGAGACTGTTCGTAGAGGAGTGCACATCATGATCGCCACTCCCGGGAGACTGATGGATATGCTAAACAAGAAACAAGTCACGCTGGACATATGCCGCTATCTATGTTTGGACGAAGCCGACCGGATGATCGACATGGGCTTCGAGGAGGACGTCCGAACAATATTCTCGTATTTCAGTGGCCAACGCCAGACCCTGCTATTTTCGGCGACAATGCCGAAAAAAATCCAAAACTTCGCTAGATCGGCACTTGTGAAGCCCGTCACAGTGAACGTCGGACGAGCGGGAGCGGCCTCGATGAACGTCACCCAAGAAGTGGAATACGTGAAACAGGAGGCGAAGTTCGCCTACATACTAGACTCCCTGCAGAAAACTCCGCCACCCGCGCTAATTTTCGCTGAGAAAAAACAAGATGTCGACGCGATACACGAATATCTCCTGGAGAGAGGCGTCATCGCTGTCGCGATCCACGGCGGTAAAGATCAGGAGGAGAGGAGCAAAGCTGTAGAGGCTTTCCGCGCAGGAAAGAAAGATGTTCTAGTGGCCACAGACGTCGCGTCCAAGGGTTTAGACTTCAAAGACATCCAACATGTCATTAATTTCGACATGCCGGATGATATCGAGAATTACGTCCACAGGATCGGTCGTACCGGTCGATCAAGTCAGAAAGGTCTCGCAACGACCTTCATCAATCGGAGCGTAGAACTGCCAGTCCTCCTCGATCTGAAGCACCTTCTCCTGGAAGCGAAACAGAAACTGCCCGATTTCCTCGCTCAACTGGAGTCGGACACTGAGAGATATCTATCTCTGGGCGACGAGAGAGGCTGTAGTTATTGTGCTGGTTTGGGTCACAGGATAACGGACTGTCCCAAACTAGAAGCTATTCAGAACAAGCAAGCGTCCGCGGTCGGGAGAAAAGACTTCTTGGCCAGCAACGCGAAAGACTGGTGAAGAGATGTAAGAATTGTGTGTGAAATAAATTGTATATATGACCCCCTCGATGAGTGTGTCTCTGCAGGAGATCGTGAAATGACCGGGATCCGCTTGGGTCCGTCGAATTTCGAAAGATCTGATACACAGAAGAATGATATTTCTTGGCGTTCCTGGCACCGTTCGTCAAAGCAGCCCTTGTGACCAAACTCTTCCACCACTGATGAGTCTCGCGGAACGTCCGGGCTGGGATGGAATTTCGGCGGCTAATTGCGCCACTTGAGGAATCGAGGACGCCGCTCTCTCCTGGCGCAATAATTTCCAACGTCGGAGCCGGTACCGTCGATGAACTTATTCATGACTTATCTCCTCAACATTCCTATCAGAGGGGGCCTGCCGAGAAATTCAACCCTCCACAGAGAATACAAGCAGCGGCAGAAGTTTCGATAGTTCCTGCTTCAGCGACGACGGCCCGGCAAAGGAGAGATGATGATTGGTCGCTTCCGAGCGGGATCACAGTCATCATCTGCTGTAAACTCGAATTTCAACAAGCTGATCCGGAGGCGGAGAAGTGGTGCTAATGCGAAAAATCGGAGCGCGATGTTCGAGACCCCTGAGATTCCTGAAGACTTGTCGAGCCTCCAATTCACTGAGTTGAGGGTATTCACTTATTGAACCGGGGTCGAAGAATTGTCATCTCCCGAGTCAGTGCAGAGATCGGAGCGGAGACACCGGTGTCCTATGAGCTTCGAACGTCGGAGAAACAAAGTTTAGGAGCGAGGAGGGAAGTTTTTGAGGAACGGCGCTGATAAAACATCCGATGAAGAAATTCATGTTGACGAGAACGCCCGCGGGCGAAATGCAGAGCCGGGACGACGACTCTCCACAAGGCGCACACGCATCGAAACCGGTAAGTAATATCCGTCCATTCGAACCTGCGAAGATCTTTTGAATCGAGTGTTGCAATCCAATCGAAGGAGTTCCCATGTCTTTCCGGAGATTGCTCCTGACGAGTGTAGATCATCTTGTCTTCGCAGAGACGCCTGAGCAGATCGCAACTGGAATCCATGAGTCGAGATACGATCATCGAACTGTACTTCGAAAGCGATGAGTACATAAGACATCTGGAATCGTCGATGTCGAACAAGATATCGAACGAGGAGAGGCAACAGTTGAAGAACAGGATTCTAGATGTAAGTTGTCATATTGCGCTGGTTCAATGATCTAAGAGAGCCGAAGTGTGCATTCATTGACTGATGACTGAATTCCGAGGATGTAATGTCGCCGGAGCGCCGTGGTCCCATTCAACAAATTGATACACACTTCTGATATCCAAGCTCAATCGACGGGAGAATCTGTTGGTCTTGAAAATGGCCATGAAGGAGCAGCAAATCCGTGACATCGAGTGCGAAATCGATACGCTGAAACGGAGGCTCATCCCTCAAAACAGTGCTCAACTCAGGGCGACCCTCGTGGACCCATCGGTGCACATCCTGTTTCTAAAGATGAAGAAAGGTTTGTTTCGGAGTTGTTTGGATCCTATATGGGTCGAAGATTGGAGAGAAAATCGAGACTTGGCGCCAGATGGTGACAAACGCTTGTTTTCAGAGCTAGAAGAATCGAAAAAGAAGCTCGAAGAAACACAAAATGAAATATCTTCCTATAAGTTCACTCCGGATTCGTGAGTACCCGAATGACCACCATCCCCGGTTCAGAGAGTGCAGGAATCCTCGCTTGATCTACCATAAGCGAATTTTCGAAATTCCCAGGCACACCGGTAAACGACTGCTTTCGAAATGCCGCCAATTACATCAGGAGAACGAGGATCTCAGGGAGTCGGTGTCTTCGGGCAAAATCGCGAAACTGGAAGGCGATCTCGCCCTACATCGTTCCTTCGCCAAAGATATGAAGAACAGTCAGACGCAGCAGGATGCCATGCTAGTTGAACTTGATAGCGAGGTGAGTCACATGAAGCTCGCTCGGCACTACATAAGCAAAAAGCGACCTCCAAATGGCTTTTCGATTGACTCGGACCGCCCCTTTCCAGCTGGAAAACATGCAGGGCATCGTGTGTAGCCTACAGAAACAGCTGAAGGAGTCGAATAAAGCCATAGCTGACCTCCGAGGGGAGCCGGCACCGTCTGGAGGTCAAGATGACGATGAGATCTCGACCATGGAAATAGATACACCGTCCACCTCGCGGGGGCATCAATATTGGTCAAATTCAAGAGTGAGTGGCGGGCCATCAGCGCTCAAGATCTCCACCCCGAACATCCCGTCTGCAGAAGAGGTATGGACCGCGGAAGCTCGTTCATCAGAAGCGAAAAGCATTGCTTGATCGGGGGGAAGCTCTTGAATTTGATTGTTATTCCACTCTTTGTAGAAAGCAACCACGGAAGACGATTCTCCTGAAGAGGTTGCCGCAGAAATACCCGCAGCGGAAATTTCGAAAGCGACGGGCTCAGAGGATCCCACAAATTCCTCGAAGCCCCAGGAAATCGACGAGGCCATTAAAGAAGGAGAGAACAACATCAGCAGTGGTGAGGAGCCATCGGATCAGGAGAAGGGAACGGATCAGTCAAACGAGAATGACGCTGAAAACTGACTCTAGGCGCCTTCTGAGCTAGCTGAAATCATTCACTGTATCATATCTCTTAAAGGAATGATAAAAAGATTCACAGCAGAGTCAATGATTCTTTGAATTCCCCAAGACACAACCCACCCAGGGAGAATCTGAAGCACCGAGAAGACGATCCATCGAAAGAAGATCAGATTCGTTTATTCCGATTCTCTGAATTAAATATCATAGCTCCTATAAATGTTATCAACTCTACGGGAGCCTGCCATCGACGATCCATCGTCTCGCTCAGAGAGCATTTCAAGCCACAACGCGGACCCCGCAGTGAGCTAATGAAGTTATACAATGAACCACACAACCGACATGAATCGCTCCTTTGGGAGAACGGTGTTTTTTGTACACGAATGTAGGGAGCGAAATTCGCTGACTCGTGCCCTCGACTCTTTGCCCCTCGCGATGCCCACCTCAAGATTCCGAAAGAACGACAGAATCCTTATCCTCGAACACAGGGGGCTGGAATGACAATATTACAAGGAGTTATGGCAATATCTCCGAACAATCGAATTCTGGAGGTGAATGGGTAAGCAATCGATCGCCTGAGTCATCGTGGTCACTGCCAACCTCGGGAACTTCGGACATCTGACTCTCGTCTCGATCCTCCGGTTGATTCTCGTCGCATCGAATCGCCGCTTGCTGTTCTGTGTGAGTCGTGTTCTGAGCGGTGTCGGACTCGTTTGAGGAGTGCCTCTCGCTGACAATCTTTGCTTTCTTCGGACTGTCCGGGCCTTGCTCCCTCGATTGTGATTCGCGCTGAGGACGAGAGTGGAGGAGATTATATCTTGATACTATCCTACGTTTCCATTCACCGCGTCAACCTCATTTGCAAACGACGCCATCGCGGATCACAGTGCCTTGTGAAACTTGAATAATGATCGCGATTCGCAATCCGCGTGAGCCTTCCTCTCGAACCTTTCGACTCAGATGCGAGAGTCGCTTCATTGCTTCCGCTCATGTCTCGAGTACAAGCGGGAACATCATAAAATTCAATCATTACCTGTTCGTGCAGTTCTATGCCGTTAGTGACCGAGTGGGCGACGGAGGATGCAGAGGGGAAACTTTGTTCGGTTGAAGGCTGCACGTCGCCTCCCTTGCTAGCGATAGCCGGGTCGGTGCCTTCGTTAAGATTCTTTATGAGCTCCTTGGCTTCACTCAGCTGTTGTTCCAGGAGGTAAATGGTGCTCTGCATCCCCTCGACCTCTTCATCTAGTTCTAAAAGCAATTCGTCTTGCTCTTTCTGGTTTTGCTTCATTTCTTGAGCGAAACTACGATACAGAGCAAGATCACCCTCGAGTTTTGCGACTTTGCCGGACGCCACCCTTTTGCCAAGTTCTTCGTTCTCTTGGTACAACTGGCGACACTGGGCCATCAAACGCTTACCGGCGTTCCTGCAAGGAAATTAAGTTTTTGATCTGGAAAACGTCTTCGAGGACCCAGCCGGGAAGCTGATCGGTCTCTGATTGGATGATCCGGGAAAACTGGGAAGGAAGGGCGGAGAGGGAGCTCCATGATCTACTAACGATTCGGGCGTAAACTTCCAAGCAGAGAGTTCTTCCTGCGTCTCCTTCAGTTTCTTATTCGTCTGATCGAGTTCTAGAAGTGCGAGAACAATTCTTAGGGATTCAGGCATCGAAGATTGGAATCCGAAAGAGTATTTAGTCAGGATTGAGATCAGGTCGGCGTCCCGGACGAGACTCACCTTTCTTCATCTTCTTGAAGAGCAGATCGACGGTGGGATCCATCAAGTTCGCTCTGAGACGGGTGCTGTTCTGAGGGATCACCCTTTTCCTCAGAGTGTCTGCCTCGCACTGAAGCTCTCGGACTTGCTGCTCTTTCAGAGTCATCTTCAACACCAGCAAATTCTCCCGCTGAGTCAGCTGAAGGAAAAACCTAGGAATTAGAATTTCATCCCAGCTATTGAGTCATGACTCGCGACGACAGGCGCAGAAAGGTGACAACATACGTCGGTGATTTGCTGTTTCAGCTTCTGTCTCTCTTCGTTAGAGATGCTATGCGATACGGACGACTCCATGTGTCTGATATACTCATCGCTTTCGAAATACAAATCGATGACGGTGTCCCTCCCCATAGTTTCGAGCTGAGATCTGCTGAGCCTCCTCTGCGGCAAAAAATAGCTCTGGAATTTCTGCATCACTCCAATTCATCCAGAATCTATACAATGCAACTTGAGAGAATAAATGACCGCGAACGAACCTACCGGCTTCGCAGGTCTCGCGCCATGAAATGAATCTTCGTCCCGGTGCTGCATAGTCCCCTCGAGGAGCCTATCGGTCCTGTTCGAGGGCTCCGGACGGCGCTTCGATCCGTTCAAGATCCTTCCTACGCCCTATCCTTACTCCCCCCTTGAGGCTTCCGTGGCCCGCGGAGCGATGAAGCATACAGCACTCCCCTATATAAATACCAATATATGCATTCCGGCAACACAAAACACAAATACGTGAAGTGATTAACCATCCGAACGGTTGGGCATCGTGAGGAGTCACCTTCCACCGATTCCTCTGAGTGCACACTCAGACAGAAATTGGACTCACTTCTTTTCAGATAAGCCTCACGTGGATTCGTACGAGAATTCTTTTGAAATGTTCACACTATGATCGGAGATCGGAGTAGTTCTTCGACATCTGACCGCACCAAAACACCGGAGATCTCGGGAGAGGGGGAGGTGTTGTTATTGTGAACAGAGCGATCAATCCCGGCCCTCATCATCATCGAACCGTCCCTCCAGTAGAAATGACCTCTGTTGTACCTGAGATTTAGAGAGCAAGCTATCTCGAAGAAGTTCCTTCGGAAGGATCTGATTAGGCTTTCTTCTCGACATCTCTCAGGAGGATTTCAGTGGCGTCTGCTATGTTGTCAAAATAAGCTCTCGAAGGGAAGGGAGGCGCCATCGGATTCGAGGGGATTTCTTGCATCGCCTGACAGTCGCGAATCTCCTCGATTCTGACGTGTCGCTCCCCCCGGGATCGCTATTGGGAACCGCAAGTGGAAGCTGCGTGTGTAGTACTCATTGCTCTAATACATAAGCGCGTAATCAAGATAATATCCTGAATCATCATCATTTGAGCCGGGTAAATCGTGTCCAGAATCTGAGATCGAGGGTCGCGATAGCCCATCTATCTTCAATGACCAGAACAGAGAAGCTGTGGCATCTTCGCTCGCCCATGTTTTCCTTAAGGAAGCTCGCCATGATGTATTGTAGCTGCCTTTGATTGCGCACCTCTATCGGGGTTCCCGAAACTTCCGCAACCCCCGAAGTGCTCAGCTCCATTCTCGCCGAACTCTTTCCTATAGCCTTTCTCCTTCGAAAAAGATCGCGACGTGCAAATTCTCACTATCTTGAGTTGCTCAACACTCTACGCCCCGACGCTACTGGTCTTCTTCGTCGGACTGGCGAGTGAAAAATTCCGGAGTCCTTCACAAAATCTACCGTGGGAAGCTTTTATTTATCATGTCTCGCCTCAGCATCGATCACGGTACGGAAAGGGAAGTTTCAAGGTTAAGAACCCAGCAGAAAAAATGCCACACGCCATTCTCTATCGCGTGCTTCTACTTCGCGACATTGGAACTATTGAACAAACGGAGGTTAATTTCACGGGACCACCGGAAAGGGATTCGATATTCGCTCCCGTTCATCTACCAGACTTCTCGGGGAAAGGTCTTTCGGTTGATCCACAATCGACGCCACGATTTCATGTGCGTCTGCTTGATAAAATCTGCGAGGGCTTTCCTCTATTTCGATTGAACCTACTCCGTAATAAATATATTTTATATTATGTATCTTTTCTCCTTCGCAGGATCCTCTCTCGAACAAACAGACTCGGTGCTCGCCGAATCGCCTCATCGGGGCATTTTCCGCTCCTGCGAAGTCTTATCTTCTCAATGACTCTGATTGACTCTTTGAAAGTTATAGAGCAACTTCCCAAACGATTAAGTGACTGAGGTCGGATTTATCGGTCATATGCGTTGTTTCACTCGCGCTTGCCTCGTCGCCGATCCGCAAATCCACGTAACCTTCGCCACCGCTAAGCACGAACATGCACCTGGCCGGCGGGGTTGTTCCGCCCTCGGTCTGGGCGACCGGCGATGTGGTGGATATCATTCCCCCAGTGCCAGGCACTCCGATTATGAATCGGACGCTGTCCTTGTGACCATGGAAAGAGAGCTGAGCCTGGCTAAGGTTGCAGTATGGTATGTTTTGATCGTCGATTCGAACACAGGATCCCGGCACGGGAAGCGGCGTCTGAGGTGCGGGCAATGGCTGTTCGACAACCGGCGATAGCGGAAGATCGGTCGTTTCATTAACAGCCACGCCATCGTCGGCCTCCTTGGATTTTTTCGCTTGAACAGTCGCTTGCGGGGACGATCCCAAGGCTGCGTTTCGCCCCGTGCAGAACAAGGGAAGGCTCAGAATCACTCCGTTTCCCGTACCGATCCATAGTCGATTGCATGTTATGCCGATGCAGGTGATGCGCACGAAGGAGAATCCAAGCTTCCCTGTACCAATCATACGGCTTATGAGAGGCTCGATGTCGACATCCTGGAAACAATGGTCAGTTGTCAGGTCAGAGCGGGAAATTCGTATCCGCAGAAGAAATCGTTTTGCGGAAAATCACGGTCCACTTGTGAGTGATTCGGGACTCGTCGAACCTGGAGGTGTTGATGAGTCTTTGCATGGTACAGTCGGAAAGTGGAGTCAGTTCGGATGGTAATCCAAACCCCTTCCCCTGCCGTGGCCATCTGACGAACTTGACTTTCCTTCCGAGGATGAACGCTGAATTTCGTCTGGACCTGAAATTTTTTTTTCGTTCGGATGAGATATGAATCAACCTACGCAGGGGTATGGGAATTCTGCCGAACTCCGATCGGTAGCCGTGGCTTCCGTCATGTCACTGACCTCGAGAGTCTCAGCGTTGATCACAGCCATGCAATTCCTGTAACCGCACCAGATGAACTCCTCCAGGACTACGGCGACACATCGAATGGAATGGCTGTCAGGACTCGGTGAGATCACAATTTCGCGATATTTGTTCCCGCAGAATTCCTTCGTCTGCGGGTCTCGATGGAAAACCGCCATGCGACCGTTGGCTAACGAACAAAATACCCGACCGCGATGATGCGCGATCGCGACGACGGAGTCCGACAGCCGCACCTGCAGCGCAATTTCAATACGAACGTGAGACATTCGTATCCCGATGTTTTTGTTCAAAAGAATGTATTCAAGGGGAATAATTCATCCAGTACACGGTACCTTCATGATACACGAACTCCAATCGGCTTTTGAGCTGTGAACGAACACCTGACCGTTCTGAGCACCCAGCCACATAGTTGGCAGCTGCGTGGACATTTTCTCTGAAGCATCAGTGTCCTGACTTTCTGGCGTTTCGACGTTTTCCGTTGCATCTGCAGATACGTCAGCCGAGCCTTCGGCTTGCTCGTCTTCGGGCTTCAACTCTTCCGGGAGCATTTCCGATACAGCGTTGAGCCCAGGTTCGGCTTTTGTGACGATACCAGAAGAGGTCTCGGACGGGTTTAGGGCCCGGATGCACGCCGCCAAGTACGCGTCGTCGCTCACAAAATCTAATTCGACGACGAAGAAAACGCTCTGAGACAATGATCGCATTCCGTTTGGGATGTCATGGACGCGAAAATTTCAGATTGCGCGTAGAAGAGTAAGGCTCACCGTCATTTTTCGTTCCGGGTACACTCTGAATGCAGAGTATGAGACTAGATCCGATCTTGAATGTGTCAAGAACTTCCGCCGGATTGTTGGCATCTATCACAGAGACCTACATCGAAAAGAGAGTTGTCTCAACACTTCGAAATCAGCCGAGTACCACGCAGGAAAAACTGCGGCGAGTCTCGAGCAGAACCGACCTGAGAGAAACGATTCTGAACGTTGGAGCAAATCCACACCAGGGAGGACATCGCCATCTCCGCCGTCGGATCATTGATTTCCCGTGTTGAGGAGTAGGGCGGTAAGTGAACCCCCGAAGCGCACCAAACCTTCATGAGAGAAGTCGAGAATTGAACGACGGATTCGCCTTCGGAATTGCAAGATCCTCTTCTTGGGCCAAAGCAAAGAAATGAATGAACTGGGTCGAAGCAACGCACCTTGAGCTGAGGATTCGGATCTGACTGATCCAAGGGTCGGCAGAATACTGGCACGGGAACGCTCTGCAGCGAGTTCTGACCGTTGGCGGTTGGCAAAGACCAACCGTAGGCTTGAACGCGTCCGATGTCATCTTTTGCTACGTGAGCTGGAATGCAGTGCATATTCGGTATGGAAAGCGCTGAATTCCGGGGAGTGGGCCGAGAGGAAGAATTCAAGTCAGTACACACCAGGAAGGACTCCTCACCTTTGACTTTCTTCAGCTGGTCTCTGCGTTCCTTGGCTTTCCTCTCGGAGATTCCATCGCGAAGCTGAATATTGTGTAGAGAGGCTTTGGTCTGAGGCTCTTTCTCGTTCTGGATTCCACCGGCGACACCTGACGATGACGTTGACGGCACTTTGTTCTTGTCTGACGCAAAGAGGTTGCTGAAGCTGTAAGCCCATAGTCGAATCAATCGAAATGCTTCGAATCTCTTCGAGCGCAGATTCCCGACGATACTCAGTTAGCGACAGTCGGGGGAAGAACGAAAGTCTCCAATAGATAATCGCGTTCGATACAGCTCTTCCTGCTCATAGCTTTTCACTTACTTCGGGCTAAAGATCCGAATGGAAGCATGGATAAAGTTTCTCCAGTTACGAATCGGAAAATCATACCTGGCTACACTCATATCGTGATTCTACTTTTTTTTGCACGCTCCTAGCTTCCAGAGGTTTGAAGCCCCAGGCTATTCCACTCTAGAATCACCTCCCAACATCATCGACTCACAATTTGAAAATACCGCCTCCGCCAGCTCCGGGTTTGTCGAAAGAGGATTCTGTGAGTTTCGTGGCTCGGAGGGTCTCCGACCATCTGACAGCCTCTTGAAGCTCCAACAAACGATCTTTGTATTGATTCTTCTCCATGATGACCCTAGCCATTTCAAATCTAGTGAAACGTTTCCTGTGAGCCAGCGGAATAGCGTTGTCTTGCTGTTCCCTTTCGGACTGGAGCTGTTCCATATTATCCTGTGGAGGGAGGCCGATTAGTTGAGTTTCCGTCGGAAGCGGTCGAGTCAAAAGCCGGAAGAGAGGACAACTCGCCTTGAGCTTCTTGATTTCTGCTTCCAACATCTCGATCTTCTCTCTACCGGCTTCCCGTTGCAGCTCGGATTGGTGGAGCTGGCTTTCGACGATCTCTTTCTCAGAAGTCAGAAGGTCGACGCGAGCTATCAAGTCATCCTTGACAATATTGAGGGCGTTCCTGGGAGGAAAATTCGAGGCTTCTGATTAGACACTCTGACTCAACCAAAATCCGAGAGGATGTGTCAGACCCGATGGTGGCCAGAGATACTTTGATTGCGTTTCCTTAATTCCGTGATCCACGAGACATACTTCGTGGCCAATAGCTCGATGTTCTCCAAGATGATATTCTCGACCTCTTTCCCCATTCCGAACAAATTGTCGCTGACTGAAACAGGGAAGGTAAGATTTTTCAATGAGTTCGTGGCCCGGGAAGCAAGCCGGACATCGAGAATCATCATCTCATCCTAATCATCATAAATAATTCATGTTGGAGATTAAGGCGAGAAGGATGGCCTTCTTGGAGCGATCCAGGAGAGGATCGAGTTCATCATTGAACTCGACCGAAAACAGCACGATACGGAAAAAAAAAGCGCCTGGTAACGACAGCGGGGTCACAGCCTCCGGTTCGAGTACGATCAGCGATCAAGGAATTCATCACTCGAGCTTCTGATCGAAGATATGCGGTGTCGCTACCTCGATTCCTCTCTAGGAGAGAAGACCGATGAAAGGAAGGAATGTTCGATCCTAGCAGGCTCACCTGATGAGGCAAACTCAGCCGGATCCACCATGCCTCCTATACGCAGCGTTTGTACGAGACAATCGATGAAGTCGTGACAATAGTACAAAAATGTTTTTCGAACAGAGAAATAGAATAACCGCTCACCTGCCCCGACGTCGTAAGCATCCTCGTCCTTGACACGCTCCTCGTTTTCGGTGAACTTGCACTCTTGATAGAGGGTATTCGGTCTACGAACTTTGGTGTTATCAACCATGGGCTCCACCTGAAATTCGTAAGATCACCCCGAGCGTCAATTGGTGACAATTCGCATCGCTTCTTCTCGTTCAAATTTCGTAGGCTAAGCAATTCTAGTTCGCTGCTGCTAGTCAATGAGCTCGTACTCACCACAGTCGAATTGCTGGTCGGACTGAGCGCTTCACTCATCGACAGGTCTTTATCCGGGGAAAACTGCTCGAGCTTCCAGCCAGTCTGTAGCTCCTCTGGAGACCTGATGTCGGCGGTCACTGCTGCTAACCTGCTGTAATTTCGGATTCGGGATGATTTAGTTCCCACGCGATCAGCAGTATACGTGTACCATCGTTCACAGTTCCGGAGCTTGAGCCTCCGCAGTTCCAACGGTTGAGGTTCAAGACACAAACCTGGCGGCCTCCACCGGTGTGGTTGCTTGTTTCTGATTTTGACTCGCCCCGAATAGTATCTTGGTCTTCTCGACGTAGTCGAAATGCGTTTTGAACAGCTCCGTGTAGCGATCATGGAGTTTCGCGTACTCCTTCTTCATTTCAGTCTCCTTCTCTTCAAGACGGGCTGCGTGGTCTGCTGAGCTCTTCGCTTTCATCTCGAGCATCCTCACAATACTTGCGAGGCTCTCGACCTGTTGGAAATATGTACAGGATTCTCTTCAAGCCTTTTCTCCCAGGACCGATCGCAGGGCGGCTACAAAATCGTTCACATCTCTTTCGCGATGTCGATCCGGAATCGGCTAGAAAATCGAAAACTCACCTTCGACAGGAGCTCATTCCTGTCTTCTTCGGACGTGTATTCGACCTCCAAGAGCTTTTGTTCGGACGCTTTCCGGAGACACTTTTCGCGTTCGTACTGAGTCGCCAATTGCTCGTTGTCTTCTTTGACTAATTCCAATTCAACCTAATGGGATTTCCATGTTCTCCCGTAACTTATCACCGAAGAAAGAATTCTATATTCCATGAGAAACGAGGAAGCCCCGGGAGCAGTGCTGTCGCTAACCTGATGTTCTTGATTCTCAATGCTGGACAGATCCAAACTCTCCAGGACATTCACAACGAGCGGCATCAAATTTTTTACAACATCCTGGCCGTGCAGTCCCATAAGCCGTTGGAACTCGGCATAGATATCTTGAGCCAACGTCCCCACTTTTTCGGACATGACCTGCGGAGGAAGAAACCTCGTATTCGGGGAAGCGCAATCACTGGAATTCGGAATCGTCTCCGGCATGACATCGCGCAAGTGCAGCGTATGTTGCGTCCTCGAGACGTGTGAAGCTTCAGGTTGAGCGTCGGAAAGGGCTCATTGCGCTACGAGCACAAGCATTAGTTCCTTATGGAGCCTCGGTCAGGACGCTCGGTGTCGAGACGTCAGCTGTTTTCAACCATGAGCTCCTAGAGGTCCGAACAGCTTGCGAGCGGCTCCGACATACTGGGGAGAGATGCGGTCTCAATACCCGCGTGAGGGACTCGATCAGGTGAACTTACATCCTGATTTCCCGTAGATTCCTCATTCGTGGTTTCCGCGGCATCGCTTCCATACACGACTTCTTCCTGAGAGCTCTCCATACTTGACAATTGGAGAAGTCGCAATTTCAATCTCGACGAGACTAGCCGCAGAGGACGTTCTTGAACACTGAACGCGAAACTTCACGAAACATCGTCTCACGGGACTGCGGCCGTTCCGAGACGCTGACTGCCCCGATTTCAGAACAGCGATGCTCACTGAGAAGTTTCGACTTTCTCCCCCGATACTGTTCGGGCCATCAATGTGTTGTTTACATCGGAGTTGGCACACCTTCCTTCTTGTTCGTCGTCAGCGGTGGAGAATACACACACGGATCATCATTATCATCGCAGCGGGTTGTCGTCGTCGAGCGCTAGACATCTCTGAAAACTCCGCGTCCTGGAGATCCCATCAGCAATCGAGAATCCATCCGACTCTGTGTCTCCGGGTATGCACGAGAACTGTCTCTGGTAGCTGCCCATGTCTCGATGGAAATTATTTTTGTTTGTCACTGAGGATTCACTGAAAAATTGGTAATCATCCAGAAATATTAGTTTGGCCTCCGTCGATTCTCGGAATTTTCATCTTCACGCCAGAAAAAGCGAGTTTCCGAAGATCCAAGGACATGAGGGAAAATTCCGGCAAGAAATTCGGCCTGCCGGGGAACTTTCGGCTCGAGCCCCGGCCCGCGGATACATTTTGGAAAACTTCCGGCCTCCAGAACATTTGCCGGGGCACTGACGATATTTATTAGACTTTAAAATCCCACAGTTTCGTCGGGACTTCCATCCCATCGATTTAGATTACTCAACCTCGAGTAGGGCTCGCAAAAACTGAGTCCAGACCCTTAGACCCGTGTCCAAAATCCTGGACCAGGACTCGTTCCACCGAGTCCTAGTTTTTTTCTTGACAAACAGATGCGCTACTGGGAAAACTTCCGAGGCGGACGCTAAGCATCGGGCAGCACATCCACTACTTCTTGCCTTTTGAGCCATTTCGAATCAATCCCGCTCGTTTTAGTAGGGATAGGATACCGACGGGGGGTATTCCCAGCCCTCCGAAGTTCGTTCGCCATAGATTCTATGTCGGGGAAATTCTCGGCGACGAACGAAGCTTTGCCGCTCCCTCAAACTCATCGTCACGGGCTCCTACGGATGATTTTAACAATTTCTCCGTACTCTCTATTTGTTACCAAATCCGCGCGACGCCACTCTCTGATGGAGCGCAGAAACATGTTCAAGCATACACCAGGTTCAATACAGTCGGCTTGAAAACTGCTTTGCCACTCAAGTCTGATGGTTTCGGCCTCCGGCTTCCCTCGAGTTGGCCCTCTTTTGGCAGAAACGAGCTCCTTCATCTGAATTTGTTCTTTTCTTTCCGCCGATACGCTTCCGTTCAAGTTTTCGCTCCTTATAATGCGATTGATTCCTAGCTGCGCGAGGCTCTCGGGGAGATGGGCTGATCACTTCCTGCCGCGATGGAGACGATGTCGGTGATAGCTTCCATTACAAGGTGCTGGAAGTATGAATTCGGATTCGGTTTCTCTCATGCTCCCTCAAGAACTTGGTCAGGAAAATCTGACTCTCGTCTGGGCGGGAACGGATCGCAGCTCTCCATCGATATTCGAGAGCTTGCGTATAATTCCAAATTATTGTATGGAGTGAGCTCCTTTCCGTGAAGAGCACCTTTTTCCGAGCATGGACAAGTGCGCTGAGCTAGAGTTTCATGGATACCTTAATCATCGCCGCCTCCTTTTTGAACGTCACACGTTCGGGGAAAGACCCGGGAGCCATCTGAGGGACCGGAATTCCGGTCTCGGACTCCGAAGAAGAAGATAAGGTATCCGTATTCCCAGAGTCGTGGTGGCACAGCAGGACGGCGAGAGCTGACTCTATGAACTCTAGAGACGTAGATTCCTATTGATAGAGTTTCTCTATGAAGTAGAGTTTCTGCCTCTCCTCTTCTAGAGAGTATTGATCAACCGGAAGTCCAGAAAGGTCTAGGCTCTAGGACGCTGGACCGGCGTCGCTCCGCTCCGCCAAAAACACGGGTCCAAGATCACTTCGTGGGGCCTCCGTGACCAGCCGAAGTTGGAGTTCTCCACCGATTCTTATGAGTCATGACGTCATGACATGACAGACACCGACATGCCTTCAAGATCAAGGTTACTAAACTCTCATTTAACCCAAGCAATGGCTTGGCGTGGGCACTCCGCGCTCTCGAAAAAGCCGACCTGATCGCAGGATGCCGTGGCACTGGTATACTTGGAAATAGGTCTCAACCGCTATGGCCTCTGCGTCTCCAGGCAAGAAGACTCGAGGTTTCGCAAGATCCTTAAGGTGAGGGAAACAGTCCGACCTGTGGCGTAGCAATCTGGAGCGCCGCCCAGGCTGGCAGCTTTTTCTCACTTCTTTTCGATGGGATACCTCGATACGGCGCCCCTGGTATGCCCGAAAATGGGGCGCACCCCATATCTTTGAGAACCGGAATGAGTGAAGAAACCAATCATAACACCAAAATGAACTCGAGCTGAGTCCATCAGACCTCAGCTCCGAACCTGCCAGGTCCCACCCAGTGGAAGCGCGAAGATATGATTCGCGGGTTCGATTAGAGACTTATCGAACGAGTGCCATCCGGTAGAGGATAATGGTCAAGCGCATCGAACGGAACTGGACCCTTGGTGTTGAAGTCCTTCTTGAAAGGTCGCGTTAATGTCCGGGAAGGATCTCTCTTTCTAGCTGGAGTCCTGACTTCTACAAGACGAGGCGGAACCTCGGGAGATATGGTACGAGCCTCGGCCACGACATGAAATGATGATGAGTCACATTGGAGAATGAGACGGCGAGGTGCCGCGCAAACTAAAGCCCACAAAGGCAAAGACTTCGGAAACCTCGTGATGACCTTGATGGAGTTAAACGGAAAGCGCTGGACTCCTTTCTGAAAACGCTTCGGGTTTTGAATCTTAGGCTCTGCTCGACCTACAGCCCAGAACCTTGTTTGACTTACGGCCCACTGGCCCCCTTATCATTCCGGTGTTTCACTCAAAACGACCTTCGACGCCTGCGATCCGATTGTTCGGCTCACCGAGCTTTCATGCCTTCTCGCTGATGTGAAATCTTGCACGTGAGCAGCTCCATCGTTGAACGGGGGGTTCTAGGCATTTCCCTCATCCGATCATGCCGGGGAAACCGCGGTTAAACAAGTTCAGCAGGCTAGTTTGCTCTTCTCCGGCTACAGCTATGAGAGCAAGCAGGCCGTCGAGAATCAGCAATCTGCATGGAGTTTTTCTGAATTCTGACGATACGAAGAAAATCTGGGAAAAAACCGGAGCACTATTCATATCACCGGGAAGTAAGGTTCCCCTAAGCATGTTGATGGACTACTCTCTTCCCACAGCTCAACCCTGACCTTCCTCTCATCATCTCGAAGCATTTGGAAATCCACGACTCACTCTCGCAGATCGGCGAGGCGAGAGTCGATTGGATGATAGCTTCCGTTTGATTAGACTCGACGTCTCGATATATCGTATCGACTTGGAAAGCAGCTCGCGCGATGTCCGAATGAATGAACTTGTACGATATACGCTCTACAGGTCTCAGCGCCCCGAATACGGGGACATTTGATGATTTGGGAGACTCTCTGTCATGTCAGGACAACGACTTGATTGATGTAGTTCACGGATATTATTGTCAGAATGTAGCCATGGGATGAGTTCGAGGCGGGGCCCTCTGGTCTATGGTATCACAGGATGTTCCGGGGCCGTCGGCATCCGCGATCCCGATCCCGGATTGAATATTTCAAAACTGAAATTGATGCGGCGGGATTCTCTGTCAGAAGTTCATCATGGATGGAGATGATTTGAGTCGCAAGATATCATGACAATTTTCGGAGACTCTTCAGGTTTCTCAAGATGCTAATGAGGCGAGTCGTCCGGTATCTCGCATAGCCACGGGAGCATCACCGGGGAAACTCGGCAGAGGATGAAGATCGAGACCGAATCTGAGAACTTGAGTACCTATATGACAAGGCGGAGACGATTCCAGGAAGGAATTATTGGGGAAAATCAGGAGAATCGTACAAATCGCATCCGTGTACCGGCGAATCGGAAATGGAATCCAGAACGATCGTAGAACACCAGAGCGGTGGAGGAGCGCGGCAGAACGATCGATGCTCGACAGCGGCGAGGAAGAAAAACCGTTGTTCGTGAATACGCCGATCGTTGTGATATCGACCTTATTTTTTCCGACGACGCTTGAAAGGGAAGCTGAAGAGCACTTTTGTGTCTTGAGACGGCGGTCTCTACGACCATCTGCCGCGGCCGGCCGTCTTCTGAAAGAAGATTGTCGTGTGTTTTCTCTCAATTTCGCCTAGGCTAGTTTGGGCCCTTCGTACCAGATGGCGCTCTTCCCATGGAGCGGCGGCAAGCGAGATGTGTTGCCGGCGGCGACCGGGCAGGCAGGCAAGCAGCCGGTCGTACTGACGACGACCGACCAGCAGCAAGCACCATTGGAGCTTCGAGTAACCACCCTGCTGCCTCCGCTGTTGCCAGACATGCGCCGTTCGCTTGTTCGGCGGAGAGGGCATCGAGCAACGTCTGTCAGTCTGTGCATCTGCTCCGCATGTTGACGACTGGATCATGGTGTGGCCGCTGGTGGCGATGGTGAATGGTGGTGGTACACAGACAGTGTGGTGATTGGTGATGATGGCTGTTCCCGCCCGCCGCCGCTACAACATGTGGTGCTTAGAGGTCGCCAATGGATTCTAACTGAGGATAACTATCCGAACGCGCACTGCGCATGCTTCAAATTTATTCTCAAAACAACGAAAGGTGCAGGAAGTGCGGACGGACGGACCGACCGACCAATCCGCTTGCCTCTAACCCGGCCGGTAGTCTGCTTGCCCCATTGCATCAATGCCGCATAGATCGGAGCTCCGGATAATTTTACGTGTTGTGATTCTGCTCGTGCCTGTGATAAGTGCTAGGTGAGAACAGTCCTCTCTGTACTCTCCCATCGATTCTCGGAACTGTTCCGAAACGAGACGGCTGATCGTGAGGAATTTCGCGTTCGAATTGTTGGAGAAGAGTCCTGTTACCAAGAGGAACATCGACTCGGCGGGAAGAAGAAACGATTCATTGACCCGATCCAGTTCACTCCGGTTCCTCTGAACACCGAGGAAGACTCGGTACAGACCGGCAGGGCTTGCCCCGCGCCCGGGGATGTCTCCCAGCTGTTCGATCTGAGTGAGTACTGTGTACCGTGTAGGCTCTTATCACCTGGTTGTATAGTGAGTTCGGAGAGAGGGTTTAATCGCCTCGGGATTATAAGACTCGGATCAAGAAGCCGGACTCTGTTGACAAACGAGCCGTGCCACCGGTGATCTCTCCTCTCGACGATGATATCATCTGTCTGGATAATGAGTCGCTATTCCATCGGACGAGCCCTAATCTGAAATTCTCGGAACTTCAATAATGTTTCGCAAGTGTCTTCGTGAGGTAATCTGCAGAAGTCGACCCGGATTTGATCGGCAAATTCTGATTTTGGAAGCTTATCCGACCAAAGAATACCATTCCCTCGTCGGATTACCGCATGGATTACCGCTCTGGGGTTCGAGAAGTAAATTGGTGCAGAACGTTACGGGGCCACACGAGAGCGTAACTGCTCAGGATTCAAAGCGCGCAGTCGATGCCCGCAAAGGGTCCCTCTTCCGAGCATGTGCTCATTGTGGAAATTCACGGTGGGAATGTCGCCGACGTTCTTGGAGCGGTCATTATCTATTCGAAAGAGCTGTGTCTCATCCGCGGTTCGACAGATTGGCGTCGGTCGATTGGAGGCTTGAGATCCACTCCGCATCCTCCTCTCGATGGACTCAGCTGAAGATGGGAAGCGAGGGCAGTAAGCATCGGGATAGAATCCTATTCAGATCCTAGGTTCCATCTTCGGACTTTCCTGCTATTTCAACAATTTCCACTGGGCCGGTGTCATCGTCTCATTGGCATGCTCGCCGCTTCGAAGCGCGGTGATCGAAAGCTTGGAAGGTAATTCGGCATCTAGACCACGACTCGCGACTCACAGATAGCTCTTTCGAGTCAAGAATCACTTGTAATCGACTGTTTCCTCCAAAATGTGCTGGATCATAGTGATTCTCTTTATGTCCCCGTATTTCCGAACCCACTTCCCAACTAGAACATTGACCGGTTCGATGCGAATTGTGGGAGGGATCTCGGTATTTCGATGCGGGAAATATGTGCTCAGTCACTACTGCATCCGTGACCTGGACCGAGATGGAGCGGATCGCGAGCGAGATGAAGGATTGGTGCGAAATTCCAGGCCGATCCTATAGTATGTAACACGGGATGTTGGTCGTGTAAACCTGTGGTATCTTCGCAGTATCGAATTTCTATGCTGATATCCCGGTCGAGTATCACGCATTTTCGCGTCAGGCGATTTTCTCGCGGCAATGACTCCGGTCGAGGCCGGAAACAATGTATTGAAGAATCTCTCAATCAATATCGGGAGCCATGGAGTCGACACAACGAGGCCGTTGGATAGGAGGAGCTGCGATGAAGATTCAGACGTGCTGCATAATATACAAAGCTCCGATGGTGTTCGCTACGAGAAGCTTTGAATCGGGAGCCGTGGCATCATCTCAATGGTCGACCGATGCGCGTCCCCGTCCCACAAGCCAAAGAGAGGACTCGTGTCTCGAGAGCTCTCGATAGCCCCGTCCGTATTGCCGACGGTGTTTACGTTGAGAGGTGCGAGGCAATTCTCGAGTGACCCTAAATATCAGAGATCACGTCTGCAAAACCTCAAGATCGGATCCGCTACAAAGTACCTCCGAAGTCCGGTCGAGCTGGCTGAGTTCCTCATCCAATATCGCTTCTGTCACGCAACGATACCGTCATATGCGAGGGTATGGGCCTGCTACTCTGTCAAACACGGAGGTCGCGGAAAGGCTCCTCATCTCTTCGACAACCCCACTCCCCATCACATTGCCTATTCCCCGCCTCATTTCTGATGGCTCAGTCCATGAGCTAATAAAATTCCAAAACGAAGAGGCCTGGCGACTTTCTGAATCGCTTTCACACTCTTAATCGAATTTTGACAAATCTGTTTATCACTCTCGCGATTCAACTCCGACCGTCGCTCCAGACGCGGATCGGCATTACAGCAGGGTCCGAACCAAGAATAGAACACCGCTTATTGGGGAAGCGAGCTGATTGACTCTTGGATTCCGATCGTTCCATTTTCCTCAATCGTGTTTCTCGCTTACATGGAAGGGTTTTTTTCGTCTCAGGACGACGTCGCGGTATGGCCGGTGCCTGTGTCTGAGCGTGTCATTCGCATCTAGGCATGATTCATCGCCGTATCTTCCATGTAGATTAATTGGGAGTTAAACGTTCGCGGAAGGGGGCCGTTTGTGCCTCTCGAATACTATCCAGCCCTCATCTTCCTTGTCTAACGATGCGTGTTCCGGGCGATGTTGAATTCGAGGCTTTTCCTTCCCTGCTGCTCCGGGGGGAAGTTGCCTTACCAGTGGCTGCTCTAGAAAAACGGAAATCATGATCCAGGCGGATGCATGTATGTCGACCCTGTCCCGATGCAAACACGGACCGCTATGACGAGCCATGCGAGCAGAGCATCCCGATTCCAGCCCACGTCTCTCCTGACTGGACTGGACCCTTGAAACGAACGACCTCAGTAATCCAGTTAGGTCAGACCCCGAAAGCGCTCAAACAGACTTGGTCCTTATCCAGGAGCTGAATATTTTCTCGCTCGCAATGGTGAGCGTTCGTCAGGATTTTCTTCATTAAGATAAGGCGAATCACTGTGAAGGGTCGAAATCCCCCACCATCCCTGACCGTTTTTCCCTCATCTCTATCTGGCGTATTCTCTCGCTCCTCCACATCCGATTCCAGGGCTGCAAAGAGACCTTGGGGGGAAATCGAGCGATTGATGGAAAATAACCCAGCCGCGAGTGAACGGGCTCTTGAGAGTGCTCGACGAGCTTTCATTGCAACATTCCAGCAGTGAAAAAGCCGAAGATCAAGGTAGCGAAAATATTTCGGGCTGCGGGACCGCCTAGTGAACTGTCGCGAACTCCTCATGGATTCATCTCCTTACCACGAGCTCTTCGCAACGGGAGCCAATAACTACGCGGGGATTATTGTGGCGAGAGTCTCGTGTTCTCGAGCCTAGAGAGCTCTGAGCTTGCTCTCTCCACGAGTGAAGATGACACCAGGTCAAGCAATCTCTCGATTAGATAATTCATAAGGGCTGTTTTCCAGAGAGTTGCGTTCCAAACGCCCGATGGAGCAACGGCCGACCCGATGTTGAGAACGGAACTGGCCTCGTTCCCGGCTCTCATTGACTCGCGAATAAGATTTTAGAAATTGATGACTCGATTCCGCTGGTCGCGAGGAAATTTGGCGGTAACGGATAGACATATCCCCGTTCCGTGTGTATCGCTGATATTCAAAAGGCCCTCCGCCCAATGAGCAATCGAATCTATGACATCGATTATCACAATGTTCATGCTCATGACCCTGATTATCATCATCGTGATGATTGTTACCCTTCGCTCGAGGACGAGCCTCATGCTTGGGCTGAGATGGTTCTCCGTATTGGATCGTCAGCGACTTTCGGACTTCGTCCTCCCACAGATTCACGGCCAAATTGAGACAGATACTTTCCAGAGCTTCGGCTCCCTGCGATATCCCGACTATTGATCAGGAGGATTCGACCTGGCCATCGTGAGCCAGCATGGAACTCATATCATGATCTGAGTGAGCCCGGGCGAGGATTTTTTTCCGAAGGACTCCCAGTTGACACGTCTGATCGGCGTTCGTTTGGAATGACCGCGAGTTTTACACCTCTCGGACGCGTGGCTTGCCGCGCAGTTACTAAAGTCAAACATCTTTTTCGACAGGGACATTCTCGACATCAAACAAAGCGGAATAGCGCTTTGTTCGGAAAGCCATGGCTTTGAAGAGCTATCGGTGGGACGCGTCGAGCAGCGTCGAGCACAAGCAGGACATGCTCGACGAGCTCGACGATTACCTCAACTCAGCTCACGTAAGTCCGATTAGGAAGAAATGTCGGGTAGGTACTTGACCATTCGGATCAATCGATCAAGTCGCCCATTGTCAGTCGGTCAGTGAGTGGGCCTGCACGTCAGTCAATGAGTCGAAAGGGACGTCGCCTCACGGTGTCTCACTGGTGGAAGGGTCCCCGATTTGACCGTGAGCTTCGCTTGGTTTCGAATCAATCCAGCCTTCTGTGCATTCTTCGTTGTATTCAAGGGTGTTTCGTTTTCACGACGCCGCAGATTTCCATGTGCTTTTCGTTACGAAACTGAGACAGGCAGGAAACTAGCCTCATCGGAAACCGACCTGACAACTAAAAGTTGCTCAATGACGTCTGCGTCTCACTAAGGCGGCAATCCGTACGAAGTAGAATCTAGCTCACGAAGATGAATTCCTGCCGAGCGTTCTCCCTTCCGTTCGACTCGCGGAGCTTTGAGTTTGTAAAAGACTAGTACTTGCCGTCGCTAGATGTTTGTTAGATCAGGAAGACGCGGCCAGCAGATTTATGCGTCGCGTCGTCCAAACAGTCCATGAGTCGATTGATTATCTGTTCACAGCGATTCATCGAGGAAGCGGAACGCCAAATCCTAGAGAAACCACCCACCCCTCCAAAACCTCTTCCAATATCGTTGGAACCCACAACCTATTCGGCCCGGAGCGAAAAATTCCCCCGATGGAGTTATTCGAGTCTTAACAGCGCAGCTCGGAAGAAGCGAATCCATGGCTCGTGGGAGCGTGAGCATTGTGGAGCAACGAATTCTTTGAAAGCCCTCCTGGATTCGCTCGATATCCCTTCGGACGACTTCTCAAGCGTACACAAAGAGGAACAAGAGAATCAAATCATGAATATTGAGGAGATCGAGAACATGACTCGTAGTCTCCTCGAGGGACTCAACGACGATATCCAAGGTATGTCGCATCGACGATCCCCTTCCGAGTTCTCACCAAGAGGAGCGTTGGATTCGGGAATCAGATCGGAGCTCTTCGTCTGTAGCACCTACTGTATCCTCTTTTCTCTTCCAGTCATTCAACCACAATTGGAAGAAAAATCCCCCTTTCGAAAGTCGACGCCACTCGTCTCGCCTCTGGAAGGGTCTCCGACTCCCGCTCGAGAAACTCAAGCGAAGAGAGCCGCACCACCTTCAACACTCGTTCTTCCATCGCCTATAGCTCGTTTCGCGCGGAAACATTTGAATCGAACCCTGAGCTCTGAAACCGGTGAAGAGTTCTTGACCTTCCTCGAAGAACTCTGCGATCAGGGCGAGGCTTCACCGAGCTGGCACTTTGTGCCCCGAAGATCTCGCTCCGTCGAGAGTCTGAGTGACAGCGATCGGGAAGGGTCTGTGGATTCGCGGCCGATTCGCTTATGGAGCTCGGAAGAGAACGTATCGGATAAGTCTAACAAATCTCTGATTGCCTCACGTCAGGCTCGAGTTCGTGAAACCCCATCGCCTGTCGGTATACCGAGCTTCGACAAGCCTCTCGACAAACGGGGCCTGCTAGTCGCTCTCGAGAAAATCGACGAGAGAAATGCGGAAGCGCTCTCTGCCACGTGCCCGTCGCAGTCTGGACCGGGCACGGAGATCCCCAAGCTCGTCCTGAGCGACGAGGACATTTATGCCGAGTTCGAGGCTGAGTTCGTTGCTACATTGACGAGGAAATCCAGGAGAGGTCTCGAAAGGGAAACGTTTTCGGATGGCGGCTCGCGAACGGACTTTTGCTCACCGGGAGCCGATATGCAAGCCTCAACAGAACAAACAGCCGCCGAAAGTCGAGCGGTCACTCGAAGACCGAGCAATACTCAGCTGAGAGCCAAGTTTTTCGCCAACATGGTGAACGGCGACCCGCTCCCGGCAACAGCCGCAACGGCAAATAGTAAAATACAAGAACCGTCTCTGAACAATAAGAGCATCGCGATGAGGACGGAGCATGATCTCACCGAGAAGCGCCGAGAAAAGGTTCAGCTAGAAGCTTTGAATCATCCGCTCCTAATCAGCTACAGGAGCGCGATCCAGAAAAACACAGCGGTCCTCCAATCGAACCCCGATCTCTCGCAAATAATATCAAACGCACGAGCCGAGAACCGAAAATCTTTAATCATTCCATCGAACAAAGAGGACAAGGACCAGCTTCCGCACAATTGCCGTGTCATTCCGGAGAAGAAAGATAGAGCGAAGACCAGCAGAAACTTATCTAACGATTCAAACAACAATAGTGTGGGCGAGAGGCTTGCGACCCCTGCGGCGGCGGCGGCTGTGGCCCGCGGAGATGACAATCAGCAATACGATCCTTACTCTGAAGAGTTCGAGCGCTCGATGGATTCATTGGAGAGTTTCAGCGAGAGATTCCAACTCGATACAATATCGGCGAGCTTCGACGCGGAAATGGCGAAGCTTTTTCCCTCGACGAAGCCCTCCGAGCCGAAAGAGCCACACCACAGCGAGGAGCCCGTCGCTCCGGCCGTGAGAGTAACGAAGAAGGAACCACGAGTCCCGCCACGCAAAGCCCCCCGCTCGAACGGGTCTTTTTTAGGCCATGGCAGCCGAAGAAGCGATGAGAAATGTTCCAATCGAAATTCCGAGAGAATTTCCCCCCAAAATAAGAAATCGGTTTCGGTCCGACACCAATCCGATGCGCTTCCCCGGCTACCGAAAACTCCAGCGATTCCAAACGGCTTGCGACCCGAGTCACCTGACCTCGCCACGTTCGAGCTCAACAAGAGCGAGCAAATACTTGCTCAACTTGTCAAGTCGTCGACCGATCCAGCGGTAGCGAAGCTTCTCGACGACGGGGACTCGTCGGAAATCAGGAACTCACTCGCGGATAATGCGGCCGATTGCCCTTGTGGCAAGCCTCTCGAACCGGACGAACGAGCCCGGAGGAGCGAACTTTGCAAGCATTGTTCGTCGAGCAAAGCAATGCGATTTCTGCAAGCCTGTACCAATTACGGGAATAAGACGAATTCCCTCCCCATACTCCGGGGGGCTTCTCAACCCTGTCCCGAGGTAAGAGTCTGCTCGCGTCATTCTGTCTGCCCATTTGTAAAGTATTTCCGCTCATTTCTTAGTTCGTTCATTGATTGTCCAGCGCAGTTCGGTTGCAGAGGATATAATTCACAATTCGTCATAAATCCTAACGACCAACCACGAGCGGCAATGATTTCTCGGCAACGAAATCTGAATAACTTTCCCTCCCTCCTTCCATGCATTCAGGTCAGGCTCCGAGAGAAGCCGATTCGTCTGTCTAAACAGAAGCGGTCCTGCCGTATTGAATTTCCCTCGGTGAACGGATGTTCTGACGATTCGACCTCGTCAAACTTGTCAACACCCAAGTATATCGACGGAATCGCGCGGATCAGTCCCCAGTCTAGCAACCACATTTTACGTTCGAACTCCGTCACAGATCTCCACGGTGAGTCCCGAGGCCGAACACACTTTTTGCAGCTCTTTTTCTCTTCGATCGAGATACAGCCGCTTGTTTCCCTGGAGCTAGAGCGCAAGGTTTTATATTCGTAGGCTCCGGGGGCGAGGGCATCTCAATAACTGTCGTTTAGGGCATTCTCACGTTTTTGTCGCTGAAACTCACGACCGATACGGGCGGTACGCAATCGTGGCGAGGTGCGCGGACACTGTGAGGACGATGTGGGTGCAGATTCCTTCAGAGAGGAAAACAGTCTCCGAATACCTCTTTGGGGTTCAGAGCGGAGATTTCGCGGGAGCGGAGCTCGTTGTATCGAGATTCACCTCGCATCGAGTCCCATTCTGAAAAAATCCGCCGTAGTCATGAGTCTCGGGCTCGAATAAGGAAGGGGGGGGGGCGCACCGTCTCACGTGCCTCGGCGTAAGGATTCTCTTCATCCGAGTTACGATGTGGTATCGATGAAAGGATGCGCGTATCTCGATTCGCGAAAGTCTTCTATCTCCGAACTCTCTACAGATTCTGTGATGGCAAAGAGACTCCTGCGGCATCGGCGCCTTCTCAGCAGACACATGCGGTTCCGGAGTTTTCGACTGTAGTCGTGTGTCATGTGGAGTTCGAAGTTTCTAAAGCGGAGACCACAGTTCGAGAGACTGGTGGACTCGGTCAGGGTTAGTGGGGGAAGACGAGACAAGTGAACACTGAAGTTGAGAGTTCAAGCCATGCGTGACGTGTTTCGGATATCTCGTTTTAGCTCCGGTGTGGGCTCGTCGCTTCCGCCCATTCGAATTAGTCAATTTCGCGCCGAGCGGCCCCTCCATCGACTCGGAAATTGTTGCGCGATTCGTAGGGTCAGCACTCATCGAAGATTTCCGAATGAGGCGCATTGGCAGCCGGGGGCGACCACGTTCACAACTGGTGACCTCCGCAGCGCGATCGCCGAAAGGACGGACTTCTCGAGAAAGTGGGCGGTGTGCAGCTCCTTTCAGACTGAGTTTCTCAAATAGTTCGCTGTTTGTGGGACGGACGGAATATTCTCGGGAAGAAACCTGCCACGGAGGAGGGTCGCTCCACTGTCCTTGGAAGGAGGTCCCTTTCCCCATCCTCCACCGCGAGCGCGGCGGCGGCGGCGGCGGCGGCAGAAGAAGCTCCGAAGCTCCCGGAGCCCATACAGACAGTTGCTGCTGAACTACGTCCAGGTGGAGCCGTTTGTCATGCTCCTATTGAATATGTGACAAATGAAAACGGCGCGTTCCGTTCCGACTATCAGCAATGAATTAATCCGCTGTCGCTGATTTCGATCCCCCGAGAACACTGGCGGCGTGATCTGTTTCTCGAAGCCGGTCAATATTTGCTCAAATCTCTTCTCTGGAGCGGAACCGGCCTCCTCGGAATCGCGCCGACGATTCGACGAATTTTGTGAATGTGCCAACATATCGGGTCTACCGATCCTCCGAAGTCCGATGAATGTTACGACCTGCGTGAACGACTTGCCGCCCGTCAGGAGCGTGACGCGGCAAACGGAGCCCAACTTTCGAATCGACTCGCAACTCTCGATCACTAGTTATAGACACGGAAGCAGCGATCCGAGGTAGGTCTAAGCGTCGACGTCCGTCGTCGCCTGCCACCATGACCACTTCTCCCACGGACGATCCGCTTTCGCCGGAGCAACGTCGACGTCGTCGTCCTCATGCGACCGCGTCGCCAAAAGCCGAAGAACGCCGATGTTCGAGTGGAGCGGCGTTCTTGAGCCCCCGGAGGCTGTCGGTTCCGCGACTGTCCCTCCAGACTCCGACAAGATCTCAATTGCTCGAGTCGCTAACGGCGCAACGAAGAAAACTTATCCGACGCTGTACGGCGGCCACTCTGCAGTCTGACGATATTGAAACCATTGAATGCTCAAACGAAGCCGACACGGCCGATGACAAAAGTGCACAGGTAATTCATTTGGCGGAAAGCTTTTAAGAACGACCCTCTTCGACGCAGTCCGACGACCCAATGTCTCGATCGTTCCCTCGCACCGCTGCCAGGCCCCGGTGATCTCGATTTCACTGGTGAATTCAGGCGACCGAGAGAGATTACCGCTCAATGAAATGTGTCAACAAAGTTCCGGATTTCCCCACCGAGCTCGGTCTATGCAGCAATTATTGGACGCGGAGGCTCGAGTGGAGTTCCGCACGGTGTTTCGAAGTTTGATCCTTTCATCTCTGTTGTCGCTCCGCGAGATCGATCGCGGTCCAGGGCCGCCGTCATGAGATAACTACTACCTACCGAGACGTACGGGGTACAGATGTGTACCGCTATTTCGCCCAGATCACAAGATCCAATGTATGTCGGAGCCAAAGCAAACATATCGCAACACGAGAATCGCCCCGAGGACCTGAGCCCCAGTGAATGCCTTCATCGAGGTGCTTTGGAGGCGGCCACTGGTGGGCGATTACGGCTGCCGCCGCCGCTGCTGCCGAGTGAAGACTTGTTAATACCACTGGACGATGAGAGAGAGCGACTACCTATTGAAGAAAACTTGATCGGATCAGGGCAGAGGCTTATTTCACCGATAATAATTCTTCATGAGGGGCACCTTAACAGGCTACCGACGGGTTTACTCTCGCCCACAAGCGATCGTTCAGACCATCGCAGGTTGCATCGCGGGTTTTCTGAGTTTGCGAAAGGACCCATCTCCCTTCTCTGGAGCGGATGCAACGACTGCCAAAGGGCGAGCGGGACTCACTCAGGAAAAGAGCGGCAGCCGAAGGGCTGCCTCGACGAGGTCGGACCCGAAACCAGATGAATCCTCACCGGTTCATTCACTGGTCGTATTTACCAACGTTTTTTTTTCCGGTGAGCGACCTCGTCGACTAGTCATCGGAGCGAGGTCCGCCCCGTATGAAGAGAGGCATAGGTCCCGAAGGCGTAGCATTGAAACTCGAGACGCCGCCGTCCTATACGACAGCCGGGCTACCGAAATTAGAAAAGGAAAAGCTTACATTGACTTGTCGGCTCGCTTCGCTCGGGCGGGCGGGGCCGGACAGTGTTCGAATGCGTAGTACGACCCGCTCGGCGACGAGATCATTCTGTCACAAGTTAAATCCGTCGACCGGCTCCGTACGTCGTCGCCTCTGTGTCCATAGCGCAGAGACAAAGCTCGTCTTCGAGAGAGGCTCGGGTCCTTGTTGATTAGTCGACTCTCAGCCCTCGCAATACTCGGCAAGTTCCGAGGGTCGGATTGCGTCGGGCGATCTCCTTACTTGATAATCGAATGAGGGGAAAATCCGCTTTTACTCCTCCTCCGTTGTGAAAATCTTGCTCGGAGCTACGCTACTACTCGAGCCTCCGCGAGCTCTGACCGAATAATGGCTCGTCGGGAATATGCCATCCCGCTATCGCGGTCATGCAAATGACTCTCGCAGGAGGCTTGACACGTTTAATTTTCCTCGCAGATTGTTGACGGCTTGACGGAAGGGCTAGACGTCGACGGACCTTCTGCATCGCCAAGTCAGGACGGCGACGGTCCCTCTCAACACAAAAGATTTCCTCGAGGATCGGTAGCTTGGATCGCTGTTTTTTTCAATCCTCGTTTCGTGCGGAGCTTCAGTGAAAGACTCGCTTACAGTAGCTATCGAGAGCATTATCATACGGGGAAACCCAAAGTCGAGTGCTGGTGGAGAAAAATCCGGGCGCACAAGTTGAACGGCAAGTTCTCCGAAGTTCCTTCGTGTTGCTCGTCAAGCTCCCCCCAGGGACCGAATGCGATAGAGAAGCCCATCCAGCGTGTCCGTTTGCAAGCTGTTCGTAGGTGTACGGATCGTGTGTGATTTTCGTCGTAGCGACTCCGGTCGCATGGGCAGAGCCAAGAGTAGCGGAACGAGATGTTCGTTTCTTCTTTGGACTCCTTTGTTCTAATACCTCATTAGGCGTCCTGTTCCCGGACGCGGCTTACTGGAGCCGAATTCAAATCCTGGAAGGGACTCGCCGTATTCCCAAGCCTCGGATAAGAAATCTTGTTGATGGTTGAAGCACACCCAGTCAGACCCACTCCCCGTTCTAATTTGGCCTTTCGTTGCTAGAACGCCCTTTCCAGGAGGTTGCATATTTGACAACCAGCTCTAAAATCGGTCTAAGTTCAGCCTGTTTTGTACTCCCACCACGATTTCCCGGAACAAAAGTGGTCTTTCGAGCGCCTAGGCTCCGCTGTTGCTCTTCATCGTAGTCGAGTATCGAGCGATGAAATCCTCGATGGACGACCATACTGTTTTCGACGCACAGAGGCTGCTCTCATGCGGCCTGCTCGCTCGGTCGTGTACCCACTGGATGACGGACGCATGCTCGATGCATGTTGAGCCCTCAGGGCAAATGAACGAGAGCAGACTGTGGGTAGGATCGAGTCGGCGTGATTTAATTTGGCTTGAATTTCAGAAGCGGAAGCTATTCAGGCTCTGGAATGGCTTCGAGATACGGGATTCCCACAATACGCTCAGCAGTTCGAAGGTGAGTCAACTATTAGTCTCATTGTCGGTATTCATGAATGTCGTCGACATCGAAAGTTGGGATCTCTGCCGTCGACCTCTGCCTTGGACAACCTCGCGCCTGCGCTGATACGGCATACCGAAGATCGATCGGACATGAGCATTTTCCTTCTCTTTCCCCAAAGCGCCCATACGCCGCACATAAGTTTCTCTCGACTTTCTCATTGTCAGTCGCAATCCGCTAAAAAGGAGATAGGGGGGAAGGGGTTCTTGGACACGGGAATTCCGGATGCTGAAAAGTCTCGAAATCATCGAGAGATGCGGTTGCAGATTTTCGCGATCAACTTCGCCCACATCCACCTCCATAGATAGACCAGGTCCTATGAGAATCGCCTGCGATCTTCGCCTAGTGAGACTTTAGTTCGATGTTCGAGCTTGTAGCGCATCATTCTGCCCGGCGGACCCGAGTCGATGTTGCCAGTCGCTGTCCTCGCCCTTCCGAGTGAAATCGAGTTATCTCTGAGAGCTTCATCATTCGCGTTGACAAACCTCATCCTGTCAATGTGTTCAATGGAGTACCGGGCGTGAATCCACCCCGAGGATATGGCGGGTGTGTACCGAAGATTTTCCCGAGTGACAAACGACGTCGAGCGAATTCTCCGAACTCTCGATGGGCTCGAGTTCTAATTCAAACGTGAAAGCGAGTCCTGTCGCCTATTCATCACACATCCGGATTCCTCCAGAGTTTGCTGAACGGTCAGCACGCGGGCTGTTGGAAGTTCTCGCAGAATTCTCAGGCGTTGAGGACGTTGGAACCTTGATTCCAGTTCCATGTGGCTCCCCTGTCCAGCCGAATTCTGTCGACGTCCTTGTCGAGTACTCTGCGGTAATTGCTATACGGAACAGGCTCAGAGCTTGTTCGAACTCGCGTTCCGTTCCCTCCAGAGCTTCCAAAACGTTCCGGAACAATGAAAGTGAACGCGCGCGTTGCGATTCTGAGAGTGAACAAGGACTCCCATTCACCATGCCATTTCTCAATCACCGCGATTTCCATTCGCGAGAAGAGACGGCACGGTGCTCTTCGAAGACTTTAAAGGCTCCCGACAAAAGGTGATTGATTCTGCGGAATGAGGCGTGCCTGCTGCTGCGAAATCAGCGGGAGAAATTATTCAGGATGCGAATACCTAATCCCGAGAGCGAGATATGTCCGGACCGCTGTCTCGGCTCGAATCTCCTCACTAGAGAGGAGCTCCCCGCAACCGAGGCTCGGAATATGCTCTAGTCGTATTCGGATCTCGGGTTCTCGTCTGCCGAGACGAAAAGACGCACAAGAGACCAAGTGTGTTTGTCAAAAGTTCGTGTCGAATAATTATATTCCTGAATGGGTCTCTTGAAACTTGAGAGCCTTCGCTCTCGCTGAAGCCTAAAAAGTTTCGAAGAGAATCCCGAAACTCGCCTGGCAAGACTCCAGCTTGATTAAGGGGGCGACGCGTCTCCGTAATCTGCTTCGCTTCGTCACGTTTGTGCGAAATGTTCCGGCTGTTTGTGCGAGAGAGATAAGTTTTGACAGCTGGCTCCATTGACCCCGGTCTACCAACGGATGAATCCCGACCGACGATGAAAAATCTCCGCATACAAGGCTGTTCCGATGTCCCTGTCAAAATCGACCGGATGTTGAAATTTACCGAGGAGGGGGCGGGGGAGCGAAGTCTCTTGCTGAGCTCGCGAGTGGGTAGTTCTGGGAGCACTGCACAGCGAAGAGATGCGAAAATCGCGAGCAATATCCGTACGGGGCAAAATCAAATTCTAAGTGCGTTTTGCATTTCCGTAGACAATATGTTCCCACTCGATGTGTCAACGGTCCGGAAGGATCACGAGAAGTTGGGCGAGGACGAAATGCAGTCGCTTATCAGGTGAGGAATATTTGTGCTCCGTTCGGAGCCGGAAGCATCCAATAAACGCGAGAGCTCAAATCTCCTCTTTCCGAAATAACTGCTTAACCGGTGGAGCGTGTAGCGTGTCATTAGCGACATCAATCGATTCCCCGGGTTCGAACGTGCATCCGCTGTCAACCCGGAGGAGTACCTGCGGGCAAATCGCTCAGACAATTTAACATCATCAGTTTCTGACGTTAGGCTCTCGTTTTCATGACAGACGCTTGACATGTTTGAACAAGTGCGCCAGGATGCGCGCCGAGACGAAAGCCAAAGTGGTGAGTACGAGGCCGTCGCAAATCCTCTACAAAGTGAACTACCTACGGAAGTTAATTAGGAGGAAATCCGACCCAAATCCCTTCCTCAGGCTCATCATTGCTCAGATGAAGATTTAGCCTTGTCGGAGAACTGGCAATTCCATAGACCTTCACGCCGGTGGTCGCGTATCGCGACCAACGATTTGCCTTTGATCACTAAGCAGGACGTCGACGAGGGTGAGTACTCGAGCTCGTCTCCTCGTGCCGATCTCTTCTGACTTCTGAGGCTCAGAAGGGAGTACCCTGGAGTTTGCTGAGCGCATCATGCGCGTATTTCGATCACGCAGGAAACAAAGACGACACCGGAAAGCCTCATTCGTCGCACGATTCCGTCTTCCTGACCCCAAACAATCGGAGTCCCGACTCGGAAAGTCATCTCCCTCCGTCGCTGGCTGCCAACAGCAGTTTTTCGGTATCGGACGAGAGGCTGGAGGAACAGCCCAACCGGAGTCCGACACCATCTAGTAACCAAGTAAGCGATTTGAGCTAGCGAAACTAATAAGCAGGGCCGTTGGAGCTGGCGAGCGAGCAGAAGTTAGCAGCGAGCTGAAAACGTAATATGGCTGATCCAGTCGATTGATGTTCTCTCTATTGCGATAAACGCAGCAGACGAAGCTACGACGGAGCGGCAGCGAGCGGATACGAGACGCAATCGTGCGCAAGGTGGATTCGTTTAGGCGTCGTCGGCGAGAGGCGCGGTCGAAAAGCCCACGGAACCTTCGAGGGAATCAGTCGGGCCTCAGCCAAGGTAGCCCGAAATTCCTCAGTCCCAAGGGTGAGTGTTCTGAATTTCAGAGCGTTCTGAACATTCTGGTCAATCTTGCCCAAGATGTTGGAGCTCGATCAGCTGCCCAGGGCTCAAGTCCCCGCTCGAACAATTCCAATACAGACACCGGGAAGATTTAAGGGAGAAACGTGTCGCTCATCGATGATAATCTTTGGATCCATCGGCGGGCCGCTATCTTGATCTGGGAAAATAATTCACCTCCGGATTCCAGGGAAACGTCGTGAATGCTACGACAATCAGGGACTCCAGGGAGATTCAGACGTCGGGGACTTGGAGTGTCTATCTCCCATTATCATCAATAATGAATCACTAGTCTCCGACAAAAACGGTACGTGATGATGTCGATCCCGACACGAGTCCGGGGTTCTCGAGCCGTGGCCGACGATGAAAGGACGGTCCCTGAAGGTTCTTCTCCCACAGGCGAACCAAGGCGTGACTCCGGCGTAGGCAGTTGTGTAACGAGAACGAGTGTGTGAGTATGAAGTTACAGCTACGCTAACAGGATAACGAGCACGAGTTGAGGCTCCACCTCATCAAGGGAAACTCGTTTGACAGCGATTTCTCCGACCATCTCCGCAGGTGTTCGACTGAAGGGTCAGGTCTCTTGGCGGCCACCAAGTGGCACTGCTATCCGGGGAACCCGGTGCACACGCTCACTTTGTCTCCGAACGAATTGGTGCCGCTCTGGCGTTTGACTAGTGAGTAGAGTGGAGGCTCTCCAGCCCGTTTCGAATTACAGCGGTTTCTCCGGTTCGGTCCACTCATGTCGTCCTTAATGAATTGAAATCGTACAGCTTCAGATCACATGCTCTTGCGCAAACATGCTCTCCTGCGATTGACAGCAATCATGGAGAGGCATTGCCCGCCCTACAAAACCGGCTGGACGTGGAGCGTACCGAAATTCATTAAGAAAATGACATCGCCCAGCTACAAAGGTGAGATTTTGTGTAGAAATTCTCGCCACTCGGACTGCAGCTGATCGTATCGCGATGCCGGCGCGCCGCTGCCGTCGGACCGAATTCCTCACGAGAGATGGATTTCTCTGCCTCAGACAAAGTGCTCTTCGGAATTCCCCTTGTGATCAACGTTCAACGAGGCGGTCAACCCATCCCGCCGTGTATACAATTCGCGATGCAATACATCGCGTCAAAAGCTCCATCTTGTTACGGAATCTTCCGCAAGCCCGGCCTGAAGTCCCGCATCGATAATCTACGCGCAATTCACGAGCAACGAGTCATGAATCCATCTCTATCTATGTACGAAAACCAAATACTCTTCGATATCGCCGACATGGTCAAGCAGTATTTCAGGGAGATTCCCGACGGGGGGCTCCTTACAACGAAACTGGCACCGACCTTCCGATATATCTTCATGCGTAAGTTAACACCCTCGTCTTTTTCGTTAGCGAGCAGACCGAGTCACGAGCGTGACTGACCTAGAGACATTGTTCCTTCAGATATACCCGAAGGATATCGGCTGGAAGCGGTTCAGTGCTTGGTGACAATAATGCCCGACGAAAATAGGGAGGCCCTGGAAGCGCTCCTCTGTTTCTTAGCGGAGCTATCTCAATACGGAGCCGCGAACGGAATGACCGCATCGAACTTGGCGACGTGCTTCGCGCCTAGTATATTCCAATGTACTCAGAATTTCAGTCCCAAAAGGTTGGTGCCGGAGAAAAACCACGAGACCGACGTACATAATATAAGAATCGTTTGTAAGCTTGCAACCTTATCATTGACTTCTCGCCCTTGCAGAGGCCGCAGGGACAGCACGAATGGAGACCGAGAAATCAACGAGAACATAGCTTCGAACGATTGCCTCTTAAAGGTCAGCAGCAATTATTTTGCAATAATTACGGCCGGCTTGTGTTCTTCTCGGCTTGTGCAATTACACAACACACAGCACAACACACACACGCTGACTCGAACGGCTGGTTCGAACGGCGAATATCCTCATCCCAGACTAGTTGATGCGCACAAAAGGCCTTGCACGATGAGTCGCTGGTTCGTCGAAGCATGATGATGATTTTTCTCGCGATTCGTCCCCTTCAGATGATCGAGTGGCACGAAGAATTGTTTTGTGCATCCGAGCAAACGCTCCACAGTTTGCGAATCGTGGTGGAAGAACCCTCGGACATCCGTAACTATCTTACGGACAACGGGCAACCTCTTTACAAGGTATGAGTTTTCTCGATCGCTTTCCGCTCCGCTCTGGGAAACCTGGACACTTGAAGTTTGTTCATGTGCGATCCCCTTGACTCAATTCCAGTTAAACTTTGAGGTATCTCTGAATTGGCTCCTGCACGAGGTGCGAAACTCAAAAGGATGGACTCAAATTTCACATCCAAATCTCGAGTTGGCTTGTAAAAGGATTGAAGATGATTTCCACTATGTTCGTCTGTGGAAAATCTCTGTACAGGTAGGTGTTCATGAACGCGATGGCTCACCCTCATAATAACTCGTTCTCGATACTCTGTGGCCCCAAGCTGAGGGAATCGGCGGTTGGTGGGGGTTCAGCAAACGAAATTCATTCGTGGAGTGGGACCGCAGGCTCCGGTCCCCGATTTTCCCCTTCTTTCGGACGAATAAGCGTGTCATCCGCCGAGGGAAGCGCTTCTTTGTTGCATCATACGCGATCCCCACGGAGCGTATTGTTTGAGGAACATGCTTCGGAAATTATCACGCTGAGCCTTAGCAAACTTCGCGACGTTTCGCGGAAAATCCATTGATCGAAACAATATGGCCCCGCTTCTTGCGTTGCCCCTCGCGAGCGCGCGTATTCAGAACACTCATCTACGAGGTCCATCGCGGCGAGTTTCCTGCGTAAACAGAACAGAATTGCAAACACGCAGAGCGAACATGTTTAGGGTAACGACGATTCCGACGGGAGGCGCGGAGAACACAGGGCAACCACGACGTCCAGTTTACGATTTCTCGCCGTTCACACTGAGCAATGGCGAGCTGGACATCTCAGGGACTGCGATCTGATTTAGAAGCGTCCACAAATAACCAACCTCGTTTCCCTGACCGCAAATACATCCACTGCGGAGCGCCTGAATGAATCAAGTGCTAGAATCAGCGTTCCTCAGCACTCTACAACGACATATTGATGACTGTCAGCAATTCGCCCGCTCGTTTCCTCTGGCCCGGGGGAGGGGGGGGGCATGGGAATAGGGACCATGTGTTCCTTGTATTAAATGCGCCCGACCTCAGGTTTCAGCGACTCCGACCCGGATTCTCAATCGAATTCTGTTCGAACGTGCTTTGTGGGATTCGTCTTTGGTAAAACAAATATTCGTCTGCAAAATTGATTCGGAAACCGAAGTTTGTGGCATTATTCACACGGAAATGGGCAAAAATGCCAGACGACAATATCTCCTGCTTCGTGCCTGGAAAACCAACATCACCACCAAAGGCGCCTGTGCCCTTGTCGAGGTTAGTGGGACTCGGACTCGATGTGCTTCAAGATCTTGTTTCGAGTGACGTGAATCTCGTCCACCGGACGAAAAAGGCAGAATTATTCGTGTCGGTGGTCCCTGACTTCATTTCTCTCATTTCTATCAAGGTATCCGTCTCCGATCCAGTGCTGGCTGGGAACATAGATCCGGATCCCGAGCACTGCCATGCATCAACGCCCTGGGTTCGCGCCCATGTTCTAGCCTCGAGGTATCTCATCCAGCCGGCGGGGAACGGTCGGAGTAAAGTCACTCATCTTGCGCGGATCGAGCCGATGTGAGTACAAGGATCTATTGGAGCTTGAAAGTCCCATAGTTTCCGCCGAAATTTGCGTTCTTTTCGACGTCCTCTGCAAGCAGGTACCACCCTCCCCTCGCTCACTCACGAGATCTCCGTCAGCATTGGATCTCTCGGCTCGAGGAGCTCAAAGGGGAAAATAGGGGAGTCGTCCGGAAACTGATTGATTGATTATAATCGGGGGGTTCGCCGTTCATTTCAGGGGAAGGAACGCATACTGGCACAGTCGCTCTGCGGGATTTGTTTACGCCCTACAACTCCACAAGCTGGCTCAATCATTCGAGACGGCGGCCTCAACTGAATCCTTGCCGAGAAGTTCCGTTTCCAGTGCAACCCTCGGCATCAACAGGGAGTCAGTCGTCTGATTTTCGGGCTCGAGGCGAACCCATCCGACTCGGGGACCCGCGACGCGCCCGCGGCGGCTGCGGTGGCAGCGGAGACGTTTCGAATTTCCGCTCATTCAGCGAACTTCGATGGAAAGCTCTGTACAAAACATGTTGTTCCGACTGAGTGTTCAGGCTTCGAGGCTCTTCGTTGCTCCTCGGAGCAGTCGACCGATCGTGTCGACAGTTCGACTATCGAATTACTCCTTCGACTATCCGTCAACACTATTCTTCGTCTTGCGAGGACTCGGCGTTGAGTTCTTGTACATACATATCAATGTGGTGGTTGTCCGTTCCTCTCAATGCGAGCTCATTGCCGCGATAACAAGCTTATCCAAATTCGCAAATCGCAAAGCCCACGGAATAGAAGGCGTCGAGGAGAATAAGTGCGTACGTACACATGTATTGATTTCCCGATTGCGGAAAACGAGACAAAGTGTCGACGGCCTCGTTATCAAGTTTTCTCAAATCACAAGGTCCTGATCGGGACGACGACCCCAATGACTCCATCATTCATTTCGATTGGATGACAGTTCTACCAGGGGAAAATATCCATAACACACCTGTGTTGGAAAACCGATTTTTTTACAAGTACATTTATATTCATATACATGTTTACACCACTCGGGACACCGTATATGGTACATACATGCAGAGAAACGGGACGGACGTGAATGGTGTTTCGCTCATGATCACAGCTATTCATCTTTGATTGAATCGTCTGCGACGACTCCGAACAGGCATGGGCTGTGCGGAGCCATTCTTGCGTTTCCCGCCACATCCGCTGGCCGAGAGAATCCGATCGAGCTTCAAAATCCGCGAATCGTGTAGTCACATCGATTTTCTGTTCGGACGTCTCGCTCGGTTATCAATGGGGGTGACATTATAGAGTTGCCGATGAAGGACGCGCTCCCCGACAGCTCCGCCCCGAATCACATCAACCGCAGTATTATTTACACAGGGGAAGGGATGGGGACTGGGACCGACGGTCGAGAAATCCGTTCGGAGGAGGAAAGACCTCGGATCGACTTCTATAATAGGTTCGTGTGTGTGTTTTGTGCGGAAGTGTGAAAAGCTCGTCGACATCTCAGTGGAGCGTAAGTCAGTTCAATCTCGGATGCGAGCAAACAGACGGGACAGGAGGAAAAATTGTTTTCACCTTAATATATAGGATTGATCAAGACTCGGCACGATGATATTCGCGAGGAAGGAATCGCATGCTCGGGGAACTCGAACAAACTTCGCTTCCACGAAAACCTCATCCGGAGCCCGAGGCGACTCAGAGACACATCGGTGTAAGAAATTCCCCCTCGACACGAAAGTGTATAGACAAAATTTTTGAATGCATCCTCGTGGGGAAAAGCATATGACCCCGTCCGAGGGGCACTCCGAGCTAACGGTTCACCATCAGATCGTAGTCCTGTTATTCGAGAAACGGCGCGGCGACTCGATGAGGTGTCGAGGAAGTCAGAAACGCTCGGGATAGTGGGATCCGATCGACCCAGGACAGTCCTGGCTCGAGAGTGGAAAAGGTCGAGAGTGTCATCAGATCGTTGAGAACTACATAATAGTTTGCGAACGTTTACGACGCGCACAACTAACTAAACTGAGGGAATGTATTTGATAAGTTAACAAGAATCTTTGCGATGGTGTTCGATTTTAAAGGTGTATATGGACATAGACATATCATATACAGATATAAGAACATATGTTGTCATGCATAAAGGAATACGAGACAGAGGAGCCCTATATCCGCGCTCTACACACCTTCGAATGAGGCCAGAGGGATGAATCGATTCATCCAGTTCGTTCCAATCGAGCTAAGTACACCTCTGTAGAGCACTGTCAGAATCAGTGGAATCTATCGATGGAAATGTATTGAGCTATCAATATAAGAGAGATGCTGAATTGTTGCTACATATGTGGGTCAGGCCTAGGGTTTCTAGGCAGGGTTTGACGAACGAAGCAAACAGAAGAGGAATCGCACTAACAACACTGTCGGTATTTGTCGTAGTGTTGCTAAAAAACTCACGCAGCTCACACAACGACGTATTCTTCAAAATCGAAAGCAGGGAGAGTCGCTCTCGCATCCCGTCGTGGTGATCCTTCTCGAGAGTTGTTTCGGACCTCTGATTTCGGATCTCAAAATTTTTCCCAGACGGAAAAACTCGAATCAGTCGCAGGATGGGATAGGTACGTCGGTCGTGTAAAATCGCGGGACTCTTCCGATTCCTACGCTCCGCATACGTACTCCATTGCGTTACTCAGCGTTGCATCTGAGCACGGCCAAAGGCAGCCTGTATTAATCTCGCGGAGATTGATCCAATGATCACCACGGCGAGATATTTTGAGTTTGATTGAGAAAATCAACTCCCTTGCGTGATTTTTTTCTAGGTATAATAGAAGTCAAAGATGACTTTATCAAAGTGTACAGCTCAAAACCTGGGCCTGTCATAGTTTCCGTTTAGTGCGGAAGTCCTCCAGGCTCACCAAAAAGGACAGCACCCAGAGAAAGTTAGGGAGCACCACCAAAGATGTTAATCGTCATTGCATCATCATGGGAATAAAAACAACAGTCAATGGAAAATACGTGTCGAAAGGACGTTTTCAATGCTGGTCGTCGGGTCTGAATGAGCGTTTTTTTGCATCGCGACCCGCAACATCCATTACTACCTGAGGCGTGGGTCTCGGTGCTCGGCCTCTCTAATGCCGGAGATGAAGGATTTTCAACACCATTCCGCCCTACCGCGCGGAATATGATTCGATGGACTTCGCTCCCGAGGAGGATGATTCCATGACGGAAAGCGGCAGCAACGCAAGCGGTGAGCTTTCCAGGGTCATACTACTTGGAGCTATTTAGAGGGCCTTCCAAAACGGAAGCGAGCTTCTGCACATTTCGGGGCATATTTTAAGATGGGAGTCTAGCCTTCTGTGGCACAAGGTTGTTGCGGTTGCGATTTCGTATCCGCTCCCGCAAGTAGCTCACTTGTCCAGATAGGCGCTCGAGTGTGCTGGCGGATCGGGCTCACATTCGATCTGGGTTTCAATGTCCGCACAAACGAGTCTCCTTCCAAATGGAGTATCATACATAATGAATAGTGAGGGATAAGTCCAAGCAAGCGGTTTCGCTGAGAGCGGTCAGAAGTCGGCACCACGACGGTTTCCTCGTCGAGGGACACGACCGCTCCGTCTCAAGGCATCGGACATTTTTATCGGGATGAGATCCCGCAACTCGAAGAATTCCCCATCCCCATTAGGGGGATCCCCGCATGTACTATCGCCTGATCGAGCTCTTTTCCAAAGTTCCGATAGGGACGCCGAGGATAAAGTGTCCCACGCAGCGAGCGACGAGGATTCCGCGTTTCTTCTCCGCAAAGTTCCTGGTAGCTCCGATCTGCTGCGGTCGCTACAAATATTCTCTCTGATCGGAGCGTTGATCCGTACGTGATTGCCGTTACTTCTATGCTAAAAAGGATCAGATAAAAAAGAAGATGACGGCGACGCTGAAAATTCTCGGAGAAATAAGAACGCAGGCGGAAGTTGATGTGGAATCTCCTTTACACAATCCGGATTCATTCGTAATCTTTTGGCTTGAGAGATAATACCGTCCCCTCACCACAGACATCCAGCACAAGGAATTCGCTCCCACCGCCGCGCGACTTTGGAGCTTGTGCCTTGTCTGACATAAGCGCAGAGACTTCTCGGAGTTCGTCTCTCAGCCGAAAATGTCGAGGCTTCCACAACATTGTTACGACAACTTCCCCGGAGACTGGCGGCTTCGACTCCGAAAAAGAGCGTAGATCACAAGTCGGAGGATCTAAAGCAGCGATTTGGAGGCTTTCATCATCCTAATCTGGTGGATGCGGGTTTTCGTCCCGGCTCTCGCGAGGACCTCGGAATCGGTGATTCCAGTATAAACTTAATATTCATCTCCGCTCTTCGTTGCGTCCCTGACCATGGAAGGAAACTATGGTATTCTAGCATTCCTCCAAACTAGAACGATTCTATCTCTTTGATCGCATTCTTAGGGCGAAGCTTAGGCCTTGGACGAAGCTCTTCTGTAGTAGGGGAACCCGGTGATGGTGCGTGACAGGTAAGCTTCGGCTTGAATAGCTGCTTCTGGACCCGTCGGCGCGGTCGAGACGATTTGGACCGCCGCCGGAGAATTGGATTCGGTACCGAGTTCGTTAGTTTCGATGGCGGCACGGAATCCGTTCTCATCGGCTACGTATCTGCAAGGGGAGACAGATATTTAAAAACGCTTCTCTGCTGGCTTTTCGAAAACCAGTTGAATCGGAGTGACCTCACCTCACAATCCTCTGCCTTCCGTCGGCGATACTCAAACTGTAAGAGCCCTGGCGTCGATTGGCGGCGTCGGAGGTCTCCTCGTGGCTGTGAGCTCCTTCCTCCGTGACGGTTGTGTACGAGAAATGGTACGGCTGAGGAGGGTACGCGGGCTCCACAACGGGAGCCGCGGCAGCCACGACCACTGGCGCGGTTTGGATAACGCGTTGAACAATCGGAGCTGATTGGACAACATGCACTGGCTGGGCAGCGACTTGCACGATCTGTGACGGCGGTGCTTGCACGGAAGTGACGACTTGCGCGCGCTAGAAGCGGGAGAGGAATTGAGTCCAGAAATAGATGGCCGAAGCTACAGGGCTGGAGTTGCTCTGAGGGCTCGGTATATATATCAGCTTACCACAGCGCTGCAGCAAAGGACGGCGAGAGCTGCGAGACGGAACATCGTGTCCCGGCGAGATCCTGGGTTCGGAGGGACTGTCCGTTAGTTAGTCAGTCAGTCGATTGAGCGGTATTCGTCGTCGAATTCTAGACGTTTCTCGGCAGGAACAACTCAATGCGTCGATGAGACGTGAACTTTTATACAAGTATGTGGCGGTCGCGTCAACGGCCTTGTGGGCAGGTGAGAAACCCGTTGACGAAGCTGCACTCACGCGCGGGGATGATTGTGAAGATAAACCGCTTAATTCTGTCAGGCACAGAAACAATATTTTGATACGACGCAAGGTATTCAGATATACACTCGGATATATTTAGCCTCCCCTTACGATCGATCTAGTCCAACGATGATACTTGAGGGTGATTTTCACTCGAGGATGTCGACGCCGCGGCGGAGTCTCAGTGTATCCGAGGCTTTCCGGCTGAGAAACATCGCCCTGCACGGTGACAGTGAGGCATGGAATGAAATCGTCTTCGCGCTTGTTTCTCTGCGCGGGATGGCGCGTGGATATGATGGCGTCGGGAAATCTCCGGACCGCCAACTTCCGGAGTTGCGCGGAAAATTCTGGAGCCCCTCGGCGAATGTCGACGAAATCCTCTGCGAATATTCCGGACGCGAGGAACCTGATGAGATTTCGGGGGATTCGATCGAGACCGGAGAATTCTTCTTGGGTTCTTTGCCTAAGTGGTGTCCCCGTTCCGTCGTTCCCCGGAGCGGTTCCTACCCCTCACAGGGGATAACATACGGGAAGCGGATTCGGCCCTCCGTGCCGCGGAAACTCGAAGTTAAGCGCTGGCTTTTGCTTCCGAGCATCTCCGCAGGATATGAAGGTACCCACCTCTCGGGATTCTCTGAAATAATCACCGACTCGCTTCAGGTATGCTGCGAAGCGAAGTCACGGCGAATGACCAGCGAGTCCGGATGCTTCCCCAGAGTGTGAACTCGCCATTGACATATGCGGGGTCCTCGTCGCTTGACTGCTTGCTGTGTCTAGAAAACACAATCGAGCTCCGCGCCGGGGTACTCCTTGTCCTGGCTGCGTCACGACTTGGCACGGGTTGAGTTTGCCGCTGAGATCCGGGATCTGGCACGATTTTAGAGCGACGCTTACCCATCCATCCGTTCGCTCTCCTCCTTGTCCACGGTTTCTTTCACGGTGATGTAATAGGGCCCGAAGATCCGACGACTTCAGAGATACGCCTACTTGGAAGCAAGACTATCCTGTAGGTGAATGCGGTCACCGGAATTCAAATGAAATTCTGATGAAACTCCGAATGACCCGGGGGCGGGAATTTCAGGTCTTATGACAACTACGGTCGCTGCGACGCAAACGAAAGCCCAGAACGGGGCACGGTACGCTGCGAATATGAGGGTATTTCGAGTATTGGTGTCGCGATCCTCGGAACGATGCGCCTCGGCCCGGCGAGTCAGAAATTCCTAGTCCGGTATAGGTCTAGTATCGGATTGCTTCGGAGCAGAGCGACAATTCCGTCCTGCAAGTTCCTGCCTCCGCTCGAGAAATTCAAGAGATCGTGCGACATCGGAGACTGTCCAGATTCGAGCGGTCGTGAGACGGTCACGTCGACTTTTCGGATCTCCCAAAGGAAATCGAAGGTGTGCTGAGAGTTTGACGGCGCAAATGGAACTCAAACACAACGACACGCTCACTCGGTGCAATACTGAAGAACAGCGATGCGCAGCGTCTCGGAACCGCAATTTCTGGGGGTCCAGTCTATCTGGGGATGTCTGAGGAGGGCGACAGAGGTTTGCATGGGACCGGAATCGGGAGCCGCAGTTCTCCGGAATTTTTCTCCCCGTGAAGTCTAGTACTTACGCTCTCAGAAGCAGGCCCAGAGGGAAGGAGCACTCCAAGAATTTCCGCCAAGAAAAAACGCGTCGCTCACAGTGTAAGAGAAATTCCCCCTATAGATGCTTTATTAAGATTACCAATAATCGCGTCTACTCGCGTAACTTTTTACATCATCATCATATAAGATGTCTCCCACGTTTCCCCTGGATCGGACTAATGATGAATGAAGAACTTCTTTGATTGAAAAATCTTTCTCTAAACCAGTCAATCAACCAAGCAAGCAACCACCCAACATTCGGATTCTTCATATCTCCGACTCTAAGTCTCCTAAACGGAGTCATCCTCGCACGCGTGGATGTTCCCGCGGGTATTTTGATACAGTTCCATGCATCTGAATGCCTACGGGGGAAAACCTGCGCACGCATCATATCATCTGATTTGGGCCGAGTCTATCAATAGAGATTTTTTCGTCAGGCTCGGTATGATATGAAGTATTTCCGTACGGATCTTCTCAAGCATTCCTCATCGAAACATGTTTAACCCACCGAAGTTTGAAAAGCCGCCGGTTACTCTCGCACTCGAAGCACTTTGTGCGCCCTTCCGATGATTGCTAACTCCCGCTGTCTCGACCAAATTCTAATCAACCGGTAAATTGATCCTCATCAAATAATTCAGATGAACTCAGAGCTCGCATCGGGTCGATTCCGCGCCTTTCGAGCGACCAACGCGAACCATGTCTCGAAGTTGAAGCCAAAAACCCCGATCGCCAATCTCACTGTCGAAGCGTACTTTGCAATCTGAGTTGAATCCATCGTGAGTCGAGTTCGAAACGGCATGCTATTTCACTCGCTCTTGTTCTTCTTCTGTCGTGTGCTTTTGGGTGTGCCTTGCTTGAGCACAGTCGACGGAAGCCATGCGTAGTCGACGTCGCCGTCTTTCGTGCCGGTTTCCGTCCGACCGCTGGGTTTCTTGTTGCGCGACACGCATTGCAACAGAAGCACGGCACCGAGGACGATGGCGGCAGCGAGGAACACGTACAAGAAGAAGGTTTCGGCGTCGAAACTCACTTCGGGCTCCTCGACGGTCAGGGTCGAGTTGAAGACGGCTTCGCGGTAGACTTTTCCTTCGCTGTCGTGGTACATCAGAGAAACCTCGAGACCGACGGGCATGCCGCTGAAGACATTGTCGACGTGGAATTGGTAGAAGAGAGACGCTTCCTGTCCAGTACTGAGCTTACGGTTGTATCCGACGGCCGACAAGTTCTGAATCACGGAGTTGTAATCTCCCGCGAGTCGGAAAGATGCGTCGAGCGTGTCGATAAAGAGATCTTCGGACGCCCGATTGATGAAGCCGAGCAGAATCTGCAGAGGAGCGGGCATGATCAGAAGAGGAGAGCAACTCCGATTCGACACGAGGAGCCGATATAGTCGGCACAACTAAATCAGGACGGCTTCGCAGAGGGGGAATAGAACGTGTCCCTTCACGTGGATTTTGGATGGAGTGATCTCCGGAACTTACGTGAGCTTCCTGTCCAGAAACAAGCCGGTATCCACCGCCGGGCTTCGTGAAGAGAATGTGAGTGTCGGCCCCAGGGTGCTTCTCGTAGCCTGTTCCTTCGGGAATCAAATCCTCGATCGTTTCCACCTGCTCTGTCTGCGGAGGGAAAATTCTGACGTCAAAAATTTTCTACCGTGGCAATCGGTGCTCTCGATCAGAATTCGTTTACGGAGGGACCATGCATCGATCACATGTCCGATAAGAAAGTCCAGCGAGCTCAGGATGATCCCGATGACAACATTGAAAATTGGACATAGAGCAAAGATGATTGACATAGCGATATCCGACACCCGTGAACCGGTCAGAAAATGTCTACGGAAGCACATTCTCTTGTCTCATAATTCCGTTATCTGACAGCTTCGAGAAAGAGCTGACGAGTTGTCGAGAAGACAGGATTGCAGTCATTCTCTAATGTTCAATCGGAGTCAGGTCCTTACCGCTTCATCGTCCTCGGCAAGCGAAACCCCCACCAGCAGCAATGAGGTGAATACTACAGCGAAGATCTTCATCGGTCCGGTTGCTGTCGAGAATTCGAGAAAAGAGTCGCAGTATCCAGCGGTACCGCGATTTGTCCAACTGCTGTGTTGTCTGACTTGGACTGACCGGCTATGCCAAGTTGGCCGCCGACACGACAACTCAACACAGCACGATTGAAGCATTCTGACTTTTTGGGAGAGTGTCGAAGGGCGCGAAAATTTGACGATTCAGCGCTTCGCGCGGAGAGCTCTCCAGGACATCCACAGGCGCTCGAGGTCGGCGGAGGACGCACGTCCTGAATTGTGGAAGCGTCTCCGGGAGCGAGGGAATGTGCCCGTGTCTCTCGCAGCAATCGGTCCTCTTCCGTTCCGGCGGATTTGGCCCTGTGAAGTCACAGCGGCCATCCCGACATGAACGTTGGCAGCTGATCGAGAGCCGAGGCGACGTAAGTCGGTAAAACTCGTATTCGACGAAAAATGGTCTCCAGAAGAGGGTGGGTTGTTATGAGATGTGATCACCCGGAATCGGAGGGCTCTCGCCTTCCGAATGGGTGCTTGCTCAGGAAAGCGAGTCTCCTGATATGTTTCGGGGAGCAGGTGTTCGATTCTCTCGCCCGACGAGGAACATCGCTCAACTTGAAACCTCGCGGCCTAGGAATCAACCCGGGGTTTCCAGCATCCCCGTAAGATTTTCGGCCACACTTCGATTCGTGTCTCCTTTCCTGTGGGATATAGTTTTCCCGTGAACGGGATACTTGATACTTGACGAGATTTCTCCCGCGAGACTTAAGCGCTCCTCCCGATCGCAAGTCCCTGAATGAACGGTCGATCTACAGGGTGCTTGTTCCCAGTTCGAGTGTGCCGTAATGGATCGGGACTCAGTTCTATCGCCCATATCAATTACCCGATCGATACTCCACTCGTCGGGGAATGGTGTCGATCACTTTGAACCGCAACGTCTGCGACCGCCCAGCAACGGCAGCGTGCGCGCCACAGATCCGTGGCAGACGAAAAACGGCTCGTTGATCGAGCAGCAGCATTTAAAGAGCAGGTCTATCCGGGCTCGTGTAGCTGACGTCGTTGGTGTGGTGTGTCAGCCGTTTGTCTACTGGGTAACACACTGCTGTTGTCGATACAACCAACGAAGCCATCTACAGAAGTCACCGAGACGACGGGGAACAAGCTCTGAAATAGTCTTGACCCTTTTAGGGAGGTTGCAAGGAATTTCACGTACAGTCTCTTCTCTTGCTGTTTAGGTGAGTTCTGAGAGCGATATTGAACAGATCGACGTCGACTCTCTATATCGCTTACTTTTACTTATTGATCAGGAGGAGCGGGTATCGCGTGTCATCCCAATCTGACTCACATTCCTGCCTGGGTCTCCGATCTGGATTTGTTCGGTAGAGTCTATTCTCGTGATCTTGTCGAATTTGGTGCGGAGACGGGAAACTGATCTACTCGAGGGTTTAACTTCGTTCGATTCTGGGGTCTCCCCTAGGCTCGACGGGAAGTGCCTCCGCTCGAACGGAGGAGCGTGTGCGTAGGCTGACGTCTCATCCTAATGTCGCCGAAAGATTGAGCGTGTATATTGCCTTCTAGGCGCGATGGAGGACTACGAATCCGTGCTCCTAGTGAAGAACGAGGTTTTCATCTACAAAATCCCGCCTCTGACGACGAACAAAGGCTACAAGGTGGGCGAACATCGAGCGAAGTTTCCGACTCCGTTCGAGTAGCGAGTCCGCCAAGCCATTTTCAATCCATATTCCATGGGTCGGCGAAATCTTTGTGGGAATCGCTGCGTAACTCGAAGAACGTGTTGTTTTCAGGCGTCCGATTGGAAACTGGATCAGCCCGAGTGGACAGGCAGGCTGAAGCTGACGGCTAAGGGACTCGATTGTGTGCTTAAATTGGAAGACAAGAACACTGGTGAGGTCCTCATATGAACGAGTTGCTCCCCATCCAATACACTGACGATAAATCATCCACCTCTCACCCTCTCTCTCTCTCACCCGCTAGGTGAGCTCTTCGCCAAGTGTCCTGTCGATAAATATCCTGGCGTCGCGGTGGAAGCCGTCACAGACTCTTCGCGGTATTTCGTCATTAGACTGCAGGACGACGACGGGAGAAACGCTTTCATCGGCATGGGTTTCGCGGACAGGTACGATCAGCAGCGATTTCTTTCGGATCGAGCCGTCTAGTGTGGATTCATGACGACTTTCAAATCCCACAGGATAAATAATCAAGGGATTTCCATTCATCACGGGAGAATCAGTGCTATAAAATAATTGGATTTATTTCGCAGGAGCGACTCATTCGATTTGAACGTCGCGCTCCAAGATCATTTCAAATGGGTCGAGAAATCGCAAGATACCTCCATGACGGAAGAGAACAAGGGTCCTTCGCAATTCCTGGGCTTCAAAGACGGCGAAACTATCAAAATCAACGTTAACATTGGAAAGAAGGGGGGCAGCAGCCGACCACGCACAGAGAGGAGCGCAGCGAGCTCTGGCGGAATACTCCTCCCTCCGCCGCCAGGAGGTGTGAAATTAACTACGAATACCGCTTCAGCTCGAGCGACACCTTCGCAACCTGTTCAAGCGAAGTCGGCCGCACCTTCGGCGGGGGATAATTGGATTCAGTTTTAATGGATCGATCGTTGATTGCAGTATGTAAGACACGCAAGCGATTTTAATTTTCACCTCTATGAAGGGCTTGTACATTGCGCACATCGAGCCAACTGGAGAGGAGGTTGTATATATATTCATCCGGATGTTATTAGGCCGCATGGTTATATTGCGCAGAATCGTACTTTAGTCTGATGTAGGGAAACATGTTCATGTCGGTGTTGTCCTGACTTTTTTCCTTTCGGGAGTGGCTGAGCTGTTCACATCACGTTCTAGTGTGCCCTCGAAGAACCACGAGGAGCTCCGTTTGGACGCAATTCCGAACTTTTCAAGGTCAGTTTTTCGTCCAGGTTTTTGGGTGGGTGTCGCACGGCTGCGATAGAGTTCCGTCGTTACACTAAATACTGTTGATTGGGAAGGAAAAATATACCTGGTTATTAGTCCAACAGTCCTGGTTATTAAGCCCAGCGTAGTCTATCAGCGGGGTGGGGATCCGGAAACCGGGCCGGTCTTGGAACCCCTATGAAGTAGAACTTCCTCGACCGGAAACAAATCGCAACTCTGGCGGCTGACGCTGCCTCCCGATTCTCGCAAGGACTGAGGGGGGTTCATCCTCGCTCCGAAAATTAGGGGATTCTCACTTCAGCACAAAGCCCGATTCAACTATCATTCAGCTTTTAGATTTCCGCGCAGGTCATAGAGGGGAGTACATGTGTAGAACTTTGTTGGAGACATGGGTACACGTCGACGCTCATCGCCCTTATCCGAGAGTGCTATTATTCGAGCATGAGTGTGCTGCAAGTGAGAACGTATATAGACTTCTATGGTCTCTACTGCCGCGGAACTGAAAACTATAGACCTACATACAGCAAATATATTGAGTCGGAAGTAGTAGAATAAAAATTACCTTCGGCTCCACATCGGTCTCTTGATTGAAGCTAGCTTCCGACTTAGATCCGAATTGAGCATAATACAATCGCTAGCCACGAAATCTACAAAATCGTCGATTCCATTCGTAGGCTCTATGAGCTGCGTCCTCTGTGAGACATCTCGCCTGACTCAAGATTCTTCTCAGATTCAATTAAATCAAACTTTATTTCCGGGAACCTTCCGCCATCACAACCGTCAACCTCAATAAATTTAAGGGTAGCTGAAGCTATCTTTCCTTCTCGAGCAGAATATTACTTTGAGCTCGGTTCCTGACCTGGGTTTACAGCATAGAGAAGGCGCAGATTCTACCGCCCTTTCTTCGGCTCCTCCACTGATGCCTTCGACTCGATTGGTTGGAACTCCTGCAGCAAATGCCATGGGTATTGGACTCGTTTGATAGCTCTGGGTTGTTCGAGATCAGCCCATCCAGCCGAAGAATGGTATCCGTCATATGCATGATATAATAGAACGGAAGAAGTTGCGTAAATCTTGAAAAGCCAGAGATTGCGATTGCTCCGTGACTACCTCATTATCTTGACGACCTGCTCGGAACTCTCACCTTGGTCAGGAGCCACGCCAGGAACATGTCATAAATCACGGACAAACCACAAACGAACAAGAACCGGAATTTCGGGGGGAGAAAGTAGAAGTTGATGGCCTGAGCGGGCACGTAGACGAACCTAAAATAGTCAGAACGTTCTGTTGTGAGATACGCTCCGTCATCGAATGGATTGATCCAGCCGTAGTTCACTCACCAGTCTGCGACACATATGAACTTGATTTTCTCCCTAAAGTCACGACCGCACTCAGTCATCGATTTTCCTTGGAGTTTGCCGAACGCTATGAAGGTATAACCTGGAAAATTGGTCACGACTGATGAAAGATTCTTCGAGGTAACAATCAGCTGAGTCGTTGTCCCTACAAGGTAATGCCTGAAGGAGATTTGAAGACATGAGCCCGCGGGGAAGCACCGCTCAGGAGGAGGACCTCCTGACCATGCATATGCACGGTTCGGCACATGGGCACCTGAAGCATTGATCGGGATAGGATGGCCTCTGCTATGTATGATATCGTCGACTCTCTTTCACGTTGAGTGCGGAGAATCTGAATCAGGGAAACTCGAGAGCAGAAGTCAAGAGACGCCCAGCTCTGCCCTATGGAGCGCCTGATTCTCCCCGAAGTGAAAGCTCGGCAGAGATTGTGAATGTCAGCCAGTTTGATGTCGTTCATTGGCTCTCCATGTCTCTTGGGGGCTCTGTCTTGGACATTGAGCTTAGAATGGAGCCAATTCATCGATCGCCGATGGTGTTTGGCGGAGACAAAACTGATGAGCCTTGTGCGTCGGACGGAGGTCAATTCTTGACTCATCCTGTATATAAGCACATTTTCCCAGCTGATGCGATGGCCTGGAGTCTAGAAAAGTGAATCGAAGCTGCGTCAGCGTAGAAGTCGGAAGTTTACGGTACCTGCGAAGGCGGGTGTAGCAGCGCACTCGCATAATAGTTTGTTCCGAACCATTTGCAAACTCTTCCCAGGGAAACGCTTGTCCAGAAACTTGTACCAATGATGCCCCATGATCCCGAAGCCGGTCCCCATGATCGCCATGTTCTCTGGAAGGTTCGATTTATCGAATTATCATCCCCGTTCGAACAACAGAACCTAGGTAAGCCAATCTAACTCAGACACCAGGTATGAAACATGAGAGCGGGACCTAGCGGTGTTTTGCGATTCATGAGAGCTGGGGAACATCCTTGATAACCTTGAAGCAATATGAGTGCTTACTCGAGCGCTGCCAATCATGAGGACCATCTCTCGTGACCTTCTGGGCGAGTATGTCTCCTCCGAGCATGAAGGTACTACCAAGAGCGAAATTCGTGAAGAGCAAATACTCATCGAAGGCTCTCCGAGTGAACCTCGACAACATTGTCGGGCTTGCACTCCTCCGAAGGAGGTCTGCGGGCGCACGGAGTCACTTCTTGGTACACACAATGATTTCGGGCCAGTAATCCGGGAACCTTCTGTCATCCGCGCGACATGGAATACCTCGTGTTTACGGTTCACAGTTCGCGGAAGAAAATCAAGAATTTGATGCCCGGTCAGAGGTGAAGATCACGTTCCTCGAGCCACACAGGAGCGATAAATTGTGACGGACCCTCCGCGGCCTGTGGATAATCGGACAGCGCGCGAATGCGTGGAGAACGGTGGTGGTAGAGACGATAATAAACAATTCCCCCATGCCACTGTCGCCGGCACATCGAGAGTGAGAGAGGTCAGAGCTCAGTCGTCTGCTCGAAAACCGCGGAGTCGTCGGTGCAATTAAGGGTTAGCATTCCTCCCGGAAATCATCCTGACCCAGGGTCTCAGACTATCGGCATTTTCTATTATATGGTTGGGAACGTTTTCCGTGTCGAGGCTTGCTCAGCGCTCCATTTCAGAAAAGAACGCGTCCATCAGCACCGACCCTCTCTCAACATTGTCCAGCTGCTGGCACCTCCTGAACTTCGAGTTGGACCTTGACATTCGAGCGTCGCACTCCTAGATGATCTGCGCGCGAATCTGCATACGTTGGCGATTCTGGAAGCCGTCCCCTCTCACTGAACACTCAGTCTCCAGGGCTAACTTCCTCGCATTTTCAACACTCGAAGACTCGAAGCTGAATAATGCCGCGCTGGACAAATCGCTTTCAATGGTCTTCTCTTGACAGTCAGAAACGCTGCTCCACCTCCTTCGAACGACAGCGGCATAGCCAGGCGGAGTAGCTCCGGGTTCGGACCCCGCGAATGCCGCCCCTGATTGAGGTCTTCCTCGAGGTTTGCCCGGGAAATCTCAGTTTCTCAGAACTTTGCCTTGGAAATTGAATGGAGTCCCTTCGGATGAAACGAGGGGAACACGGCAGTCTCCTCCGATTTTTGGAGCGTATGTGTCGAAGATGGCACCCCTGAAACCGGCAAAAAGAATGGCGGCCGGGGCCGTCGGCACCCGCGAAAGTCTCCTCCTCGCTGAGCTCTCGAATCCTGCGAGCGTCTCGAGCGATCAGTAGGTATTGAGTAAGGCACAAATATCTAATTGACGGACAGTGAGGAGGACTATCGAAAGAACGGAGAGGGGGCTCTTCGCGATGAATTTGAGTCCTATCCTGACAATGTGTACCTACTCCAGAGAGGGAGCCCGCGGAGGCTCGGAAAACATTGGAACACATCCGGCTCTAACCGATGGAGTTCCCACTCGAGGAATTGATGAACAGTGTACCATCAATCGATAAATTGCTCTGTCATCCTTGTTCGATTGGAGCCAGAAATCGATTCACTGCCGTAAGGAAGAGTCATTCAAGGGACCATTGGAGAGACCGCTCGAGTGGTGACGAGCGGTCGGGAAAGATCATCGACATCATTGTCTTCACTCTCCCATCAACAGATGCAATTCTCGCAGAGATCTGTCCCGCGTTCCCTCAAGAAGAAGACAGGCGCTACTGTACCCGACCGCAACCTTCTGTGCAAGCGTTCAGCGAGTTCGGCCATCGTACAAAACGGATTTCGCATCCAGACGCGAGTGAACCCCTGTCTCGCTGCTGCGGCAGCAGCAGTTGGGAGCTACGGCAGTGTCTGAGAAGAGCTAGGTCAGCCGCCAGCGATTGTTTGGTGTGAGGCTCGAAGAAGTAGTTTCTTCTCTTCCAGTTCGACCATATCCTCGTCTTCTCTCGTTGGACTTTGCTTGTGTCGGCTCGATTATGGCAAATTTTGCTTGGTACTCCTGATCGAACCTATTTTCGCCATTCGCATCGATCCAGGACGTTTGCGACAGTGATGAGAGGAGAATACATGGATAAGCATGATTCTGTAAGCGGAACGTCCTGAGAATCTTACGCCCACGCCTGAGCAGGAAATGGGGCTCGTCTGGAGCAAGCTTTGGAGTCTCTTCTCCAATGAAGGTGAGTGATTCCCTGAATTTACGTGAATTCTCCGAGCTTGCCCAGTCTTGCGCAGTTTCGCCAGACATCATGATGGGAGCCGGATCGACGTTACGCAACAAGTTTTCCGTGTCGGCTGGAAGACTGTCGAAACTTTCGGGTTAGCATCGCAACGGCCCAGGGAATCCGCATCTAGGCTTATCATGTATCAAAGTCTCAAGGACCTGTGTGGAATCAGGAGCCGTATCGGAATCCTCGGAATTGAGGTATCAGATGCGATGCTGATTCCTATCCGTCTTGGACGTTTCTCGGGCGACCCTAGGGCACCTGTGATGAGAAAGCTAGAATATCATCAGCGTGACCATGTGCTCCACATCTGGAGCGTCAGCGGGTTCTTCCGTTCGAGTTTCTTGCTCGCTTAGCACTGTTCGGAACACGCCATCAGTTTTCCGAAATCAGTTGCGAGCTGCTCAATCCTTCAAGCCATATTCCGGATCAAACACAGATGGTCACCTGTGTTGATCGAGGATTCGAAAGACCATCGAGGAGCCTATTCGAAAAGCATATCGATTTCCACAAGTGTCAGCGGTGATCCCAAATGCCGCCATCGCTCCTGGCTCCCCAAAATCCTCTGGGACAGGAAGTTCTAGCAGGTATACAACATATATATGCCCCAATGCGCATCGAACTCGTACATATCCTGGGAGTGACTCTGGAAAGCCATCGGAGCGGAGCCCTCAGATATCGCATTCCCATGGTGCCTAGTGGGATTCATTCCTGAGTTTCCCTGGGAGCTCCGATGAGTTCATGGGTTGAGCGTCGATCCATCTATCAAAATGGTTCCCGCGGTCGAATTCTTGCTCCTTCATGCGCTCGATCTTGAATGCGCAATATCCGGATGCGATTTATGGGGTTCGAACGGAATATTCGGAAATGTTTCTTGCTTCCCCAGGGGAAAGTATGTAAAATAATAATATGGCAGGCTCAGACGGCATGGGGTTCGATCCCTGCAGTCGGATCGATATCGCTATTCACTAAGCCGGTGCGATTTTCACAGAGCACAAAGTCGTCATCGTTGGACTGAACAATGCGGGCAAAACCACTATCCTCTACCAGTTGTAAGTGCTCTCGGGGGTCCAGGCACTCCGTCGAATACTCCGTATCCATTTCTTAGAGACCATGAATGACGTCGACGCATATCAAACTTCATTAGAGAGTACATTGCTTCATTTCCAGTCTGATGGGCGAGGTTGTGCACACTTCTCCGACGATCGGCTCCAATGTCGAAGAAGTCGTTTGGAAAAACATACATTTCATAATGTGGGATCTCGGAGGCCAAGAGAGCCTGCGGGCCACGTGGAATACATACTACACCAACGCGGAGGTGAATATCCTTGGCGTCTACAAGATAGATTGCTCACGCCTCGTCTTTGTTTAGAGATTCACCTGTATTTGATCCTCATATCAACCATTATGGCGGAGTTTTGGGCGCTCTATCCCATAAAGAAAACCTGTCTCGTTTGTACGCATCTTATACTTGCTCGGAGCGATAAAAATAACGCTTTTCTTTCAGTTCCTTATCGTTGTTGTCGACAGCACGGACCGTGAACGTCTGCATCTCACAAAGGTTGGTCGATCTTCGAGTCGGGTCATTTCCGTCGAGAGCCGGGAATCTTCTATGTCGCAAGATCCGGGCTGAGCTTTTGGGGTTGTCTCAATTTTTTTGGGATATTTTCTTCACAGGAGGAGTTATGGAAAATGCTATCCCATGAAGACCTCACCAAGGCCTCGGTTCTAGTGTATGCCAATAAGCAAGACGTCAAGGGTTGCATGAGTCCTACTGAAATCTCACAGCAGCTCAATTTGACCGCAATCAAGAAGCATCGCTGGCAGATTCAAGCTTGTTGTGCTCTCACGGGAGAAGGGTGAGTGGAGCTCGACCTCGTCCAATCATTCGCAGACTCAGCGGCTCTGGCTCTGGTGTTTTTTTCTCAAAATATTCGAGCCACGGTAGAGCCGCGACGCTTCCCGCCACGGCAGTGGTTCACATTGGCGGTGAGCGCCGCTCGATCTCGGAGCCGGGTAGCAATCTTTCATATCCCCGATGAATTTCAGGCTCACCCAAGGCCTGGAATGGATCACGGCTCAACTCAAATCAAAATGACCATACCAATCATCCTGTTCCGAATATCAGCCTCTCAAACAGTACCTGCGCTGATCACGCGACCCCTATGGCGAGACCTATCTCGATAGACGGGACGGGTGTCTCGCAGAAAACTTCGACCGGACTAAGCCAAATTCAATCTACCTACAGTAATGCTTATATTTTATACCGTCAAGCGTGGAGTATCATGGGTGTATCTGCGCATGTTGAGAATTCCGCTCTCCTCTCCGATTGAATCTCCGTTGTTTGTGGCGGGGAACGCACCGGGAAGGGCGTGGAGAAGGAGTAAGCTGAGCTCTCCGGAGAAAAGTTTGATTGTGTAATTTTTTTCTACAGCGAAATCTCAGCGTCGTGCGGGAATCTTTGATGTACGTAATTGTTTGAAACCACTCCCATTGTTGTTAGGCAGGACCATAGATGTGAGAACTTGATAGATTCGACGGGAGGAAACTGTTGTTGGCGGCTGCAAACTACGCACACCTAGAGCCGTATTGAACGAATTCCGGGAAACATAGCTCAGTCGCCGTTTGAACAGCTCTGAGGGGACGCGAGAATCTTTCTTCTTAGAGTTCATCCCTGTACCTAAGGGGCCATGACGTGTTCTGAGTCTCGCCTAAGTTCGAGGTAATGATGAAATGAATAAAAAACTTCGAGATTGTCTGAACTCTTCTTCTTTTTCCTGAAAACCCAGCCCCCCAACCAGAGAACCCTCTGCTCAAATCTGGAGGCGGCGGTCTCGGGTCCGATAGGCTCTCCCGGATTACTACCTCCCGTCTGCAGCTCCCTCGAACAACTCAGCAAATTCTGTAGAGACAGATACAGTGAAGAGTCTGTTGAGACTGTCTCACACCCGAGGCTGTTCAGTTGGGGCTGAACAGCAAGACGCATTGGATATTGACTCATCATTGGAAAGTTTTATTCACTTCGCTTCGCGATTCATCGGAAGCTTATAATAACTATCTAAAGAAAACAGGCTTTAACGATCAACTTCTCCGAACACGATGTCGAGCGTGCCTATGATTGCGACTATGTCTGCGAGCATGTGATTCCGACCAATGAAGTCCAAAGCGCTGAGATGAGCGAAACCCGGGGCCTTGATCTTGCACCGATAAGGTTTGCTGCTCCCGTCCGAAACCATGTAGAGTCCGAATTCGCCTTTCGGAGCTTCCACAGCTGTGTAGGTCGCTCCCGGGGGCACTTGGTACCCCTCGGAGAACAACTTGAAATGATGGATCAGCGCTTCCATCGAGGTCTGCGAATGGATTCGGCCCTTAGATTCTCGACCGTTTCCACATTATTCTCTGCCACGAATTATCACGAACTAGTATTCTCTATCAACTGGCAGCAGGAAACCCACCTTCATTTCCTCTCGACTTGGGGGACAGACTTTGTTGTCGTCGGTGCGAACCTCTCCTGAGGGCATTTTGTTGAGGCACTGCTCGATGATCCTCAAGCTCTGTCGCATTTCCTCGACGCGGCACAGATACCGATCGTAACAATCTCCCTTCTTGCCAATGGGAACGTCGAAGTCAAAGTCCTCATAGTTGTCGTAGGGTTGAGTCTTGCGCAGGTCCCACTTGATTCCTGGAGAGGCATGAGGCGATCGATCAACATGAACAGCCCTGTATGTGTTCCGTCTTCGATTCTATGACTTCCGGAGGAGAAAAATTCGAGAGTTTACGCGTGGGCGTCGCCCCTCGTTTCAGAAATAGCGTCTACTCACCGGAACCCCTCAGGATGACGCCCGAACAACCCCAGTTCAATGCGTCCTCCGCCGAGATGACGCCGATATCGACAGTTCTCTGCTTCCAGATGCGGTTTTCGGTGAGAAGATCTTCCATTTCGTCTAAACGCTCACCGTACTTCGTGGCCCAATCGTGGATGTCGTCCATGAGTCCGATCGGGATATCTTGAGAGACTCCCCCGGGCCGTACGTAAGCTGCGTGCATACGAGCACCGGAAGCCCTCTCGTAGAACTCCATCAATTTTTCACGCTCTTCGAAAAGCCAGAAGAATGGAGTCATACCGCCGATATCGAGACAGTGAGTAGTCACGCCCATGATGTGATTAAGGATGCGAGTGATTTCCGCGAAGAGTACTCGAATGTATTTCCCGCGTTTGGGAACTTCGATGTTCAGGAGTTTCTCGACCGCCAGAGAGTAGCACTGCTCGTTGCACATCATGGACACATAGTCCAATCGATCCATGTAGGGTAGAGCCTGAGTGTAGGTCTTGTACTCGATGAGTTTCTCGGTACCTCGGTGCAGCAATCCAATGTGAGGATCACAACGCACGACGGTTTCTCCTTCGAGCTGCAGGATCTGGGGAGAACGAGTTCGTCACGCCCATTCTGACGCATTTTATTCTATCTCCCATCGGAGCCGGTTAGTGGGGGAGATCATTCGAAAAAGATCGAAGACTTACCAGCCGCAACACTCCATGAGCGGCGGGATGCTGAGGACCGAAATTGATGAAGGTGTTTGAGGCTGTCCTCTCGACTTTCTCCGCCCAATGGGTATCGGACGGACTGTACTTCATGAACTTCTCACATTCTGGCATAGGGACCAAGAACTTGCCGCTCATATTCTTCACGAACTCCCTGTCGGCCCACCATCGTGCTCCCCTGTGAAGTATTCGGACAAACAGTCATCACGGTGGCCCCCGGAAAAGCCGCGTGGCTCGCTGGAGACATCTCGGCCGACAATGAGCCGCAGGCGTCCATGTGATTGGAACGGGGAACAGATGGAAAAGGAAACCTATACCGGACATGTACATCAATCAGCAGCCATAGCGCGCATCTACTCTTCGACTTGAACTATTCCTCGAGTCCGCCAATACTGCGGACACCATCGGCTCCTGAAGGGTAAACCATGACGTCTCGAATCTGCCGACTTCTGAGTCTATCCGTTTAGCGATGATGTCTCTACGCAGACACTGCTTTGTTTAGATGTCTCGTCCTCTAGGTCACAGAAGGAGGCAGATTGAGCATCCCCAGCGTTGTTCCTGGGCCGAGTCCCGTGACTTGCCTTGTGTTCCCGCTGGACACCGTGAACCACTGGTTGCCGTTCTGGAGGAGCTTAGAAGCGGATCGAAACATTGTGGCTCCTTCTTTATATTCGCCTCGAAGGCCGATCTTGGTCTGTTGTTGTTCCTCCTGGCCAACACCGTGTCGGAGTACAAACCGACGGCCGCGCGTGGCGCGAAGGTTTGAATTTGACACAGACACCGAAAGCCATCAAATCTGAAAAGGATCGAGATCGACGATGGCTCTTCTGTTTGGAGGATCGTTCCGCCAAGCCTCATCGCTTTGCGATCGATAGGATACATATAGGATATTCGTAGGAGGTCCAACGCTGAGGAGACCAGGATAAGGCAGATCGGAGCCACTTTGTCAATGGAATCCTATCCGAGCAGATGAGCTCGGAGAAAATGACAGAATATCCACGCAGAAATCAGTTTGGAACTGCCTATCGGATGAGCTTTCTACAGCCAATCTGGGAGGGACGAGATCAGGTAGCGGCCTACCGTGCCAGGATGAGAATCGAGCCTCTTTGGTCGATTGAGCAGATGAGGATTTTCGGAAGTTCTCTCGCTGTTCGTTCGTCTCGTCAACGAAGCCTGGTCGACCACGGTCGAGGGTCCCATGCACTACACCACAAGCGGGATTGAGCGAACCTCCTGAGCCAGAATATCGTCATGCAAACCACCGACGGGATTTCCGCTCAGGAAGACTATCTCCCGCCCGGACGCAGTCCTCCGTCGGGGGGAATCTCGAGGTCGAGCCTTTCTGTTATTAGTTCTTTTAGCCAGCGGGGTAGTTCTTTTAGCCACAACCTGGGCCACAGATCTCGGACTCGATGGCGGATGTCGTTTCTCTAATGGTTCCACGCAGAACTCTCTCACTGAGGTTGCCGCTCACGATTGGGGGATAGTTTAGGATAAAGCCATCATCACCGAGTGACTGGCTTATCCCTGCTCCCCATGCCCTAGACTTGAAATTGTGCAATAGGAACTCCGGCCGGGCAATCTATTCTTCTCCAATGGACCATGCGTGATGGAGTTTTGAGGAGCGTTTTTGGGTATGAGTATGACCGACGACCACAAGAGGCCCTTTGGGAAACCCTTCTATTGGAATGCCTGTTTCGATGGCGTCATGAAGCCTTGACGCTTCAAGGGAGGCACGCGTAAAAATCCAAAATCACATTTGTTATCTTTTTTCACTTCCCATTGTTCGAAGGAAGCTCACCTGATGCTCGCTTCTGCTGCGCGGTGTGCAATTAGTCGCTGTTTCGTCTCTAATTCTCTTAACTTTCTCGTGCTCCATTTCTTTGGACATGCACCTCTCGCTACAGAAAAAAAAATGGGATCAATAGCGAGGCTATGGCGATCAACTCGGACAACTGTTCTTGAGAGAAGATCGATTGTTGGAGTTCCAGAGCCTGTGATCCCATTGGAAAAAAGATTATCTAGATAAAGCGTGTTCATCGGTGCGTCTAATTAAAGACGTCGAATCACACGAGCGAATCGCTCATATGCGAAACGACGTCTTCGGATTACAAAATCAAGAAGATAGGTACTCGGCAAAATCAGGCAGCGGGAAGGTCGTAAAGTTACACCTCCTCCCTCCTCCGAAGCGTCGTAAGCATACGTAATCCTTTTCGGTGTATTCATCAGGTCGAATGATCACCTTCACGAAGAGCCCCTCCGTCGAATTACTCCCCGTTCGCATCCACGAGGGGACTCTGCGCCGAAAAAGAGCAAACAGGTTCCTCCCGGATTCCGCCGCCCACTTTTCACATGATGTCAGCATCACGGCGCAAGTTTCAATATCCCGGGGGAATTATTTGGAAACAAATCGAAATCGGAGGGAAAGTGCTTTTTGGGTCGTAGACCGGGAGATCGAGTGAAGTTATCACTATTCGTGGAAAACGGCGTCTTTTGTTCGATCCGGCTTGCTTGCTTGTAACCCACATGGACGATATCCTTCACTGATGCGACTCGTCTCGATGGCATTTTGAAGCACAAATGCGAATGGCTTATAGTAGCTCATCACCAAGCGGACATTGTAGTTCATTGTTGAGAGTTGGAGAACCGCTGTGAGTTTCGGCCTCGCGAGGATCGCTCCATATTAAATGATATGGGGGCGACGTCGGGAAGTCTGTTTGTCACTTTCGAATGTTCGTCATCCGGCGCCGCTTCGAAGGAAAGTCGTATACGCGCCTCTGAATCATATTGCGATAAAATTAGGGGTTGCACAATCTGTGTTGTTCATATGTTTATCGGAAGATGATCTCGTCATGGATCATTATTCACTCTCGTTTGGAACATCGGCAGTAAAACACAAACGGTGAGAAGAACTGGGATGATACGGAGTGGCATATTACTATTATTCTCAGAGGCTGTCATCATGGTTGAAGTTATTCTTTGCCGACTATCCCTGCGCTGCTTGCATTGCTCCATCAGTTGCTTCCATCAATTTGTCTCTGGCACGAACAATTCCATCAAAAACAGTAGGTTCGTCCTCAAATATCATTTCAGTCAATCGGGGCCCTGATGCGATGGAACAAGGCGTCGTCGGTTATCTCATACTCCCGCGCATCAGCTTGCGGGCCTGCATATCATCTCATGTAGATTCGCTCTATCTACATTGACATCATAAAATGACCACGGAGCGAGCGGAAGGCCGCGGATTCGAATCCGGCACCTGGGTTTTCTGAGGGTGGTGTTTTCATTGTACGGGGTGGGAGTGGATTTCCCAGATCTTCGCCATCTCTCACCGCGCGTCGAACCCTCACGTCATCTCTCGGCAGGACCGGGGAGAAGCGGAGGGAGCAGAGCACAAACTATGGAACCGTCGCCCAAGCGAGCTACAGAGAGTTCGAGTTGATCCGAGAAGGTATCTGTTATCTTTCAGACTCTATATGTTGCACGTCCTCGATACGTTTGTGTACGTTGATCCGGGCATCTTCGGCTCGTCGTTTGCCGAGGTTTCCTCGCAGAGATCAGAGTGGATATACTCGTCTCACTCGACCCGACCGGCTCGACTTCGAGCCGCCGCTTCGCCTCCGGATGTGAATAATTGTCCTGCCCCCTCAACTCTGGCTTCAGGTGATTCCGATCCAATCTGATTCCGGCCGAAGATAACCTGCCGTTTCAACACCTCATATACGGGCACTGCAAATGAACTATCTCACATCGAGTCTCTGAAGTGATATAACCGTGTCCTGATGACCTCGGGTGACATGATCGAGTCTTAGATCTTGTCGGGTGCAGAATCAAGGGGATTCCTTACTTGGGTGGAGAAAAGTTGAGGGTGATGCATGTGATCGAGTGAGATGTAATCGATCTCGTACTGTATTCAGCATCACAACGTGCTCATTATGGCGAATCGTTCCTCCGAGTCTGGCTCCTGAGTCCGGAATCAGACTCGTACGAGGGCGTAGATTCGGAGTCGGGTTCATCATCCTCACCGAGACCAAAAGGAAAGCAGACAAATGACGCGGGAAACACGATTCGGCCCTGTCTCCTCATTGGATCGGTGCTGCGTGCCGCTCTATACCCGCTGCTACACCGAGACCGAGGTGTCGAGCTCGGTGACGGCCGTGAACTTTCCCTGTAACGGAAAACCAGACAAAAGTGAAGAACGAAAGAAGCTGCCGATGGGAATGTTTGAGCTTCCGACAGCTCAAGAAGCCCAAATCTTCAATTGCGCGTATCTTTTCCGCTCAAAGGTGTCGCACGACGCTCTTATTCTCATCGATATCCCATTTACATTGACAGCCGCGAGAAATCATCCGCTAATCATGACGACTCGAGCGGCCACAAGGGTAGAGAAGCGCTGATGGAAACAAACGGAGTCTCAATCCTGCTCCAAGAGGGGTCAGCGTATCGTCAAATTTCACGACGATTCCCTCGGAATTCGGGGAATATTTCCGGGATCTTGAACTAACCGTCACTGACGCTCGACGTCCTCCCGGCGAGGTGAATGATGAGGTAGTGATACAATTAAAGTTACATAACATTATTACCTAATTATCCTCATCAGAAGTCTATCGTCCCTGAGTATTCACTCTCAGGAGACAGGAGTTGTCCGAGTCTTCGATGGTCATTTTCATCCCTCTTCACTCAGGGACGATAGTCGGGATCAGAAATGAACTCTCGTTGCCAGGAGGCTCATATTCCACTATTCTACTCAATCCTGAACAGGCTCGTGATAATAGGTCATCGAATCGCGCCTGGTGTTCGTATGCACTCGAATTAAATGGGACTGCTCCGCTTCCCCATGGTCGGAGCGGGGGATCCATGCCAGATACAGCGGGAATCGTCTCTTCGAACTCGAATCGCGCAATCAATATCCCAGTATGTGAGTTGGCGCTGAGTCACAATGGAAACGGGCAGCATGCTCCGTCGCTTCTAGAAAGTTTGTCTTTCGCTTGAATAGTAGCGTACTTTGCTATGTATAGAGCGAAGAAGGTGAGAAGGTCCGACATCTAGCGGGACTTCACTCTTCTAGACCAACAGACGAACCGCGTGCAGTGGACTTTGACGACGCGCTTTTTCTTCTTGCCGGCATCTAAGAAAGGGGGTTTTTCAGCTCAGCTCGATGCCGAGATGTTGCCCGTCATAAGCGACTTGGAGTTCCTCACGACACTGTTGGGGGTCCCGAATCACTCTCGTTGAATAGCCGTTCGCCATCAGTGATTTGTGTACAGGATCGACCATCTACTTCGGACTCCATTCGGATTTAACCACCAAAATGGGTAAGACCGGCCCGTCGCGAATCATGTACCACTGTAAGGTCGCTCGCTAATCGACCGGTGCACCATTTCGATGAGAAAATTCGGTATCTAAGCATTTGAATCCATTGACTTCTTAAATAATTCACCGAGATGACGCCGATTCCACGTATGTCGTCGACCGGCGCCGGCTTGAGCTCAGGCCTGATTATTATGCGTTGGTCGTCCGGCTAATCCTTTGATTGGTGTGGATCACTCGCGTACCTCGACTTTCGGGATTGAGAGCTGTGGCAACCCAATCATGGGAGGACTCTCGATGGAATTGAGGAATACGTGAGCTCGCTGCTCTCTCGCAACATAGACGAGTTTTTTTCCTCGGAGATCCCTGTCTCTTTGGGACTCTTGAATTTTAGAGGCATGATGGAATACGACTTGG